TGTATAAAATATTAAATAAGAACGAAGTCGTAAGTCAAATTCACCCAAAGTTTTGTCTCACTGTATAAAATAATAAATATGAACGAAGTCGTAAGTCAAGTTCACCCAAAGTCTTGTCTCAGTGTATAAAATAATAAATAAGAACGAAGTTATACATTCAACCGAAGCTTTATTTCAGCGTATAAAATAATAAATAATGAAGTCATAAGTTAATTTCACCCAAAGTTTGTCTCACTGTTTCATTATAGCTACAGCCTCGCACCTTATAACCTTTTGCTTTCAAGCCACAATTTCAGGGGCAATTAAGAGTCCAAGAGGCCCTAGAGGCCCAAGAGGCCAAAGAGGCCCAAGAGGCTAAGAGGCCAAGAGGACACCCAATCAAGTCTTAATTCTCACGATGAAGTCCCAAAGACAAAAGGATTGTTTTACCTATCAACATTTATGAGCAGTGAGACTTAAATTCAAGGGTAACGTTTAAATGTCTAACAAACTTGCCCTAACGTACCCCCACGTGTCCTAACGTACCCCCACGAGCCCTAACCTTCTCCCACGTGCCCTAACTTACCCCCACGTGTCCTAACTTACCACCACGTGCCCTAACTTCCTCCCACGTGTCCTAACGTACTCTCACGTGCCGTAACGTACCCCCACGTGCCCTAATGTACCCCCACGTGCCCCAGACCACGAGCGGTACCGGGGATACTTGATGATTCGCGAGGGCGACAACTTCGTGCGAGACCTTCACGACCACAGCACACCAGCGTACCACGCCAAGGCTGCCAAGTACCAGGCCATGGTGGGTACAGGGGGGTGGTATATGATGAGAGATAAGGTAAGTGTTTGTGTGTGTGCTGAAGTGAGAGTGAGCGGGAGTGAGAGGTTTGTCAAGTGAAGTGAAGTAATAAGGCAAGATATTGGCCACGACTTCAACTAACGACTCCACCTAACGACTCTACCTAACATAGCGAATCCACCTCACCTAACCTAACCTAACCGACAGACCAAAAACTTTCGTTGTTGAAGACTCGAGATCAAGCCATGGGTCTAATTTCTTCAGTGCCGACACTTCTATTTTATGCGAAAAACTCAACGCGAAGCGTGGGTGAAGAGTGAGTGGGACAAACAACGAGGCATGGTTTGATCTTCAGCCACATTGCCGATATCGACTCGGAACTCACCCACGCATCTACATCGTCATTTGCGGACGATACAAGAGTGCTGATGAAGATCACAGATGACCTAGACTACGAGAGGTTACAGGATGATCTATCATCAATCTACGATTGGGCCCTAGTGAACAATATGCAGTTCAACGGCACCAAGTTCGAAGTAATGAGATACAGAGACCGCACAGAGATCGGGATGCCACATCGCTACTTGATATCAGATGGTTGTCTTTAACTCCTCTTCGTTGATCAAGCTCTAGAGCCTCACAACTACTCATGACTTCGGTGCAAGCTACGGGTATAGCTCCTTTATCAGCGCGCAGGCAGACAAGTATGAGATGAATCTGGCGACAACAAGCGACAATTTCTTGTTTCTATCGACATGCTCGCATCTCAGAGTCACGCAGAGATCTGGGAAACTCTTTGCAGAGTTGACCACTAAACAAATAAGTTACGGTCAGGGTTCAGTCTCGTTGAGCTAGATCCGAGGCTGGTTCAAGCCTATGTAGCTTAGAATTTAAGTCGACAGTTCACCGTTGAGAATCTCAAAAGACATGTTCCTGATCGAGACATATGACCGTCTGCCTCTACCCCACTACCTGGTTCGTCCTTGGTGTTGTGTAATGCATAAAGCGAGCCAGTGATGGTCGTGGAACTACCAGTGGCATTAGTGCCCGGACAAACTTACCTATCACTCACCCTTCCTTACCTAGTTGTCACTACAAGGATGAGCTATTACACAAATACACTATTACTTTCACCAACTAAAATATGATTATTGGGCATCAGCTTGTCCGGGTTTGATCAGACGAGCGGTAGTTAAGTTCTCTTGGGGCATCGGTACTATGTATCACTCAATAAAATATTAGCAAATGGCATCAGATTGTCCAGTGATGGTCAGACGAGCGGTAGTTAGGTTCTCTTGGGGCATCGGCGATGACGTAAAATGATGGCTGAATGACGGTGGACGACGAGAACGGTGCATCAGAGTGACCACGTCTGGAGCTATATTTTATAGGAGCCCCTTTTTTTTGTACATTATATTTTTGACCGCATATGTGTGCGGCTAAAAGTGGGAGTGTGGCTAACGTGGAAGTGTGGCTAAACGTGGGATTCTGGCTAAACGTGCGAGTGTGACTAAACGTGCGAGTGTGGCTAAACGTGCGAGTGTGGCTAAACGTGGGCGTGTGGCTAGACATGGGAGTGTGGCTAAAAAGTGTGATCTCTACACGTGTAGGCATGTGATCGTTTATATAAGTGTAGTCATTACGCTCCATTTCCTCACAAAAATCAATAAATAATTCAATAATCCTCCCCTCCTCTCCAGCTGGACGCGGTCTACATGCGCAGTTTGTTGGCCCCGGCGTTCGAGGCCGCGGAGGTCACGGGGTTCGGGCCCAGCGTGGACCCCACGACGGGGGAACTGCGCCCGGGTCTGGGGGTCGACTTCAGGATCACCCTTGACAGGCGGCGGGTGCCAGGGTGAGTAGAGCCCCCGCGGGTCCCGGGGTGAGTAAAGCCCCCCAGGTCCCGGGGTGAGTAGAGCCCCCGCAGGTCCCGGGGTGAGTAGAGCCCCTGCAGGTCGCGGAGTGAGTAAAGCCCCCCCAGGTCCCGGGGTGAGTAAAGCCCCCCCAGGTCCCGGGGTGAGTAGACCTCCCGTAGGTCCCGGGGTGAGTAGAGCCCCCGCAGGTCCCGGGGTGAGTATAGCCCCCGCAGGTCCCGGGGTGAGTAGAGCCCCCCGCGGGTGAGTAGAGCCCCCGCAGGTCCCGGGGTGAGTAGAACTCCCGCAGGTCCCGGGGTGAGTAGAGCACCCGTACGTGTCCCGGGGGTGAGTAGAGCTCCCGCAGGTCCCGGGGTGAGCAGAACTGCCGCGGGTCCCGGGGTGTCATATTTACCCTTGAAGTTGTACTGTTGATGTATAATCAAAATTTACTATTTTAATGGCCACCCCATGAAGTCGTATTGTTGTATAATTAATAATAAACATTCGAAAAGTTCATGTTTACCCTTGAATTTGTGTTATTTTACAATCAAAAGTAAACATTCGGCATAGTCATATTTACCCTTGAAGTTGTACTGTTTTGTCTAATCAAAATTTAATATTTTTATGGCCGCCCCATGAAGTTGTATTGTTGTATAATTAATAATAAATAAAAAATAAATAGTCGGAATGGTCATATTTACCCTTAAATTTGTACTGTTTTGTAATTAATAATAAATGTTCGCAAATGTATTATTTACCCTTGAAGTTGTACTGTTGTGTTTAATCAAAATTTAATATTCAGACTGGTTATATATACCCTTAAAGTTGTACTATTTTATAATCAAAAGTAAACATTCGCAAAGTTCATATTTACCCTTGAATTAGTCCTGTTTTGTCTAATCAAAATTTAATATTTTTATGGCCGCCCCCAGGCACATCAGCGCTGTGGAGCGCGCTGTCCAGGCCACCCTCGTACAGGAGCTTATAAGCGTCGCACCCGTCGCCTTCACCCACACCGTCGCCGACGTCGACACCTTCACCCTGACTAGTGGGTGACTAGTGGGTGACTAGTGGGTGACTGGTGGGTGACTAGTGGGTGACTAGTGGGTGACTAGTGGGTGACTAGTGGGTGACTAGTGGGTGACTAGTGTCACCCTGGCAGTGGTGGTATGGGTGACCACCCTAACAGTGGTGGTATGGGTGACCACCCTGGCAGTGGTGGTATGGGTGACCACCCTAACAGTGGTGGTATGGGTGACCACCCTGGCAGAGGTGGTATGGGTGACCACCCTGGTAGTGGTGGTATGGGTGACCACCGTAGCAGTGGTGGTATGGGTGACCACCCTGGCAGTGATGGTGTGGGTGACCACCCTGGCAGTGGTGGTATGGTGACCACCCTGGCAGTGGTGGTATGGGTGACCACCCTGACAATGGTGGTATGGGTGACCACCCTGACAGTGGTGGTATGGGTGATCACCCTGGCAGTGGTGGTAAGGATGACCACCCTGGCAGTGATGGTGTGGGTGACCACCCTGGCAGTGGTGGTATGGGTGACCACCCTGGCAGTGGTGGTATGGGTGACCACCCTGGCAGTGGTGGTAAGGATGACCACCCTGGCAGTGATGGTGTGGGTGATCACCCAGAAGCGAAACAATGTTTCTAAAAAGTACTCCACCACAAATAGCGTTCCGTCTCAATATTATACAGTAGATTTGTGAAGGCTTATGCTGTTAAGGGGCATAGCCATGTACTATATGATAATATAGATTTATGCCAATATAATTGATGAATAAAATTATGCTCCCTCGTTTGCCCTCAGCCCCTCCCTCCCGACCCTGATGAGGGGAGCGACTCGGGGTCCAACCCCGCCGACCCCCCAGCAGCAGACTTCACCCCCTACGGCTACGTGTCACGCGCTGGGTCCACCCCCGCCAGGTTAGTACCAAATGGGGTTATTTTCTCTGATCTACTTACTAATCTACCTCTTATCTACTACATTATAGAATAGAATAGAAGTGTCGGCACTGAAGAAATAGGCCCATGGCCTTCTGCCGATTCTTGAACTTTTCGTGACTTGATTCACAAGGGATCCGGCCTTTGGAACCCGATCTTTCCATAGCTGACGATTGATTGAGATAGCTGTTGGACTTATTGCCTGGTCCGTAATTTGCTAGGCATTTTAAGACTGAACATATGCTCCTGCATAGCTTCGTCTGGACTTATCGCCTGGTTAAAACTCCATACCCAGCGACGCAGACTTCTCTACCGTTTATAACGAATTCATACATAACGTAAGTTCCTTATTGTTGTGGCGTGATGTTATGATTGCATTGCAGTGGCGGTTGATAAAATCAGAAGTTAATTGATAATCCAGTAAAAAGTAAGATGACGGTACCTCAAATTTACAATCTTATTTCTCAATAATGTTTATTTCTTTAATCAACTTATTCTTCTTCTCTATTTATCTCGATCATCCATGCATGCCCACTGATTAAGTCGTTTAAATGTTTATACAGAAGAAGTACAGAAGCATTCAATATTCATCCTGATTCATTAGGATGAATGCTCCCACTTTTGGTTAAGCATATAGATAGCATATATGGTTCTTCTCTAATATTACACTAGATTTTCGGTAAGGGGGATTTGCCCACTCGAAATAATATATTAGGTTTATGAATTTTGTATCAGGAGAAATCTTTATCATTTCGGCAAGTGATCAATCAGTTTCTATCAAACTTAGATTCAACGAATCGCCATGGAAATGTTACTGCCAAGCAAGAATAGAATTATATAAGAAGTGTCAGCACTGCACTGAAGAAATAGGCCCATGGCCTGTTGCCGATTCTTGAATTTTTCGTGACTTAATTCACAAGGGATCCGGCCTTTGGAACCCGATCTTTCCATAACTGACGATTGATTGAGATATAGCTGCTGGACTTATTGCCTGGTCCGTAATTTGCTAGGCATTTTAAGACTGAACATATGCTCCTGCATAGCTTCGTCTAGTCTGTTCTTGAAGTCGTTCATACTCGGAGCGCTCCTGGAGACTGACAGCGGGAGACATTTTCCCCCTGGACAGTGTTTTGGATTTTTCAACGTCAAGGCACTTGGGACTTGTTTCAATGTCTGTCCATGAGCGAGTAGGTGGTAAGTAATTTACTTATCTTCTTAGTGACCGAAAGCAGGAGACATTTGTCAACATTGAGGGTCATCTACCACTTCTGCTCCAATAACATACGTCAACCTTGGTCGTGCCGTCACAAAAGGCGAGTCAATTAAAAGGTATTCGTGTATGTTGGACCTGTATCCTCTCCATTTGGCCCTCTAACCCCCACTCTCCTACCACTTGTGGGGGTATATTGGTCTTGTATCTGCCCCACTTGACCCACACCCCGACTCCCCACCCCCTGTGGGGGGTATGTTGGGCTTGTATCCTCCCCGCTTGACCCTTTCCCCGACTCCCCACCCCCTGTGGGGGGTATGTTGGGCTTGTATCCTCCCCGCTTGCCCCTTTAACCCCCACTCTAACCCCCACCCCCAGCTACACTCCCCACTTGACCCACACCCCACTCCCCTACCTCCAGCTACACCCCCCTGACCCTCACCCCCACACCCCTACCTCTTGTGGGGGTATATTGGGCTTGTATTCTCCCCACTTGCCCCTCTAACCCCCACTCCCCCACCCGCAGCTACAGCCTGTGGGGGGGCTCGTCGTCAGGCTCGTCGGGCACGTCGGGCCACCGCCGGCGGTTCTCGCGGTCTCTGTGTCGGGTGGTGCTGTGCTCCGCGGGCCTCCTGCTGCTCATGGCCGTCGTCGGCATCATCGGCATCGCCATCTACCTCGCAGGTCCGTAGATAAAGGTAGATGACGGTAGATGACGGTAGATGACGGTAGACGACGGTAGATGACGGTAGATGACGGTAGATGACGGTAGATGACGGTAGATGACGGTAGATGACGGTAGATAAAGGTAGATGACGGTAGATGACGGTTTTGGCTGGAGGATAATACGAGGCTGGGCGATCGCCAGAGTCGTCCATGACGAAGCAATGCTTCAAATTCTTGGCGACCAGCCGCTGGTTTTCCGCCCTGGAATGCCCATCACCGTCCACGTGAGCTTCCATTCTTTCTTCCAAATTCTTACTTGCTTTTGGATTTGATCCACCGTTCAGAAAGGTATCATTGCTTCGCATACCTGGTAAACAACAGCAATACAGTTTAGTACTTTGCTTTGGTGAAAATCTCTTGGCAAAGGTGTCACTGATTGGAAAAATATGATTGTGAACCATGAAAGCAGCGAACACGTAAATTCTAACGGTATCCGCAATGTGTCTTCCCGTACGAAGTCTCTAGTTAAATATAGGTACTTATTCACGTAAACTTGATAGATTTTTCACCACTATCTTCATTCTCGCTTTGGAAAAAATAATCTATTAGATCTTTTAATTAATATTTGCAGGCATTTGCTTCGTACTCTGACCAGCATCCCTTTGATGAAGAGGAGCTTGTAGACGCTAAGGTGACCATCACCTTGTCTGTCTATGGGGGAACTAGTCAGGTGAGAAACGAATGAATTACATAAAACGAATAAATTATGTCACTCTGGAACACCAAAATATTTACCGGCATTGGCATTACAACAGCTGCAATACACTTTGGATAAAAAATCAAACGAAGATATATATTTATGTTAAAATATATTGTTAGCGCATTTTCTCATTTATGGAAAAAATGCACTATTGTGCTCGCCATATCCGTCTGTCTGTCTGTCCGTCCGTCTGCCCGTCTGTCCGTCCATCCGTGACCTCAAGTTTTCGACGACGAGAAAATGCGCTCTCTGTCACTCACTGCAGTGGGTACTGAGTTATATTTTTCGTTTATTTTCCTCGTCATTTCAATAAGGTGGAGAGCGCGGAGATATCAGGTCTTGATCTGGTCGAGCAAGGCGGGGTCTCTAAAGCGGTTTTCGACATTCCGGACTTGGCGGAAACTTTAAAAATTGATGCTCAGTAAGTGAAATGAAAACTCAGTAATGAAAACTTCGAATTACATTCAAACTTTGCAAAAGAAGTCTTTACCATAATTTTTCGTTCAAACATCGATGCAATCGTAAATATATACGCAAATTTACATATTATATATAATATATATTATAATAATACATATTATATATAAAATATATAGGTATTATATTAATAAATATATATAATATGTTAAATTTTGTGTGCAGGTTTATAAGCTCAAGCGGCCTGCAAGCGGCGTCCACAGCGCTGGGCACCAAACACCACTCCCCTCGGGACTACTACCTCCAGGTTGGTGCTGCTGTCAATGGTTAGTCGGCATCCATTTTCATATGATAGGCGTTAGTCAAAAAATGTGATGGTGCATTGAATAAAATGTGTAATAGTAAACTATCAGTTTGCTATTAATTTGTTAATTTTATATCGTTCATTTAAAATTGTATATGATTAGATCCGGCTAGAGCTATTCTAGCTTTATGTTATAGAAGCAACTCGATTCTTGTTAGTATTTTGCATATTTTTGAAGCGTATTATTGCCTACATTTAGTTTATTACCAACATCACACGCACGTTCTTTGTCAGCAACTTATAAACATTTGATCAAAGTCTAACTCTGTTTTCGCAATCCTTTCAATAATAATTCCAACTGCAGGTGGAGACGTCTAGCCAGGGCACCGTTTCTGGAGACTACATCGTTTTGCACGTGAGGAACAACTTCAGGACAGACTACATCAACTTCATGGTAAGAGTACTCACTAATAATGCAGTGTTATTAATAATTTTTCAGCCAGAAATTGATTAATTGACTGCAAATTAATGTTATAAACTGGAGTTTGTCGCTTTCATTATGATCGTTTATGCAGATGAGTGGCAGCGGAGTGGCTCTGTACTCGGACCGCATGGCTGTTGTTGACAATTACCTTCCTACCGTCACCACCTTCGCCATACCAGCGTCCACCGAAGTAAGATGTGGTAGAAGTGGTACTAGCAGTTTTAGTGTAACGAGATTGTGATTTTTATATTAGAATTATAATTCAAAGATGGTAATTGGGAACAGTCAATTACTATATTAAATATACATTCTGGAATATATGTGTCGTCTGGAACACACATCTACAAATAATTCTAACAAGTAGAAATCGCCGATTGGAAAGTAGGCATTACTATCACTTTTATATCCGAACAATTTAATTGCAGATTTTTGAGGGATTTAATTATCTATTTGTGCTATACTCCTTTTAGTTCTCCAATACCGAATATTTTTTATGGGCTAATTCTTCATGGTTTTTCTTCTAGAGCTAGACCAAAATACCGAACTTTTCTTTTTGGTTGCACTGGCAGATAAAATATGTTATGAATGATTTTCTGATTGATGCATGAACGATCGACGCAATCATCGACGTTATGGAAGCGAAGTGTGCGCTTTTTTCGCCGTTAATTCGCTCGTGAGTCCAAAGTGGCCGCGGCTCGGTAGGCTACGTCAAATACAAATTAGTGAGTGTTTGTAATAGGTGGTCTTGGAAGATTAAAGGTTGAAAAAAAGACGAGGGTCAAGTCATGACAATACTTGATCATAAAATGCCCATTAATAGAATGCATGGCACTTGCATATAAAGTTTATCAATAGCAGTTTAGAAGCCGACAACAAGATGCTGCCAGCAAATTTATATTCTAATTTCCCGATCTCAGGAAAGTAATTTGCTGTGGAACTTCACGCAATTTGTCTCACGATGGCGTTGGTGACTCTTCTTAATTTAATATAACCAGAAATGAATTAGTTTACATGCTCTCCACCAAAACTTCGTTTTTCAACCTGGCAACCAAGATGGCGCCTGTGGCCAGAGTGACAGTGTGGGCCGTAGCAGACGACGGTCAGTTGGTCTCCCACGCCATCGCCATTCCAGTCAACCCCCTGGGGCGCCATGAGGCAAGCCTCCTAACTTATTCTCTGTCGTAATAAACTTCTTGGTAATTTTGATAATAAATTCATTAAATGTTTTTCAATGATTATTTGTTTACAGTTGGAGGTCAATCAATATTTGTATCGAACGATTTTCAAGCTTCAAGCTTCTCGGTCTTAAATCTTCCGGCCTCCAACGTCCCAGTTCAACCTATCATCTGTTGATAAAATTTTCCATTTCAGGTCGGTATCCGGTGGAATGACCACAAAGACCACACGGGCGGTTCATCCGAATGGAAAATGCTCGGTGAAATTGGGTCCTTTTTCGGCGTTTCTTCGTTGTGGGAGGAAACAAACTTCCTGGACGCGGGACATGACCTCGACGAGTCCCGAGTCCTGCATCGCATGATGGGACTTGGAGAAGACGCCATCTTATCCGAGCAGTCAAGCCGGGCCCGTTTGTCGCAGCCACGTCCTAAAAACCATCGCGTGCAGGACGATTTCCCCTACGCCGATGCACCGAAGCCTCACATCCGTCGGGCCGCCACCAGGTCAGTGGCGAGTGCCGCCGGTCACTCTTTGTTAAGTGGCGGGAGCCTCCTGCCACTCTTGGGCCAGTGGCGGGTGGCTCCCGTCGCTCTACACTGGGTGGCAGGGCCTCTCGGCAGAGAATACAATTGAAAATTGTTGGCTTAGGGGAACAGGATTTTAATAATAAAATTGTTAGGCTTTTTGAAAATTGTATAAAAGCGTCGACATATTTCTTCGGTAAAAATATAATGAAAAAAAAAATAAAATAAAAAAGTTATATGTTATTAGCTTCCTGGCAATGTCGTTTCCTGTCCTTTTCAGGTGGACTGACTAATTTATATTTTAAGTATTTAATTTTATAAATAGCTTTGTGACTATCAAAATAATTGATGGTGGATCAATAACGCAGATCCCGCGACGGTGGAGGTTCTAAGGTGCAGTTCTTCCCGACCAGCCTGGGGGGTCCCGACGTTGCTTCTACCTTCGCCTTCGCTGATCTACTTCTACTTACTGACACTACCGTCTACTACCAGCACAGTCATTCTATGGGTAGGGATAAAACTCTAATCCTAATTGCATAATTATTCTGGGGATAGTATTTTTTGGCTCTTATTACTCTGATGTCATTTCTACGAAATTAAGAACTTAACCTGTGTCACACCAGTACTATCAGATACCGTTCCTTACAAAATAACTTTTTCACCTCCTTCAATTCCAGTTACCTCATTCATTTACTTGAAAGTAATAAAATTTTGTATAATTTTTTTCTTGACAGAGAAATAGTTACATCTCGTGGTCACTCATTTCGATTGTCCCAATATTTATTTATAATTATTGATTATTCTAAAGGGTCGACCGTTTTATAATTTAGCGAAGAAGAAGTGACATTTAATGGTCACTTATTTCGATAATTATCAAATAGTAATCATTTATAATTGTTGGCATTGTCAGACACTGCGGAGTGCGAGTCGCCGGCGCTGCGCTGCCTGACGGGCGGCTGCTACCTGCCTCCTGGACGCTGCAACGGCCACTTCGACTGCACCGACAGATCCGACGAGGCGGGATGTGCGTTGTCTCGCTTGCGGTTCTGAGCTTATACAGTTTGGTATTTTATAATTACCAGGATGTTATTATTTTCCGTTGTTACTTTTATTGGTTATTACGAAAGTTTTCTCATTCAAATGTTTTTTTAATTAGGTATTAGTAATAATGACGATGAATTTTCCCTGCAGTCCCGCGGATGTAGACCAAAGTAGGGTGTTAAATTCCCCGTAACCGCAGTCCCCGAAGACGGAGACCCCAAGTAGGGTCTACATTCCTCCGTACCCGCAGATCTCATAGACGTAGTCCCCAAGTAGGGCCTAAAATCCCCTGTACCCGCAGGTCCCGTGGACGTAGTCCCCAAGTAGGGTCTAACATCCCCCGTACCCGTAGTCCCCCGCAGGCATAGTCCCAAAGTGGGGTCTAATATTACCCGTACCCGCTGGTCCCGTAGATGTAGTCCCCAAGTAGGGTCTAAAGTTCCCCGTACCCGCAGGCCCCGTAGACGTAGTCCCCAAATAGGGTTTAAAATCCCCCGTACCCGTAGTCCCCCGCAGGCGTCGTCCCAAAGTAGGGCCTACAATTCCCGTACCCGCAGGTCCCGTGGACGTAGACCCGCTACGGGAGTTCCGGCTGCACCGCATGAGTCGCATGTGGCGGGTCTACGACCCCGCGGACGGGGACTGGGCCTGGCGGGACGTGCGGCAGGAGGGGGCGGAGATCCAAGTCTTCCCCATCCCCAAGCGTCCCCAGACGTGGGTCGTCAACATGTTCGCTGTGGGGAAGAACCTGGGGCTGGGGCTTCTGCAGGAGAAAATAACGGTAGGTCGTAAAGTGTTTTGCATGAGAAAAGGAATATTGAATTTGGGAAGGAATAGGCAACATGATCAATAGAAAATATAATTCAAATTTCAAAATTTACGAGACCTTTATATTCCCATTGTCACATATTAAATGGTATCGAAGAATAAATTCACTTCATTAGTATATGTTAATAAATTTGGAAAGAAATTTACTTCATTCTTACCCCCAGTTTGACTCAGCGGGCCCGTTCATGCTGACGTTGGAGGCCCCGAAAGTGGCCCGGATGTGGGAGCAGGTCTCCCTAAATTCACCCATCCTCTCTTCATTCACCCCCAGTTCTCACTATAATCCTCCCTTATTCATCCTCCCCCAGTTTGACTCAGCGGGGCCCGTTCAAGCTGACGCTGGAGGCTCCGAAGGTGGCCCGTATGTGGGAGCAGGTCTCCCTAAATTCACCCCTCCTTTCTTCACTCACCCCTAGTTCTCCCTATATTCACCCTCCCTTATTCATCCACCAGTTCGACTCAGCGGGCCCGTTCATGCTGACGCTGGAGGCCCCGAAGGTGGCCCGTATGTGGGAGCAGGTCTCCCTAAATTCACCCCTCCTCTCTTCATTCACCCCCAGTTCTCCCTATATTCACCCCTCCCTTATTCATCCACCAGTTTGACTCAGCGGGCCCGTTCATGCTGACGCTGGAGGCCCCGAAGGTGGCCCGTATGTGGGAGCAGGTCTCCCTAAATTCACTCCCAGTTCTCCTTCTATTCACCCCTTCCTTATTCATCCTCCTCCAGTTTGACTCAGCGGGCCCGTTCATGCTGACGCTGGAGGCCCCGAAGGTGGCCCGTATGTGGGAGCAGGTGTCCCTAAATTCACCCTCCAGTTCTCCCTATATTCACCCTTTCCTTATTCATCCCCCAGTTTGACTCAGCGGGCCCGTTCATGCTGACGCTGGAGGCCCCGAAGGTGGCCCGTATGTGGGAGCAAGTTGGCCTGCGGGTGTGCGCCTTCAACTTCCACTCGGCGATGGTGGCCGCCCTCATCATCCTGCCGATGTCTGACCAGTACAGGACGGTGGTGGTGGAAGAGGATGGCAAGACCGAGGCATACAAGCCCAAGACGGCAGAGGGAGAGTTCCAGCACCTAGTTTGGGTGAGCTAGTTCTGTAGGCGACTAGTGCTAGGTGATAGTGTAGTGATGGTAATAGAGTTCCAGCACCTAGTTTGGGTGAGCTAGTTCTGTAGGCGACTAGTGCTAGGTGATAGTGTAGTGATGGTAATAGAGTTCCAGCACCTAGTTTGGGTGAGCTAGTTCTGTAGGCGACTAGTGCTAGGTGATAGTGTAGTGATGGTAATAGAGTTCCAGCACCTAGTTTGGGTGAGCTAGTTCTGTAAGCAACTAGTGCTAGGTGATGGTATAGTGATGGTAATAGAGTTCCAGCACCTAGTTTGAGTGCACAGCTTTTGTAAATTGTCTAAATTTTATGTTCTTCTAATAATCAAATAAGCAACAACTTAAGAACTATTAAAAATAATATAATGTATAAACACTCTGAAGAATGTGATGTTGAAATTCGCAGCTGCAGCCTGGGGAGTTCCGGGACGTGAGCATCCCCATCGTGTTCACGGGGATGGGGGAGGTGATGGTGACGGTGACAGGCTCCACCCAGATGATGATGGACAGTGACTCGGCCACCATCAACGTGCAGGCTGAGGTAACCTGCCAAACATCATAACCATCATCATTTTTCTAAGCCTAATTATTAACCAACATTCCCTTTAACTCGCCTGATTAAAGGACTAAAATTTTACGAAATGTCGTCATTAATTATTCATTTTAATGTATCATTGTATATAGCCCCATGATCATATTGGCCGAGCTATCGGTTGTTGTTGTGGCTTCGTGTTTGACACCGCCGATGAGCTACCAGAATATTGGGAAATGAAAAAAATCACTGAGTTTTGGAAGAAAGTTTTGAGTTCTTGGGTGAGGATGTCCACATCAGAACCTGTATTGTTGGTTATGAAATTGTCGGCATAGTAGCGGGTTTTGATGTTAGGTGATGGTTGAGGTACTATGGAAACGTAAGTAGTTGAAGAGGTCCAGGGACAGAACCGAGTCATGTTATACGCCGGCGGAAATTTTTCGTCGTTTCATGGTTTGGAGACAGAATTGCGTTAAATTACGATAATATGCGTTAAAGCAGAATTGCGTTAAAGCAGAATGGTCATGTGAGAAGTTAGAAGTACAATGATTGATTTTAATTGTGAAGGTTATGATCTGAGAAGCTAATATACCTCCTAAGAGGCAGGTAAATTTTATTTCTTCGTGGGAAGCCGTAATTTGAATGCTGATGGTTCAATAAAAAGTTTGATTGTATCGAGCGCTCTGAAGGTTAGTTAAGCTGTGCAAGTCATGTGATCAGACTACGCCAGCGCCCAGTAATTCTGTAGCTTTAACCATTTGAGTTAGCCTTTAACCGAAATGTAGTTAAACTCAGAACCTCTGTTCTGAGTTTAACTATGAGAAGAATTAGATTCGATATATAGGAGAGACAAAAGAGACGTAATAAGTAGAAAGATTCAGCGCTAAACGCTTCTGTTTTCCTCGATTCTTCGGATTATTACGAAAATTGGGCAATTTTATTTCTTCAAGGACGATTTTTGCTATCAACGTGCAGGGCGCAACGATCGGGAAGCACACATCACGCCTGCTGGACCTGAAGAACAGAGGCCTCGTGTACGAATTCCTGGACATTTCTCTGGACGAGTCACCCATCATCCCGTACTCCTTGAAACGCAGATACATATACGATACTCCTGCTGGACACATCTCCATCACTGGTACTCCACAGTTAACTAGTTACCAGAGGTCTTCAAGTATTCTTTTAAGTGTTTACGCTTTTGTTTACATCCATGAGCATATAAAGGAACGCATTTAGTTCACGTATAAGCAACTGCCTAGTCATATTTAGCCGCCTTAGATTTTATGACTTTCCTCTTGAGATGTATCGAGGCCATTGATTTAATTGGTTTAATTAGCGCAAATTTCCTTTTATCCGCCTTAGATTCAGTAACTTTTCCCATGAAACGCAGCGAGGCCAGAGTCACATCGATTTAATTGGTTTAATTACCGTGAATTTATTTTTCCCCGCCAGGTGACGTGGTTGGACCAGCTTTCCCAGAAATCCCAGTCACGACGGAGTGTCTCCTGGGCTTGGAACTGATGGGGGCGGAGGCCGAGGCCTACAACTTTGCTGCAAATTTGTGGTCCTTGCACTACCTGCGCCTCACGAACCAGCTGGATAGTGACTTGACCCATAAGGTTCGTTGATTTTTGTTGGTTTTTGAATGACCTGCGTCTTAACAAACTGGGCGTTGCAATGACTCAAACGGTTAGGTGCAAATCTGTGCTCTTTAATCTACCAGCGAATCCAGCGAATCGACAAACTGCTGGAAAGCGGCATTACTTCTATGTTTAGGTGGACACTTTTGGTCTTTGCACCACCTGAGCCTTACCAACTAGCTAGTCAGCGACAGGATACTAAAAAAAATTAAGATCCCGTTTTTCAAAAATAACTTACATCGATGCAATGCAATTTGAATTATAAGTTAACGTCTAAAACAGTTAGGAAGGTTGAACCTAACCTACATTTGCGCGCAGTGTCGTCTCTTCTTCTTCAATCAAGAATCTGTGCAATGCGAATAATGTCACCACTGGAACATGAACTCATTTCATCAGGTTTTAATAACCGTTGCTTTTTATTGTGAATCGCGTTACTAAGTTTTTCAAACTTCTCTCTGAAAGCTCCGACCGCAGTACTACTAAATTCTCAGGTCCATAACGCCGTGGCGGTTCACTGCAACATTACATACCAGGTTCTGACCGCACTACCACCAAAATCTCAGGTCCTGAATGCCGTTGCGGTTCATTGCAACATTACATACCTGGTTCTGATCGCACTACCACCACATTCTTAGGTCCTGAACGCCGTGGCGGTTCACTGCAACATTACATACCAGGTTCTGACCGCACTACCACCACATTCTCAGGTCCTGAACGCCGTGGCGGTTCACTACGCCGCCATCGCGAGGTACCAGAACGCCGACGGTTCGTTCTCGATGTTCCCGGGCGACGAGGCGGGCGTGTGGCTCACCGCGCACATCCTCAAGACGCTCCTCGTCGCCGACTTCCAGGTTGATTGCCTTGATTAAAGTCAAATATGATACAATGAGTGGGCAGATGAACTATTAATTTTTTATTCACATGATTAAATTATTTAGTTGATTTCGGCTTCGAAAGGAAATTGAACTAAAGGAGGCCGAATGTTTAGAGTTTATGTTATCAAATTTGGAGCAGTGAGTAGTGGGTTCGATACCAGCAGCTATTTGTGAAATTCTGGTCGAAATCGGCAAGATGGCAGGGCGGTTAAACACCGCGGATGTTGGAGTAGTGGGTGGTGGTTTCGAGAGCCATAGCAAGTCGTGACAATTCCGTGGAGTTCAGAGTCGGTGACAGTCGTGATGGTCCAATCGTCTGCGTTGACAACGCTAATTGTTATTTCATATTCCATGGTAAATTTAACGAATAATTACTTAATGTTATATTTCTCAATTGAACAAGTTAATTACAGTAAATTACTAATTTGACTGTCTGCCTTTGAATTTCCATTGCACGTATTTAATTCACTGAACTTTCCTACCGAATTTGTGTTGATTGCTGCTCATGGTTCCTTGTTAAGTGAACACATAAATATATAAAAATTATTCATTAATTTAGTTACTTGCATGAATTTAATAGTTCAAATAAAATTATATTGAGTCGAGGCCTCGGGTTTCAATTACTTTATATGGTTGTTGAAATGAGCGTTGATCAATCCCAATAACCTGTCTGACATATACTAACATTTATATACAGGCTTATCGATAAATTATGATTTTTATTATATACATCTAGAGACACTGATAATTCTTTGATATTTTTTAGACATTCTTGAATTAAAAACCATATCATACATTCCTATAACACAGAATTGGGCAGCAGTTTAATTACCAAGTAGAGGAGTTGCAGAGCCATGTATAGTACAGCACGCAACTTCATTCTTGCTGATGTTTTAACTTGATTTATTGTAAGATGAACCCATGCCACATGGAACGCAATTTTCGATCTTTGGCCGTGATAATAAATATAATTACGAGCTCATAAGTCTGTCAGCCAATCACTGACGGCTTTTCAAGTTGAATCTACCAATCACAGACGAGAAATCTGCCTCTAAGTGTACCTAGGCCGCTACGAGTATATGGGTAGCTACATATACTTAGGCAGCTACGACTATATGGGTAGCTACATGTACTTCGGAAGCTACGTGTATATGGGTAGCTACATGTAATTAGGCCACTACGTGTATATGGGTATCTAGGAGTTCTTAGGCCGCCACGTGCATATGGGTAGCTAGGTATACTTTAACTGCTACGTGCTAGTGAGTTTTAATAGTTCTTTCTCAGAATACCATGATATATAAAGATGTAATGACATGAATATATAATCACATGTAAGTATAGCAAAATTAACCCACAGGACTGGGAGAACCACTTGTACATAGACCGCCACGTGCTGAGCACAGCGACTTCTTGGCTCATAGACCATCAGACCAGCGAGGGCAGCTTCGCCGAGACCCCTCACTACCACGAGACCTTAGACCCAAAAGTAGACCCCGACAAGGTGAGTGTCAGCGCTAAAACCCTCAATAGCATCAGCCATTAGACCCAAAGTTAGACCCCACCAAAGTGAGTGTTAGCCCCTTAACCCTCACTACATCCAGCCAATAGACCCAAAATTAGGCCCTACCTAGGTGATTGTCAGCCCCACAATCCTCACTACCACCAGATATTAGACCCAGAAGGAGACCTCACCAAAGTGAGTGTCAGATCTACAACCTTTTCAGACCATAAGACCACACCGAAGAAGGAACAGCAGCCCCGAAAATCTAAAAAAATTCCTTAGTACTGGAAATTTAACCCTAGGCCTCCGTAAGGTGCATGAACTTAGAATAAAATGAAGTAAGGTAAAAAATGCCTACAAATTAATATGGAAAATTGCACACATTTTAGACATTCATGTATTAATATAATCCGCCGTTGAAAGCTGAAATCGTTCCTACTGTATATAATTTTCATTTCAATATGCACTACCGGATGAGTTCCGTGTATCAGTTAACTTCATAGCCTCGGGTGATTACCGTAAGTGTTGTAATTACATAACTACAGTAACTGTTGTAATTACATAACTACAGTAACTGTTGTAATTACATAACTACAGTAACTGTTGTAATTACATAACTACAGTAACTAGTGCAGTTACATAACTACAGTAACTACTGTAATTACATAACTACAGTAACTAGTGCAGTTACATAACTACAGTAACTACTGTAATTACAAAGCTACAGTAACTACTGTAATCACATAACTACAGTCACGTTTAGATTATCAGACTAAAACCTATGTTAACTCAATTTAACATTTCTCTAGGGATAGAGACAATCAACGTTATCATGATAACAGAGTTGTTATTAGTAACGATCGTCAACATAATTAATTATAATCATGCATTGAGCGAATTCAATAACATAAATATTTAATCTAACAAATCCATAACCTTTATGGATAATAATAAAAAATAATAATAAAATCGGGGCAACAAAATAAAAATAAAATAATTGCCCGGTAAAATAAATAATAATAAAACCGGGGCAACAAAATAAAAATAAAATAAATAATCAATTATTATTATAATTAATAATAATAATAAATAAAACAATAATAATAATAATAATAATAATAATAATAATAATAAATAAAACAATAATAATAATAATAATAAATAAAATAAAATGCCCCAGAGGAAGGCGCGCAACCGCAGCGTCGCCCTGACGGCGCACGCGCTGCTCGCGCTGGTGCCCGTGACGCCCACCCTGCAGAGCGCCCTCAGGGTCAGGGCGAACTCTGCCATCACCAGCGCCCTCAGGTGGGTCCGTGGGCGTCAGGTGGGTCAGTGGGCGTCAGGTGGGTCAGTGGGCGTCAGGTGGGTCCGTGGGCGTCAGGTGGGTCAGTGGGCGTCAGGTGGGTCAGTGGGCGTCAGGTGGGTCAATGGGCGTCAGGTGGGTCAGTGGGCGTCAGGTGGGTCAGTGGGCGTCAGGTGGGTCCGTGGGCGTCAGGTGGGTCAGTGGGCGTCAGGTGGGTACGTGGGCGTCAGGTGGGTCAGTGGGCGTCAGGTGGGTACAGTGGACGTGTATAGGAACCTTAAGGTCAACACATTTGGGGCCTGGGCATCCTGACCTATTTTCCCCCAGTCCAAAGACCAATAACTTTAAAACAACAATCTTTATTTAAAGTTGATGGGTCATCCTGACTCATTTAGGCAAGTCAAAGTGGGTATCTCTACTCTCACAACCAATGCACTCTCTCCACTCGGACTGTGGGCATGAAAATCTCTTTCGTAAACAATGAATCATTCATTATTCTGAGTATAGATTTCATCGCTGTTGATCCCCACTAACCAGGCAAATGACTTTGGAACAAAAATCTTTATTGAAAGTTAAATCAACTAAAAAACGTTGAATTAAACGTTGATTAAACGTCGTGCGTCTGTTGCACAGTTACCTAGAGCGCGAGCTGCCCAGCCTGGTGGACCCGTACGACGTGGCGGTGGTAGCCTGGGCGCTCACCAAGGCGGAGGCCGGGGCGTCCGACTTGGCCTTCGAACGCCTCGACCTCATGAAGCGTACAGAAGGTGCGTAACGCGTGGTGAAGGTGCGTAATGCGTGGTGAAGGTGCGTAATGTGTGGTGAAGGTGCGTAATGCGTGGTGAAGGTGCGTAATGTGTGGTGAAGGTGCGTAATGCGTGGCGAAGGTGCGTAATGCGTGGTGAAGGTGCGTAATGTGTGGTGAAGGTGCGTAATGCGTAGCGAAGGTGCGTAATGCGTGGTGAAGGTGCGTAACGCGTGGTGAAGGTGCGTAATGTGTGGTGAAGGTGCGTAATGCGTGGCGAAGGTGCGTAACGGGTGGTGAAAGCACTTAATGCCTGGTGAACAGGTGGAACAATGGGCAAAGTTGCGTTCTGGAAGATGAAAGGGTATAACGCGGGGCAAAAGCACCCAATTTGGGGTAAAAAGGCGGGACGACGAAAGGTGACAGTGCGTTACGAGAGATGTAGGTATGTGACATTGGTGAAGGTGCGTAATGCGAAGTGATGAACTAATGATGCGTGTCGAGGAACGAAGAAGAGTAATGCAGGGTAGGTGGACGTGGGTAACGTGGGTGGATGCACCTAATGCAGGGTGGAGATACAGAACGAGTGGAGAAGATGTGTAACGTATCTCTCCTCTCGTTGAATTATGGTAGCGTTTGTTCATACAAATAAATTAAATCTAATGATGAGCTCGGCAGTTTCTGCCCAAATCCTTACGAATTTTGCAATGGAAATCCCTTCAATTCACAGGGTCACGCGTGTACTGGTCGAGGGAGCCCGTGGGGACGAACCCTCTGGTGTACGAGGACAGCCAGCGACCCTTCGTCCAGCCCAAGGTATGAAAGAGACCCTTCGTCGCACCCAATTGGTAGGAAAGCAACCTTCCATCCATTCCTATAGGTAGGAAAGTGATCTTCTTTTCCACCAAAGGTAGGAAAGAGATATATTTGATCAGCCCAAGGTGGGAAAGAGACCCTTCGTACAGTCCGACCAGAGGTAGGATGAAAAATTCAGTCTTAAAATGCCTAGCAAATTACGGACCAGGCAATAAGTCCAGCAGCTATCTCAATCAATCGTCAGCTATAGAAAGATCGGGTTCCAAAGGCCGGATCCCTTGTGAATCAAGTCACGAAAAGTTCAAGAATCGGCAACAGGCCATGGGCCTATTTCTTCAACGCCGACACTTCTATTCTATTCTATTCTTCTATTCTATAAGACCCTTCGTACAGTCTGATTAAAGGTAGGATAAAGACCCTTCGTTCAGTCAAAAGTATGAAAGAGACCCTCCATGCTCAGCCCAAGGTCGTAAAGAGACCCTCCACTCAGCCCAAGTTAAGAAAGAAGTCACAATATTGCATCAATATTTTCTTCTCTTGCTCCCTCAGGACGACCATAAGTCCACTCAGCCCAAGNACGACCAGAAGTGGGACGCGCACGCTGTGGAGACGACTGCGTACGCGCTGCTGCTGTACGTGGAGCGCGAGAGCCTCGGCGTCGTGCAGGAGAGCATCGTGCGCTTCCTGGCCGAGATGCGCGAGCTTGATGGAGGCCTCATATCTACCCTCGTGAGTGCCGTGATGAGGGTTGTTTGCCCTCGTGAGGAACGAACCCTCTGATGAGGGTTGTTAATGAGTGCTGTGATGAGGGCTGCCTTCTGATGAGGGCTCTGATGAGGGTTATTTGCCTTCGTGAGTGCCGTGATGAAGGATGTTTGTCCTCGTGGGTGCCGTGATGAGGGTTGTTTGCCCTCGTGAATGCCGTGATGAGGGTTGTTTACCATCGTGGGTCCCGTGATTAGGGTTGGTTGCCCTCGTGGGTCCCGTGATGAGGGTTGTTTGCCTTCGTGAGTGCCGTGATGAGGGTTGTTTGCCCTCGTGAGTGCCGTGATGAGGGTTGTTTGCCATCGTGGGTCCCGTGATGAGGGTTGGTTGCCCTCGTGGGTCCCGTGATGAGGGTTGTTTGCCCTCGTGAGTGCCGTGATGAGGGTTGTTTGCCCTCGTGAGTGCCGTGATGAGGGTTGTTTGCCCTCGTGAGTGCCGTGATGAGGGTTGTTTGTCCTCGTGAGTGCCGTGATGAGGGTTGTTTACCCTCGTGAGTGCCGTGATGAGGGTTGTTTGTCCTCGTGAGTGCGGTGATGAGGGTTGTTTGCCCTCGTGAGTGCCGCACGTGAATTAATTTATACTGAAATTGATTTCTGCTATGGACTAGGCCAGCAAGTCGGTCTCAACTGATATAGGCGTCTAAACGAGGGTGGAGTTAATTTTTTTCTGCCAGTCACATGGAAAATACGTTTATTTTGAAGAATGTATTGGCAGCCGGCCACTAAAGCGCATTTTACACCGTTTCTAACCGTTCCTTTCAAACCATACCGGAAAGTTTCGATAATATAATGTTTAAAGTTTCAAAATTTCAATGAGATCGTTTTACTAATGAGCTTGTATCATTACAGGACAGCGTGGTTGCTCTAGAGGCGTTAGTTGCGTACTCATACCGCGCTCGTATACGCGACATCACAGACCTACACGTGCGCTTTGAGATGTCAACCAACCCCAACCAGACGCTCGACGTGCACCTCTCCAACGACGGCAACCTGGCAGCCATCCGCTCCTTTGACGTGAGTTTAGAATAGAATAGAAGTGTCGGCGTTGAAGAAATAGGCCCATGGCCTATTCTGTAACTTAGTTTACTGTATTTTTATCTGAATTTCTATTCTTTCCAGATTATCATCTCATTCACTCTGATGATGGCTAAAGTGTAGATAGCCGAAACGTTAGAATATATGGAATTTTATCTCAGAACTGCGATCGTTTCTTTTTTATCCAGAATCATTATTCGACGCCTAAGTGTAATTGAGAAGGAAGTTTTTAGAAAACTTGAAAAACTGTTGAAACTCTATATAACTTCTGTTCCGTAAATACTTCTGTAACTGAGATTATGAGGTATGAGATGAGATATGAGACTTATTATTCGGATATGAGATTTAGTGAGTTTGAATACTTCGGTAACGGATATTATGAGGTATGAGATGAGATATAAGATTTATTATTCGGATATGAGATTTAGTGAGTTTAAATACTTCGGTAACTTCACGACATGAGAGTAATTACATCGCACATGTTTTCAAAATTGTGACCAAAAGCCATGCGATCGTCGAACGTAGATGGACGAAAATACAATGAGTAGTCAAATCATAAACTTATCTAGAATACATTTTTCAGACATTGAATAATTAATGAATAACACTATTTTACTAGCTGGAAGCTATCTATGGCCACATTAACGTTAAATACTTCGGTAACGGCGATAATAAGACATAAGATTTATTATTCGGATATGAGGTTTAATTTTTTTGCATCCATAAGGGATTGACGCAAGTTTAACTTTAGTTCGAATGGTAAAAATTTCTTGCACAATTTAGTGAAAAGGATATGAAACTTCGGCAATTTCATCTACCAAATCTCTGATCTCGAAATTGTTGACACGATGATTTATTGTTAGTTTCTTTGAGTGATGAAAAACCCACTTGAGGTAGGGAAATGTTTTGGAAGTTACTTCTACAACTGATCCTTGAACGCGTAACTAATAACTTTAATTTCAAACCACGTGAAAAATTCAGTTAATAATAAATAAAATAATAAACAATAAGAAATGATAACTATTGAATAATAGCAATATTTAAATATTAAATGAAATAACAAATAAGAATAAATGATTAATAGCAATAGTTGAATATTAAATGGATAATAGTAATATTAAATAATAAACGAAATAATAAATAAAATGAAATAAAAATGCCATTGAATAATGAATGAAACATCCTTCGTTCACCAGCTTGAAGCTATCTACGGCCACATCAACGTGATAGGTCACGGGTCAGGTCAAGCTCTAGTACAACTGGACTACACCTACGCCGTCGACCAGCCCGACGAGCTAGACATCCCCCCTGTGGAGGCCTACGACCTGGAGATCAAAGCCCTGTACTCGGGCCGAAACAATTCCCATATCAACATAACCGCCTGTCAGAGGTAAGGTTTTTTAATATTCTCTTGTTGTTTTTTTTATATATCTTTCTTTATATCAACATCACCACTTGCCAAAGGTAAGGTTTTTTAATATTCTCTTGTTTTTTTATATATATTTCTTTATATCAACATCACCGCCTGCCAAAGGTAAGGTTTTTTAATATTCTCTTGTTTTTTTATATATCTTTCTTTATATCAACATCACCGCCTGTCAGAGGTATGGTTTTTTAATATTCTCTTGTTGTTTTTTTTATATATCTTTCTTTATATCAACATCACCGCCTGCCAGAGGTAAGATTTTTTAATATTCTCTTGTTTTTTTTTATATATCTCTCTTTATATCAACATCACCGCTTGCCAAAGGTAAGGTTTTTTAATATTCTCTTGTTGTTTTTTATATATCTTTCTTTATATCAACATAACTGCCTGCCAAAGGTAAGGTTTTTTAATACTCTTTTGTTGTTTTTTTATATATCTTTCTTTATATCAACATCACCGCCTGCCAGAGGTAAGGTTTTTTAATATTCTTTTGTTGTTTTTTTATATATCTTTCTTTATATATTTCACCGCCTGCCAGAGGTAAGGTTTTTTAATATTCTCTTGTTGTTTTTTATATCTTTCTTTATATCAACATCGCCGCTTGCCAGAGGTAAGGTTTTTTAATATTCTCTTGTTTTTTTATATATCTTTCTTTATATCAACATCACCGCTTGCCAGAGGTATGGTTTTTTAATATTCTTTTGTTGTTTTTTTTTATATCTTTCTTTATATCAACATCACCGCTTGCCAGAGGTAAGGTTTTTTAATATTCTCTTGTTTTTTTTATATATCTTTCTTTATATCAACATCACCGCCTGCCAGAGGTAAGGTTTTTTAATATCCTTTTGTTACCTTTGTATGTATCTTTCTTTATATATTCCAAAAGTGCTGAAAATATAAATTTACGACTCTAAAACTGCTCGTTTGCCAAATTCGACTCACGAGTCACCATATTCGACAAAAATTATATTATATAATGTGGGCGTGTAATTATATTATAAAATTTGACATCGAGTAACCATATCTACTATCGAAAAAAATTAGTCACAATTGGATTGATCGTCCTTTATTAATCAACTAGCATGGGTTTTCATCGCATAAATTCAATGGATGCGATATGAGTACACTCAATGTATGCGTATGCTCAATGTTATCCAGTGGAAATAATGAGAAGCGCTAACAATCACAATTGTCTCAATTGACATGTTACCTTTATTGATGAAATATTGAAATATATTGAATCCCGTTTCTCTTCGTGAAGTGGTATCCAGCTATAAGACGCTCTAAACATCACAATTTTCCCCATTGACATGCTTTATTGATGAAATATTGAAATGTATTTAAATTGTGATGTTTAGAGCGTCTTATCACTGGATACCACTTAATGAAGAGAAAGAGGATTGACATGTTTGAGAGGATTGACCCCATTGACATGTTTTATTGATGAAATATTAAAATATATTGAATCCTGTTTCTCTTCTTGATTTGTAAATATGATCATTCATGTGTTACCAGATGGACATGCGAGGAAGCAGAGGAGACGAGCGGCTTGGCCATCACCAGCATCCACCTGCCCTCAGGTTACTACGTCATGCAAGACGACCTCATCCGTCTCGTGGACAGCAGAGTTGTGCCCAACCTGCGCTGGGCGCTACGCACCGACACTACGGTTAAGCTTTTCTTCAGCAAGGTAAGTACAGTAATTTATTACAAATCGTGGGTTTTACTAGTTCAGTAATTTCTTACAAATCGCTGGTATTATTTGTACTGTAATTTCTTTCCTATCTCCTGTTTTATTAGTGCATTAATCCCTCACCTATAATGGGGCTTAATAGACTATTAGTACAGTAATACGCCCGCCTATTGTGGGTGTTGCGTTCCAGTTGTTCCGCCGTGATAGATGATATAGGATTTAAATTAATGATAGACTGATAGTAATTATTTTAGTACATATATTGTGATGATTTTGTAAATTATAATTGTTTTAGATGTTTACAACAACTCCTTCCCACACTCTTGCTGCCGATCGAGTTGCTCGGGCTGTTCAAATCTGCCCATGGTCTTCATCACTGTACCGTGTAATTGACTTTGTTGAGAGATTTAACCAGAGTGGTTATGACTAAAGCTCGACAGGCCACGATACGATACGATACTAGCTCATCTCCTTGTTTAATTATTATTTGTAAATGGCTACACATAGCTCATCTGAATGAAATATACTGCCGCAGTTGACGGAGGAGTGGACGTGCGTGAGCTACCAAGTGGAACGCTGGCACGCTGTCTCCAACCACTCCCGCTACAACACCGCCATGGTTTACAGCCACTTCCAGCCTGGTAACGTACATACCAATTCATGTATTACTGAAAGTTGAATACTTGTTATGTTTACTAAGTACTGTCAATGACATTTATCACTTTCCTGGTGTAAAGGTACCAAAGTGATAAATAGGTACCAATACCAAAGTGTCTCAGGTTAGGGCAGGGTGGCCTAGTGGTTACAGTCCAGAGTACCAAGATTGGCGCAGAGAGGTGCGGGTTCGATCCCAGCTCTGTGCGCCAGTTTCTGGTCAGAATCGGCGAGGAGGCCGGGCGCGGTTAAGCGCAGCAGAATATTGTAGCAGTGAGTTGCGAGTTCGAGACCGCAAATTTCTGTGAGTGTTCTGCGATGTTAAGAATCGGCGACAGGCCTACGGCCTACTAAACGCTGAAACCGCTATGATTATTTATCACCATCCTGTTAAAATTTGAGATTGTAATATTCAATAATAATTGTTCTCGTTTGCTTCTCTTTGGAAACGTCTCCACCGCAACCAAAAAGCCTAGTCGAAAATTTTTATTTTATCGCGTGAAACTTCTTGTTGCAGTCCGAAATTCATCGTAGCAAAATTCATCTATGGCGTAACTTGAGAATTTGGATCCAAAACACACCACCGAACCTGAATTTTAATTACACCATTTCTACGGATTAATATAAGCCTTAACCAAATATCCTTAATGGTTCTATGTTGCTCAAAAGCGGAGATGATAAAGAGACAAAAATGTATTCGAAATTCCAACGCCATGGCGCCAGCGATTTGAAAATTATGACTAACTCAAAAGGAAACCCAAATACCTATTACCTGAGCACCTTTACCAGGTTACCTGAGTACTCGACTAGATTTTGACTAGGCCTTAACCCCTATCTGTGGATGCTCGGTCGGTAGTCAATGATTATGGAAGCATTGGCAGCGCCCATTTTTCTGATTAAAGGGCAGCATTTTTGGTGTGTATGCAATTACGCGTAAGTGCTGCTATATTCGATAATCCTGTCCATGTGCTACCGTATAATCCTGCCCAGGTGCTGCAGGTCCTAACAACCATTACGCTTCTTAAAATGGTTCATCACCAACAACACTGACAATAGTGACGTGCTGGTGGTAGTTGCTGATTGTGACAGGCGGTTTTGAGTACATTTTGAGTTGTACGTACTAAAAGTTGTACATTTTGAGGTTTTAGTTTTAGTTATAATTAATATGAAAACTTAACTGAAGTCATTTTTCATTTTTTACAGAGCGGTTCAATATGACGCTGTTCGAGGTGTACCCTCTGTATGACCTTGACATCTGTGAAGTGTGTGGCTCTTTCCAGGTCAGTAGCCTAGTAAATTACCTAAAATTACCCTGACAAATTATTTCTAAAAAATTTCGCTGTAAAATTACTTTAACAAATTACCCTAAAAATTACCCTAAAAATTACACTAACGATCACATGAAAAATTACCTTAAAATTAACTAAAAAATCACCCCTAAAATTATTTATTTTAGCGTAGTTACTGTCATGGGCAAAAATAATGAACGGGAAAAAATTTTGTCGCCAAAAAAATAACAATTTTTTTTGGGGGGGGGCTTATAAAATACAACGGATCAATATGATCAAAATCCTGCAGGAATCTAATTTTCTGCGATAAATCATGTAAGGCAAATTAGGCTTAAATTTAGCGATTCTAGATGAAGTCTATTGACATAATTCCTGAAATTTTATTTAAACAATTTATTTTGTTCAAATATTATAAAATTTATTTTCTACTTCTATATATATATATATTGGGTGATGATATATAATATTAATTACTTAATGTTTGTTTTTTTGGGCAGTGCCCCTACTGTCCCTTCTACAGCGGGGGCTTTATACCCGCCCCCTCCATGGGGGTTTGGTTGCCCCTGCTCCTGGTCTGGGGGTTAGTCTCCCATCTGTGGACCCCCCCACCTAGATGAGCCCAGCCTTTATTTGTATATACTATTAGTATCCACTTTTTAATTATATTTAACTTCACAAGTTTTAGTCAAATAATTATAGAATTTTTTTATATATTAGTTTAACTTTTTAATTATATTTAATTTTACAAGTCTTAGTCAAATAATTATAGAATTTTGACACTCTAGTCAACCACAAACATTCGCTTTATAAATCAAGGTCTTCAAAACCTATGTCTGGCTTGACTGCACAACGTCGAATCGTTCTCACTCTTTGTGGGTGACTTGTCCGTTCATGAATAATAACATTCTTTTTTTTCAAAGAATCATATGTTTTCATTCGTCTTTTTAATGTATAAATAATTTTTGCAAAAGTGTTAGTTGTTTGTAGTCTGCACAACTTCGAATCGTTCTCACTCTCTGTGGGTGACTTGTCTATTAATGAATAATAACATTCTTTTTTTTAAAGAACCTTATGTTTTCAGCCGTCTTTTTAATGTTTAAATAATTTTTGCAAAAGTGTTAGTTGTTTGTGGTAGAAAGTGTATAGATTTGTATATATTTCTATTAAATGGCAGAATTTACTTGTTTATACACGTGCGATTGATGATCAGAGAATTCTTTGTAGTTATATTATATTATCAGGGAGTGGAACTTTTCTTCTTGCTTTTTAATCTACCGTCATCTGGAGAAAAGTTCCACTCCCTGATAATATAAAGCAACGAATTCTCGGATCATCAATCGCTCGTGTATATTTGTATACATGTACGTGTAAGGTTATATGGCGTGCTGAGTTACGATAGTCGTAAAACAACGCCTGCAACGTATTTGCGTACGTGTACGGTTGTACGATACGTTGAGTGTACCATGGCCAGAGGTGGGCAGTAGCGCGCTACATTTTCAGTAGCGGTAGCGGCGCTACATTTAAGCCATTGTAGCGGTAGCGCCCGCTACATTTAGAGCATGTAGCGGTAGCGGTAGCGGCCGCTATATTTCAAAGTGGCGCTGCCCAGCTCAGACCATGGCAGTCACGGCGATACACTCAGACAAATTAATAACCGTTTGTCTTTATAGTGATTTACTTTTGCATTTATGTGCGTCACATTGACCAAGCTGGTCCCTTGAATAGGACGTATCTGTGCTACACCTTCCAAGTGTGTAACTATTTAGACAAAATAACCCATCAATTTTTCAGAGTGTATATCGGTCATCATAACAGAGTGAGTCAGTATCAGTTAACAGCAGCGTTGCTCTATCACCATATTTTTTGCTATTGAAGTTGTAATGAAAATTATCTATTAATGTTTTGCTCATATCAAGAATGAGCATTCTTAAATATATTGGTTTAGCAAACTTTAACTTTTGTTTATGCATGCAACAGAGTATTTGGGTTTCCGGGAATATTTTAAATCCTTTGAAATTAGTTTTATTAACTTATCTCCTAAATACTTGTTTAGTCCAAACCAGATCAACTTCAACTCGATTGCTTTCCCGAGTACAGAATTATTCATTAGCCTGGAGAAATCTTTATCAAAACTGATTTCTCTTTTTGTCGCATTTTTGTGTTGTTATATACAGGTTTTCATCCATGGATCGACTTTCGCCAATACTAATATCCAATGGATTTCCTCGAATTTCAATCCAAGTTCTTCAAACAGTTTCAAGTTGCTATCATGAATTACGTATTTTCACGCTTATCCATTAAGTTGAAGTACTAACTTATGAACATCCCCTATTTAAATATTTTCAGGGGCTACAGGTAAATCATTATAATTATTATGTACATCGTTTGTATACATACCTTAAAGTCAATGTCTAAAATGTAGATTTTATTATCTTTGATGGTTTATTTCCTTATAACCACCTAAAATTGCCTGTGGGTAGACTTTGTTACATTATCCAACCATATAAAATATTTCCACATAATTAAGATATATAATTACTTACTTTTCGTGAATCATAATTTTCACGAATCTATTTACTATGTTTAGCATATAATGGAAATATCATTGAAACACTACCTCTAAAACTTTCTATGTATAAGCATCATGTTTCATTTTTTTATTGAGTGTCAACTTTTTTCAGTTATCCCTAAAATCCTCAAGCACTTCAACTTACCATGACTACAATTAGAGTATGCAGCTGCTCTCATAGTTCCGGTAACGTATCGGCATTCACATGTGCAAGTCGAGTTATAGATAATTTATTTTAATTGTGTAAGTAAACTTAGTTATAAGATATTGTAACATTCGAAGATTTTGTATATTGTATTGGAACCAACAAAATTTGACCTTACTTTTATGGCAGGTGGTAGAAAGTGCCTAACCAGTGTACACGCGAGGTGTACAGTGTACACACGAGGTGTACAGTGTACACGCGAGGTGTACAGTGTACACGCGAGGTGTACAGTGTACCCGCGAGGTGTACAGTGTACACGCGAGGTGTACAGTGTACACGCGAGGTGTACAGTGTACCTGCGAGGTGTATATTTTGGATGTGTTAGTTGTGTGTTAGTTCAACGCTTGTGTAATGTTGAACTATGCCGGTGATAGAGTTAAGGAAAATATACAGGAATATAGTTATAAATGCTTATTTTAAATGTTGTGTGTTGTGTAATTATTTTGTGTTAAATTTAGAATAATAGATTTAGTCTTTTTATACTATCGCTTTCTCTAATAAAATACCATCTTTGATTACCTTGATTGTGTACAAAAAATCAAGCCACATATGTCATTATTACCTTGATTGTGTACAAAAAATCATGCAACATAAATCATTAAATTTCTATTGTATCGTCTCCACACTTGTTATTGCTTAACGAACTTACTGTTATGTCATAATCACAATATTGTTAATCACTTACGCTTACAATGAAGCATTATGAATTGTTTATACCTTAATTTAAGATACAAAACTCGACATAAACAGTTTTTTGTCAAGTTTTCATTCTGCTGAAACTGAATTTTGGCTGCAGTTTTTGAATAGCATAGAAGAAAGAATTGTTTGCTTTGCAATATAATCAATTTCAAAGTATTTATCGCTCAACTATGGTTTTGTAATTAATTAAAAAATAGATTTATACATAGATTGACTTAATTGGTTAAAAAATGCTTCAGTTATGGTCATCATTACAATTAATAGATCTTCCTCTACAACTTTGAATTTCGTGAAATGGGTGAGCGTCTCGAATTCGTGTCTGCGTAGTTTTCTGTCAAAAATGCACTCTAATGAAGTCATTTAGTGGCGTATTATTTGCTAATTTCATATTTTTTTTTCTATTTTTTTATTATTTTTTTCACCTGAATTTTTTTTTCAACTGACTTTTTTTTCATTTGAATTGCATATTTCATTATTATGCGTACGAAAACATCCTCCATACCAGGATTTGCTAATGAGCGTTGGACATCAATCAGCTCTTCATCTTCTAAACATTTATTTTGTTATCAGTATAAGCCAGTAATATTTAACACTATTTACCAATTATAACTAATCTTCATTAAGTCTATCGCTATTTTGTTATCAGTTAACTATTAATCATTGATAATTTCCTATTGTACAATAAAAACTTTTTCAAATGACCTGACATAATGGACATAATATACTGTGTGTTTCTCATGTTCTTATATGTTGAGGAATTAAATATATTGTACATGATCGATAAGGCGCAATTTTTGTGAAAATATTTGTGCACGTATTTTATTATAATCATTTAGGAAAGGAATTTGTTTGTTTGACTGATTGAATTCATAATAAAAATTAATTACAATATTTCTATTACATTCTAATTATGATAGCTATTCCTTTATTCGATTCACTGTTTCTAAGATAACAATAAACATATAACTATAAACAGGGCTGTACTTATCATTATTATTTGCCGAGTAAATTATTCATATTATCTTTGCAATATAAACGTTCAATTAAACAGTATTACTTTCCCAACTGTCTTTGCTTAACCTATAATGATGAAATCAATGTAAAACCGAAAACTTCATGTCAATTTTCATATTGTTAGTCCAGCTTGTGGGGACATGGCAACGTATTGTGGTCGACGTATCGTAGGGTACGTTTCATTGTTTCATTATACGTTTTATTGCACGATACGTTGCACGATACGTTGCACGATACGTTGCACAATACGTTGCACGATACGTTGCACGATACATTGCACGATACGTTACACGATACGTTGCACGATACGTTGTACGATACCACCGAATTGGTGATACGCTGGGACTTTTACCCTCCACCGAACTTGTATCGCACAAAATTATCCATATTAGTTCTTACATTGGCAGCCAAGATCTACATTTGAATTGATGCCTGTTCAGGGTATAGGCTGTTCAGACTACTCTTCTTGGTCTTTTTATCAAGGATCCTTGACTCTGAGTCTCACTTCGCTTCAGAGTCCTTGACTCCGAGTCACTCTTTTCATTTCAGAGTCCTTGACTCCGAGTCCCTTCATTTTAGACTCCTTGACTCCGAGTCAGTCTTTTCATTTCAGACTCCTTGACTCCGAGTCAGTCTCTTCACTTCAGAGTCCTTGACTCCGAGTCTCACTTCATTTCAGAGTCCTTGACTCCGAATCTCACTTCATTTCAGAGTCCTTGACTAAGAGTCAGTATCTTCATTTCAGAGTCCTTGACTCCGAGTCCCTTCATTTCAGAGTCCTTGACTCCGAGTCCCTTCATTTCAGAGTCCTTGACTCCGAATCAGTCCCTTCATTTCAGAGTCATTGAGTGATTCACTCTTCATTTTAGGTTTGCTCTTCACTACCCTAACAGTTCTTGGTTAGGGTAATGAATCAGAACTTTAAACACACAAGTTTGGATTTTTTGTTGTCGGTGCCGTGGAAACGGATGGGTCAGAAGGACACACTTTAATTAAATGTCTATACCAACCTATTGTAAATCTTGTAAATATTTTGATGGAAGAATGAAACAGCGGTATATATAATGTATACTGGATTATGGCAACCTATTGTAAATCTTGTAAATTGTTTGATGGAAAAAAACAGCGGTAAATATAAAGTATACTGGATTATGGCAACCTATTGTAAAGTTTGTAAATGGTTTTATGAAAGAATAAAACAGCGGTATATATAAAGTATACTGGATTATGGCAACCTATTGTAAAGTTTGTAAATTGTTTGATGAAAGAATAAAACAGCGGTAAATATAAAGATTGTTGGTTGTCTGTTTACAGCTGAGTGGTAACACGATAGACAAAGTTGAATAAGAAAATTTGAAAGATTTAAATTAACGAATGTAAATTAGAGTGTGAATGAAAAAGTATTATAAGGAGCATGAGTGGGGTAAGCATGTAACTGTAGAAGAAAACGATACCTTATCAATACTCATGCTATTACATAATTTATTCATATAAATAAATAGCACACAGCATTCATAAGTTCAATTTAGTTATGATATGTTCAACTTATTTAGTGATGATAGGGACAAAATACAAATATAGCCATTATACCAATTAATAAAATGTTTACAATGAAATAAGAATTGAACTAACCGAAAAATACAAAGAAACGAACACCACTTGTTCAGAATCAAATGAAAGAAAAACTATTTATGATAACATATAAAACTAAAATGATTCAATAAGTATTGAAGCTAGCATTAGGTGCAACATTAATAATTATAGCCGACAGACTAGAGCGACAGTTAGCAGGCACTTAATACGTTTAAAGCCTTATTTATGACTTCTAGCAACTTAAATTAGCAAAATTAACGTGTATAAAAATCTGTTTCCGAAGGCAAATATAAAAACTTACATCGATAACAAAGAATAAATAATGGGTGAAGATCATCTATGGATCATCTATGGGTCCATAGATGGGGGACAGACCCCCACACCAGGAGGAGGGGTAACCAAACCCACATGGAGGGGGTGGGCATGAAGCCCCCGCTGTAGAAGGGGCAGTATGGACACTGCAAATAATAAAATATAATTATTATTTTAATATTTATATTATTATAATATTGTAATAATAATTTTAATAGTATTAAATTTAATTTATTAAAATTTTAAATTTAATTAATTTAATATTATTATTTATTATAATATTATATACATTTTCAATGCATTTATATCGCAAAATAGATTTAATCATCGATTTAAGATTCAATTTTAAAAAGTTCTCCGCTATGCATTTGTACTTTGTTTCTTAATTCATTACCATTCTTTTATACTTCATTCATCAAATTTATTCTTTGATAAATAAATATTTCAGTAAAAAAGAAACTAATAAACTTATATTGTAAATTTAGATGGCAAAAATTGTTCCCGTTTTTATTTTTGTATGAAATAGTCTTAAATTAGGAACGAATTAAATACATAATTTCTGAGCTAATATGCCTGAACTGACACAATTCTTAATCGTTAATTGCCTGAGCTAATTAATTAATAATCAATAGTTGCTGTGTCATTAAAATTAATTATTAAATAATTGTCTGACCTGGAAAGAACCGCACACTTCACAGATGTCAAGGTCGTACAGAGAGTACACCTCGAACAGTGTCTGGTTGAACCGTTCTGCAAAAAACAACAAAAAATTTCACTCATTTCGTGGACTAATTTTGAAGTGAAGAGAAAACTGGATGAATTTTGTCCGATGTCCGATGAACGTTGATTAGACAATGATCGTACAATGATCGTACAATGAACGATTAGACAATGATTAGACAATGATCGTACAATGAACGATTAGACAATGATTAGACAATGATCGTACAATGAACGATTAGACAATGATTAGACAATGATCGTACAATGAACGTACAATGAACGATTAGACAATGATTAGACAATGATCGTACAATGATCGATTAGACAATGAACGTACATTGTCCGATGAACGTTGATTTGCAGCGCGGGTTTAATTGGCGGACAAAATCAACAACTTTCTAAAATCAATCTTCCGAATATCTTCTGAGTAGCAGCGAGGATCGTTAACTTACAGGCCCTAAAGATCATGAACAGGTTCATGCTTAAGTAACAAAGTTCTGTGAACCACAGCTCTCTTTCTACAACACGTAAATTTCAGGCAAAATAAAGCGAGAAGGATATAAAGTATATTTGAAATTGCCAAATATACAGATTTAATTGCTAAAAAATGTATTTAATTCCATGGGGAATATTTAATGGCATCTGGAGACCGCACAGTGATTATTCAACACCAACTACGTCAAATCAAACATGAAGTTGTCTCTACGTCACCAGGTTGGAAGTGGCTGTAGATGGCTGCTGCGTTGTAGCGGGAGTGGTTGGAGACAGCGTGCCAGCGTTCCACTTGGTAGCTAACGCACGTCCACTCCTCCGTCAACTGCGGTAGAACGGAAAAGTTCATCCAAATCCCCCGGGGATCAACATATATGACGCCAAATCAAATGGCCAATAATAATAATGTTAATACTATCAACTGCGGTAGAGTGGAAAAGTTCATCCAAATCCCCCGGGGACCAACATATATGACGCCATATCAAATGACCATTAATAATCATGGTAATACGACGATGACTATAGAATAGAATAGAAGTATCGGCACTGAAGAAATAGGCCCATGGCCTGTTGCCCATTCTTGAATTTTTCGTGACTTGATTCACAAGGGATCCGGCCTTTAGAACCCGATCTTTCCATAACTGACTATTGATTGAGATCACTGCTGGACTTATTGCCTGGTCCGTAATTTGCTAGGCATTTTAAGACTGAACATGTGCTTCTGCATAGCTTCGTCTAGTCTGTTCTTGAAGGCGTTCATACTCGGAGCGTCAACGATGCTTGACGGGTTCTCAGCTAAGGGACGGAGAGGTGGGTGACTGTTGGGTGGAGAACATTCGTTATAAATACCTTTCCTGATGTACCCACCCTACTGAAGTAGAGGTCAACCGTGGTGTCGGTGCGTACTGCCCAGCGCAGGTTGGGCACAACTCGGCTGTCCACGAGACGGATGAGGTCGTCTTGCATGACGTAGTAACCTGAGGGCAGGTGGATGCTGGTGATGGCCAAGCCGCTCGTCTCGCCATCTTCCTCGCATGTCCATCTGGTAACACATACAATAAACTGCTGGTGCCTAATTTCAAACCGCAGGTTTATATGTATCGTGATAGCGATTCTAGGAAAAGCAAGACAATGGTACCTAATGTTCTAACCCCTCATATTATAAATTTTATCAGGCGTGCTCTCAGTGTGAAAATGCAACAAAATTCTCGAATTGTAACAATATGAGAAAAAAGGAAACGTAGTCACAGGAATATGAAAAGCCATGTGGCTGTGACAGGCAATGATAATAAATGATGTGCCTACCTCTTTTATCATTGACAACCGATGATGTGCTTACATATCTTACCTCTGGCAGGCAAAAATCTGCACCCATCTCGTGTCTCCGGCAGGAGATGATGGATATGACAGGCTAACGTGCGCATTCACACCTTACCTCTGATAAGCGATAATGAGCCAAATCTCTTACCGGTGAAAACAATGTAAATACACATATAATACTACTGGTAAGCTATTATGAGTCTGAACCACGCACCACTGACAGGTGATAATGTGCCTCCACCTCGTACCTCTGGCAGGTGATAATGCACCTGCACCTCGTACCTATGGCAGGCGATATTGTAGCCACTTTTCGTACCTTTGGCAGGCGGTGATGTTGATGTGAGATTGATTGCGACCGGAATACTGGGCTTTGATCTCGAGGTCGTACGCATCCACTGGCGGATAGTCCATTTCGTCAGGCTGGTCGACTGCGTAGGTGTATTCCAGCTGAACAATAGCCTGTCCTGATCCATGCCCTATCACGTTGATGTGGCCATAGATAGTCTCCAGCTGGTAAAATAGCGTGATTCCTCCATTATTTAATGTCTGAAAAATGTGTTCAAGATAAATTTATAATTTAATTATTCATTGCATCGCCGTCCATCTACGTTCGACAATCGCATGGCCTTCGGGCACAATTTGGAAAATATGTACGATGCTATTACCCTCATGTCGTGAAGTTACCGAAGTATTTAAACTCACTAAATCTCATATCCGAATAATAAATCGCATATCTCATAATCTCCGTTACCGATATATTTAAACTCACTAAATCTCATAAGAATAATAAATCTCATAATCACCGTTACCGAAGTATTGAAACTCACGTCAAAGGAGCGGATGGCTGCAAGGTTGCCGTCGTTGGAGAGGTGCACGTCGAGCGTCTGGTTGGGGTTGGTTGACATCTCAAAGCGCACGTGTAGGTCTGTGATGTCGCGTATACGAGCGCGGTATGAGTACGCAACTAATGCCTCTAGAGCAACCACGCTGTCCTGTAATGATACAAGCTCATCAATGGAATATTCATGGATAATTATTGTAGGAAAAATAGTATTGATCTTTTTCAGAACTCGTAGTTTCGACGCTTCAAGCTACAGCTTGGTCAAAGACGAGACGAGAATACACGTAGACGAGATTCACGTAAAGAGTTACTTTACGCGTTATAGTTAGAAGAGTGCACGTAATTGTTTAACAAGAGGGTGTTGGGCGATCGACCTATAGCAGATATTTCCTTGCTAAATTCACAGAAAACGTTCGCGTAGCAGTTATGTCCCGTAATCGGTTTGCATGATCATATATCGTAATCTCTTTACCGTTGTACACGTATCGTTATCTGTTTACCGTGGTACATGTATCGTAATCTGTTTACAGCAGTCGTGTAATCAGTTCATGTAAAAATTTACCGTTATCGGTTGACCGTAGAGTGTCCTGCAAATGGTTTACACGAACATTTACAGTAACCCTACCGGAAATTTACAACACACGTCACGACACTTACGACGGTCGTGATGTGTCCGCCGTCCGTCTTGCGCATCTCGGCGAGGAAGCGCACGATGCTCTCCTGCACGACGCCGAGGCTCTCGCGCTCCACGTACAGCAGCAGCGCGTACGCAGTCGTCTCCACAGCGTGCGCGTCCCACTTCTGGTCGTCCTGAGGGAGCAAGAGAAGAAAATATTGATGCAATATTGTGGCCTCTTTCCTTACTTGGGCTGGGTGGACTTCTGGTCGTCCTGAGGGAGCAAGAGAAGAAAATATTGATGCAATATTGTGACTCCTTTCCTTACTTGGGCTGGGTGGACTTCTGGTCGTCCTGAGGGAGCAAGAGAAGAAAACATTGATGCAATATTGTGGCCTCTTTCCTTACTTGGGCTGGGTGGACTTCTGGTCGTCCTGAGGGAGCAAGAGAAGAAAATGTTGATGCAATATTGTGACTTCTTTCCTTAATTGGGCTGGGTGGACTTTTGTTCATCCTGAGGGAGCGAGAGAAGAAAATATTGATGCAATATTGAGATCTCTTTCAATGCTTGGGCTGGGTGGAGGGTCTCTTTCTCACCTTGGGCTGAACGAAGAGTCTCTTACATACTTTGGACTGAACGAATGGTCCTTATTCTACCTTTAATCAGACTGTACGAAGGGACTTCATCCTACCTCTGGTCGGACTGTACGAAGGGTCTTTATCCTAGCTTTAGTCAGACTGTACGAAGGGTCTCTTCTTTACCTTGGGTTGAATAAAGGGCCGTTGGCTGTCCTCGTACACCAGAGGGTTCGTCCCAATGGGTTCTCTTGACCAGTACACCCGCGACCCTGTTGCGCAATTTGGTCATCAGGATAGGCGAATTTTCATTGAATCGTTGTTGGAAAAATAAATACAAACGTTTTGGGCTTATGATAATATCAGGATAAGTCTTTTGCAACTTCACCCCTCGTATAGCAACGTAGGCCATCATCACGCACATTCATCGCTCATTTTTCTTCATCACTCGCTGTGCACCTTCCTTCCTAGTTACGAGCCTACATATCTTGTTTCGCACTCTCACCCGATGCTACATATGCACTTTCTCATTTATATAGTATTTCTTCCCCCCACCTCCCGTAAGGTTGCACCACCCAAAAATATGGACATACATCTTTCTTTTGCCGAATTCTACATGTGCTAAGTCGAAAATCGAGTATTGTTATACGCACAAATAGATCCTGAACTTTACTGTAAATATGTCGACATCTTTGCGATTGTTTGGGATGAAAATAAACTGTGAAATTTGCACACGGCTTTAGAATTCAATTCTGTCTTGAAGTTCACTCATGAATTCTGATAAAACCGGTCTCTGCCTTTCCTGGATATATTCGGGCAAGTTGAGGATAATGTGTTCGTCACCAAAGTTTACCGGAATCCCTACATACATCGGAAAAGTCCTGTACAAAGAAAGCGAATGTCCACAGAGATTCAAAACGAGCACTTTAAGCGCCCCCATGCATCTAGCTTTTACAACCGGTACATCCGCTAGCGACTTGAAAACTGAACTCTTAACCTGCAAGCAAATTTTGTTAAACAACGGCTATGCGATCAAAACTATTGACTCTAAAATTTGAAATTATCGAGCAGGTCAAAACCTACCTAATAATGAACCTACATACAACGGAAGCATCACGACTATTTATTACCAAAATCAGATCAGCACCGGCTACAAGACAGATGAATGAGTCCTTTATTCAATTGTGCAAAAATAACATCAGAAACACCACAGCAACTGACCGAATCAAACTTTTGATTTAATATAATAGCAAAAACTTAATCATGGAAAATAATCGGGACAAAAAAAAGGAACCGCTGCAAGAAACCAAAGATGATTACAAATTTTCCTGCTATAAAGAAGGTTGTAGACTTATCCAGAATGTTAATTATATCGGTTTAACTAGTACGACCTTAAACCGCCGCCTCATATGTCACCTTTAATCTGTGGGGCCAAAGAACCATATGCGAAAAGCTCACAACGAGACCATCACCCGCGCAACATTAGAAGCCTGCACCAGCATCGTCATGCGGTGCCCCGACACAACGAGACTGACGATAGCAGATGCTCTCATCATCAAGAACGAGTCTCCAGCAATCAATTTGTAAACACAGGATTTGTCAGAAGCGTTGAAATTATTCTCGGAGTAATTTAAGTTTCGATTATCGTCTGTATCCATTGTACTCCTCGTATGTACTAATATCATCACAAAACAACAATTTCAAATATTGTAAAACTCTTCATTTACTTGATGATGAATATTGAATATTCGAAACGTCGTAAATTATAATTATAATACAAGGTCCCTTGTAAACCTCATATTCGAACTTTCTAATCCCACTTAAATCCTGATTCGTCGAATTGCGAAAAACAATAAGAAAATTGTTAGTAACAACTACTCTCCGGTCTTCAACGAAATTTGTATCAAAGAACAGCTTTCTTTACGCATGGCTACCATAGGTTAAGCACCTCATCCATGGTTACGCACCTCAACCATAGTTACGCACCTCAACTATAGTTACGCACCTCAACCATAGTTACGCACATCAACCATAGTTACGCTCCTCAACCATAGTTACGCTCCTCAACCATAGTTACGCTCCTCAACCATAGTTACGCACCTCAACCATAGTTACGCACCTCACTCCATAGTTACGCTCCTCAACCATAGTTACGCTCCTCAACCATGGTTACGCACCTCAACCATAGTTACGCTCCTCAACCATAGTTACGCACCTCACCCATAGTTACGCACCTCACCCATGGCTACGGACCACAACTATGGTTACGCACCTCAGCCATAGTTACGCACCCAGAGCTGGATAGCGCTACTTTGAAATGTAGCGGCCACTACCGCTACCGCTACAATCTACAATTGCTTAAATGTGGCGCTGCTACCGCTACCGCTACTGAAAACGTAGCGGCCGCTAGTAGCGTCGCTACCTGTAGCGCGCTACTGCTCACCTCTGTACGCACCACAACCATGGTTACGCACCACAGCCATGGCTACGTACCTCAACCATAGTTACGTACCTCACCCATGGCTATATACGCACCTTCAGTGCGTTTCATGGAGGCGAGACGTGCAAAAGCAGCGTCCGCACCACCCGCCCCCGCCTTAGTTAGCGCCCATGCCACAACCGCGACGTCGTACGGGTCCACCAGGCTGGGCAGTTTGCGGTCCAAGTAACTGGGGAGCCAAGATTTTATAGCAATGAAAGCTGGACGAGTTGATACGTCAATATACGTCAATATAAAAGGAATGTTTATGTTATTTTTAATATTTTTCCTAACAAGATAGTCATGAGGCTTGATTTCATAAAGGCTGTAAATATATGAAGACTTATGGTTTAGGCCTTATGGTTTTCACTGCCTAGCAGGTAGCAGTGAAAATGATTCGACACCAATGCAAGTTGCCTTGGTTGAGCGCGTCCTGCTCACTCAACCTTTGTTTCTTTCTAGTTCATATTTATTTTTATTATAACTCTATGATAGTCTTTGATTTTCATCTGCATCATCAGCAATAATTACAAAACACGCCTCTCTAGGTCGTAGGTAGAGGCAGTCATTGACTGCAAGAAGGTGGAGAGTGGAGGCAGCGTGAATAGGTTAGGCCAGAGAAGGTTAGGCCAGAGAAGGTTAGGCCAGAGAAGGTTAGGCCAGAGAAGGTTAGGCCAGTGAAGGCTAGGCCAGAGAAGGTTAGGGCAGAGAAGGCTAGGCCAGAGAAGGTTAGGCCAGAAAAGGTTAGGCCAGAGAAGGCTAGGCCAGAAAAGATTACGCCAGAGAAGGTTAGGCCAGAGAAGGTTAGGCCAGAGAAGGTTAGGCCAGAGAAGGCTAGGCCAGAGAAGGCTAGGCCAGAAAAGGCTAGGCCAGAGAAGGTTAGGCCAGAGTAGGCTACGCCAGAGTAGGTTAGGCCAGAGAAGGCTAGGCTAGAGTAGGTTAAGCCAGAGAAGGTTAAGCCAGAGAAGGTTAAGCCAGAGAAGGTTAGGCCAGAGAAGGCTAGGCCAGAGTAGGTTAGGCCAGAGAAGGCTAGGCCAGAGTAGGCTAGGCCAGAGAAGGCTACTCAAACAGTTCGTCATTAGTCTGGCTTACAGTATTCCAGAAAAGTCTGCGGCTTAGTAACTGTACCCAGCTTACGGTTCCTGTATACACCCACTGGCCCACCTGACGCCCACTGACCCACCTGACGCCCACTGACCCACCTGACGCCAACTGACCCACCTGACGCCCACTAACCCACCTGACGCCCACGGACCCACCTGACGCCCACGGACCCACCTGACACCCACTGACCCATCTGACGCCCACTGACCCACCTGACGCCCACGGACCCACCTGACGCCCACGGACCCACCTAACGCCCACGGACCCACCTGACGCCCATGGAGCCACCTGACGCCCACGGACCCATCTGACGCCCACTGACCCACCTGACGCCCACTGACCCACCTGACGCCCACTGACCCACCTGATAGCGCTGGTGATGGCAGAGTTCGCCCTGACCCTGAGGGCGCTCTGCAGGGTGGGCGTCACGGGCACCAGCGCGAGCAGCGCGTGCGCCGTCAGGGCGACGCTGCGGTTGCGCGCCTTCCTCTGGGGCGGCAACCGGGCAATTATTTTTATTTTTGTTTCTTGTCCCGGTTTTATTATTTTTTATTATTATCCATAAAGGTTGTGGATTTGATAGATTAAATATTACTGTTATTAAATTAATAAAACGATGACAGTGGTGAGAGTTTCCATGCAGTCAAATAGACAAAAACAACTTCTTGATTGTTTCGAACCAAAATATCTTTGCAGTAGGCAAGTGTACAATGTTTGTACGATTTCCTCACTTGACTGGGCCAGAGACCACACAAAACGGGATCAAATACTTGACATCAGACAATATTGTGCAGCTTTATGTTCCGCGTTGGTTTTCAGTTGTCATAACGACGCCAGATTCCACTTCTCTTTTGGTGCCTTATAGAAATGAGAGTACGATACTTCATCGAAGAGTCTCCAGTAGAGACTAGAGTCTATACTAGAGTCTAAACTAGAGTCTAGACTAGAGTATAGACTAGAGTCTAGACTAGAGTCTAGACTAGAGTCTAGACTGGAGTCTAGACTAGAGTCTATAGACTAGAGTCTAGACAGTCTATAGACTAGAGTCTAGACAGTCTATAGACTAGAGTCTAGACTAGAGTCTAGACTAGAGTCTAGACTGAAGTCTAGACTAGAGTCTAGACCAGAGTCTAGACTCTAGTCTAGACTAGAGTCTAGACTAGTCTAGACTAGAGTCTAGTAGACTCTAGGATTAAGAGTCTAACTTGAACCTATTGTTTGATATGAAATTGAGAGCCCGGCACTCTGGACTTTATGGTAACGAGGTTTAAACCCACCTTGTTGGGGTCTACTTCAGGTTCGAGGTCTTGGTAGTAAGGGGTCTCGGCGAAGCTCCCATCGCTGGTCTGATGGTCTATGAGCCACGAAGCCGCTGTACTCAGTATTTTGCGGTCTATGTACAGGTGGTTCTCCCAGTCCTGAGAGATGATTTTACGATTTATTATGCAATAATATTCGTATATTTTTTTTATATACGAGGTTAATTTTTGCAAGTCGGATGGTTGATTATGAATTCGTCTTCAAAGAATATTATCAAAACATAATCATGCTCCCTGCAGGCTTACGCTGAAAAACTTATTGCACATTCAGCTTTTGTTTATCACTTGCATTAATTACAATTTATTATTAAATAAAGATTCAAATATTAGTGTTTTAACATAGTTAGTGTTTTAATAAAATTGTATATAATTAATTCATGATAATTGTTACAAAATTATCGAGAAAATTCCACGAAATTGTTATTATATATTCATTTTTTGATATCAGCGGAATATATCGTGATTTCTTGATACAACATTAGTTACATTACTATTAATACTTATTGTTAAGCATTCATTTCTACTTTCTTTAATAGTCATAAATTTACGGTCACGTAATTCTTTAACAGCCACGTGACATACAGGTATTTATTTTTAATTAGTATATTAAATTATAAAATATAAAAAATAAAATACATTACGTGCGGCTACCAAAGAATTAAAAACTTGAAGTAAATATGTGGGTAGACGGCAGTTTAATGGACAAATAATGTTTCAGTAACTTGTATCAAAAATCTAATGAATAGAAATATATTGATGCCATTTTCCCGCTTCTTTATATTATTCAATTAAGAATTGATCTTTCTTAAGCCGTCTGGATTGAAATTGCATGAAGTGGAACCTTTGGCATCGGCACAATCCCGATTTTATTTACACGATATAATTCATGCAAAAAATTCATGTCTTAAATTCACGGCAATCAACCTGGATTCAATCTCGATTTTATTTACACGATATAATTCATGCAAAAAATTCATGTCCTAAATTCACGGCAATCGACCTGGATTCAATCTCGATTTTATTTACACGATACAATTCATGCAAATAATTCATGTCCTGAATTCACGGCAATCAACCTGGATTCAATCTCGATTTTATTTACACGATACAATTCATGCAAAAAATTAATGTCCTAAATTAACGGCTATCAACCTGGAAGTCGGCGACGAGGAGCGTCTTGAGGACGTGCGCTGTGAGCCACACGCCCGCCTCGTCGCCCGGGAACATCGAGAACGAACCGTCGGCGTTCTGGTACCTCGCGATGGCGGCGTAGTGAACCGCCACGGCGTTCAGGACCTGAGAATGTGGTGGTAGTGCGGTCAGAACCTGGTATGTAATGTTGCAGTGAACCGCCACGGCGTTCAGGACCTGAGAATGTGGTGGTACTGCGGTGAGAACCTGGTATGTAAGTTGCAGTGAACCGCCACGGCGTTCAGGACATGAGAATGTGGGGGTACTGCGGTCAGAACCTGGTATGTAGTGTTGCAGTGAACCGCCACGGCGTTCAGGACCTGAGAATGTGGTGGTACTGCGGTCAGAACCTGGTATGCAAATCAACCAAACCTTATAAGTCATGCTACTGTCCAGCTGGTTGGTGAGGCGCAGGTAGCGCAAGGACCACAAGTCACAACCAAACCTTATAAGTCATGCTGCTGTCCAGCTGGTTTGTGAGGCGCAGGTAGCGCAAGGACCACAAGTCACAACCAAACCTTATAAGTCATGCTGCTGTCCAGCTGGTTTGTGAGGCGCAGGTAGTGCAGGGACCACAAATTTGCAGCAAAGTTGTAGGCCTCGGCCTCCGCCCCCATCAGTTCCATGCCCAACATAATGTCCGTCGTTACTGGGATTTCGGGGAATGAGGGCCCAACCACGTCACCTGTTAGAAATCAAAGAAAATTTACCTTATCATTGGGAAAAGTAAAGCTCCTACACCACAACATGCCATATGAAATTACATTATAAAATGGGCAACTTGAAAATGACTTTCCGAAGCTGTGGCACCACTTAAGCTGTGCACTCGAGTAGCTTAGTAGAGTTAAATATATTAGGCTGACAAGGTGATCACGTCACGAGTTGTTAACGGAGAGGGCAAACCTATGCATATCATCTTCTACTTTGGCCAGATACTGTCAACGACCATTACCATCCGATAAGATAGGTATTCACTTTTATCACTTAAGGGAGAAATACCCTGGAGCCAAAAAATGTTCGTTATGCTCAGTTATGTAGGCTCATTAGTTGACCGTAATAATCGTATCATAATCATATGTAATCATAAGGAGATTACACAGAGACAAGAGATAGAATTCTTCAATGATGGCAAACTGTGCGATTCTACGTAGTTTTGTAGGCCTGGTTTTCAAGCAGCCAGTAAGAAATATTCTACCATAGTCCTGGTGGTCAGATATGTATTTTAAATTAGAATAAAAAACTTTGTAGTAGTATTAACCTATTATTCTCGATAAAAATTCTTCGCTGCCTTCTATAAACCGAAGCTAATTGTATGGTATAGCGGTTTCAGAGTTCATTTGGTCGTTAGACCTGTTGCCGATTTTTAACCACGCAGAGCATTAACAGTTTGTTGTGGGTCTCCAACACGCAACTACATGCTCCAATTTTGCTGTGCTTAAAGCTTGGGCACCGAGCCGATATGACCAGGGCCTATACTTTCAAAAAAAGTTAAGAGATCGTAAATTCGTCAGCCAATCATTGACGGCCTTTCAAGGAATATCCACCAATCATAGACAAGAAAATAGAGCGTAAGTACTTACGTCCACTTAGCGAATTTTAAAAGTATGGCCCACTGGTATTGATGACTGGTGGGGAATCGAACTTAACATCGAACTAGTTAACAGTGAAGTACCAGTGATGGAGATGTGTCCAGCGGGTGTATCGTAAATGTATCTGCGTTCCAGGGAGTACGGGATGATGGGGGACTCGTCCAGGTCTACGTCCAGGAACTCGTACACGAGGCCTCTGTTCTTCAGGTCCAGCAGGCGCGACGTGTGCTGCTGGATTGTCACGCCCTGTACACGAAATGCAGCATAAAGATATGAATTATGAATATAATAATAGCGGTTTCAGCGTTTATTATGTCGTAGGCCTGTCGCCGAATCTTAACATCGAGGAACATTCCCGGCTTGTTGCGGTCTCGAACTCGCAATTCACTGCTACAATTTTGCTGTACTTAACCGCCCGGCCTCCTCGCCGATTCTGACCAGAAACTGGCGCACAGAGCTGGGATCGAACCCGCGCCTCTCTGCGCCAATCCTGGTACTCTGAACTGTAACCACTGGGCCACCGCCTGGTTTCAATGTGATAAATAGTATAATAATTTCGCGATACAAATGTGAATTTTATATGAAATGCAGGAATAATAATTCATAATAAAGAATTAAATAGCAGAAATTCAGCACTATATGTGACAAATGTTTTGAGTGTGTCTTCATTTGAAACCTGGCGCAGTAAATACCCGTGACATTTACCCCCATAAGTGCGTACCCGTGACATTTACAGTGTCGGGATTTAATTGAGAGACGAAATTTTATTATTGGTGGAAATGTTGTGGACATGAGAAAACAGTAGAAAAGGGGCGTGCATAGTAAAAAATTGAATTTTAATATAAATTTTTCGGATTGATTTCTTTTGCCCTCAAATAAAAAATTAAACTAATTTTCAGACTTCGAAAGTTGAGTTTAATGAGAATGTCTCTAGTATAAATTACCGTAGTTTCAAAATTACTTAAGGAACTTGGCATGATGAGATTCAAGATTGTGGGTGTTTTCTGATCCTTCTTTTTCCTTTTGGGCTTAATTAATTAATTTTATCATGTTTAATTAGATCAAGATGACCCACACAATGACTAGAAGTGCTCGCTAATTGAACAAAATCTCACGCATTTCTATGCGTGAGCGTCGAATATTAAGAACAATAATACCTTGAATATTAATATTTTTCTATATATTATTAATTGGCGCAGTCTCAGTTTCGATTACTTCAAGTGAATGAGTCTGAAGTTTAACAATAATTTGGAGTGAAGTATAAATTATTTAATAATAAATTCAACAACTAATAATCTGTCCCAGTAAACAATATCTATTAAAATAGCTCGTAACAATCTCTTGGATTGGCCATTTTAGATTTTTATTCGTCAGTAATAATAAAGAATCAATCTGCATAATTATCCTCGTAGGAATGAGTTGATCAAACAGAAAAAAAATAGTTTAGAATAGAATAGAAGTGTCGGCACTGAAGAAATAGGCACATGGCCTGTTGCCGATTCTTGAATTTTTCTTGACTTGATTCACAAGGGATCCGGCCTTTGGAACCCGATCTTTCNGTCACTGTCCATCATCATCTGGGTGGAGCCTGTCACCGTCACCATCACCTCCCCCATCCCCGTGAACACGATGGGGATGCTCACGTCCCGGAACTCCCCAGGCTGCAACTGTGAATTTCAACATTCCAATCTACATATATTATTTTTAATAGTACTTAGGTTGTTCTTTATTTTATCATAACAAAAACATAAAATTTAGACAATTTACAAAAGCTGGACACCCAAACTAGGTGTTGGAACTTCTCTCATCGCTATTACACTTAGTATCCTAAGTATCCTTAGTATTTGTTTGGGACGTAGCAGTCCCAGGCCACGATGGATCGCCGCAGGTATGCTGCGCCGTGCTGCGTGGCCAGGTATCCTTAGTATCCTTAGTATTTGTTTGGGACGTAGCAGTCCCAGGCCACGATGGATCGCCGCCTCTGATTATCGTTCATCCGCCCTCATTTGGGCCACCTGATGCACGATGCTGTTGCTTGCTTCTCGCCGCTGGTAGTGTTGCAGGGGAGTTTGACCTGTGATTGTGCCCAGGAAAACGTTCAGTCTTCTCTTGAAAGTCTCCAGGGTGAACTCCCTCTCTCTTAGATCCTTTAGTAGGACGCTAAACAGCCTCGGCCCTGCCACGGAAAGGGATCCTTCCCGCAGGGATTGAACCTCAGATTTGTTACGTAGTGGGGGGATCCTACACAGTCTCCCCCTACTTTCGTTATAGTGTGTGTCTCAATCTTGAAGGTCTCGTTTTCGAAGTTTGGTGCCATTCCCGTTATCATTTTTCATGTTTACAGAATGACATACCCATGATTGAATTATATAAGGTTGACCCACGAAGATTTCCGTCTTTCAGTTCAGCTTTCTTGATACGTCACTGAAATCGAGAAACGTAACTAATCCTGTCCTTCCCATGACTGATTGGTTGACTGGTTTGATCGCCTTTCGGTGATTGGTTAATGCTTGTGACGTCACTGAGATCAGTGACGTCATAGGCGAACAACACACTACATCCGCAAAAATGAGCTTCTCATATGGGTCAACTTTATACTAGTTCAACCGCGGACAAACCTCAGTGAGTAAAGACCAAGTCATTGCAACCTCCCCCAGAAGTTCAACTCCTCCAACCCTCTGTTCCTGGCAGTGAAGGTTCGTTAGACCCCTTCCAGTTGCCGTACTGCCCCGAGTGTGACCGGGGTCCAGAGCTGGCAGCAGTATTCAAGGATAAATATTACAAGGGCTCTGAAGAGTGTGATCATCGGTTCCGCTTCTGTCGTTCTGAACATTCGCCAGATCCACCCCATCTGTCGCCTACCTCTTGCGGCTATTGCCTCTATGTGATCACCAAACTTGACCTGAGTGTTCATCAACACTCCTAGATCGCGAAAGAGTCGCTTCTCTTCGATTTCCGCGTTGTCAGGTGCTAGATAGGGGTACTCCATTCCAGCTCTTCCGGTTCCTCTGTACCTCAGAACCTCAAACTTGCTCCCGTTGTACTGCATGTTGTGCACCTCGGCCCAATCATATATTGCAGAAAGGTCTTCTTGCAACCTCTCATAGTCCGTCCTGTCCGTGATGATCATTAGTATCCTAGTATCGTCCGCGAATGACGATGCAGTGGCGTGGTTCACTGCCATATCTATGTCGGCGATGTGAATGAGGAAGAGGATTGGGAGGAGGAGTGGAGTTCCGTTCCCTGTGGTACTCACCAAGCACTAGTCGCCTACAGAACTAGCTCACCCAAACTAGGTGCTGGAACTCTATTACCATCACTACACTATTTGATAATTATCGAAATAAGTGACCATTAAATGTCACTTCTTCTTTGCCAATTTATAGAACTGTCAAGCCGTTAGAATAATCAATAATTATTAATAATTATTGGCACTAGCGAAATAAGTGACCATGAAACGTGCAACAAAATTTAAAATCATCATCCAACCGGTCAAAATACATTTTCATGACATGTCACTTCCTCTCTTCCAAGATAAATACAATCTACAGATGACCAAAAACGCATGCATTACTCACGATTTAAAAATCAAAATATGAAGATTGTGCGATAGTAAAAAATTAGAACATATTATTCAGATTGTTAGGTCTATGACTCCGCAAAAAGTCTCTCTTGCAACACCAAGACGCTGTAAATCACTTCGACGTCAGAAAACGTGCTGGAGCACCAGCAGTTAAACAAAGTGACGATACCTGAGAAACTTCCCATGCCCAATATTACGGATTCAATTTATGCTGGACATACATGTAATGTGCAGTACTTTAACAAGTTATACTTAATCAGAGTATATTACCAGGTTCCTGTACATGAAAATAGTCGTAAATTTACAGCTATCAGTACCCCACATAACCATTACCAATTCAAGAGACTTTCATTCGGTTTACGGATAAATAACTACTAAAAATATATATAACTAATAGTTGATGGTAGTTACGACTTGTGTCTGTCGTAAGCTTACAACTTTTGTAAGTCATAAAAATTTTAAAATTGCGATCTCAACGAAACTTTAGTTCGTGAACGAAACACAAAATGGGAATGAGACATTCAGGCAAAAATTGTTAATTGTGGAAAATGACATTGCACAAATTTCGTATACCAGATACATCAAGAAATATATAAGTTCATACAGTGTTATTAATATAATGAAAATTGTGGTTTCAATATCAAAGTTATAGAAAATATATAACTATAAGTACTGTAAGTATTGCCGCAATAAAAAAGTAGTGTTGCAAATTGCTGTGGGGTTGCGATTTACTGATAACAAATGATAACAAACGATAACTGTACGTAATTTGGACATTGTCTTAAAACAACATAATACAAAAACAATTCGCTTTTGAGCGTGGAAATCAACGCCTGCATCTACTTTCCTTTAAGTAAAATTATATTAAAAAAATAAAGTTATCATATTCTCTCAACGCCCATTCACTCTTAAATTAAAATACCAGTTTTTATTACTACTTCGACAGTAATATTAATAAAATTAGAATATCAGCAGTGACAACAGAAGTAGAGGTTTTAGTATGCGTAGAATGAGTGTTAGGAGTGGCCGTATTTATATTAGCACTGTTAATACAACAGTACTACCATCACGTTACCAGAAGAGGACTGTGTCAGAAGTGCATGGTAGTTTAAAGTTTAAAGAAATAGGTAGGTCAGTAAAATATGAGCATAGTACCGGCTGCATGACTGCGCTGGTAGTAGACGGTAGTGTCAGTAAGTAGAAGTAGATCAGCGAAGGCGAAGGTAGAGGCAACGTCGGGACCCCCCAGACTGGTCGGGAAGAACTGCACCTTAGAACCTCCACCGTCGCGGGACCTGCGTTATTGATCCACCGTTAATTATTTTAATAGTCGCAAAGCTATTTATAAAATTAAATACTTGAAATATAAATTTGTCAGTCCACCTGAAAAGGATAGGAAACGGCATTGACAGGAAGCCAGTAATAATTTAACTTTCTTACTTGATTTTTTCATTAATTTTTTACCGAAGAATTCTGTCAACGCTATTATGCAATTTTCAAAAAGCCTATGAATAGTAATATTAAAATCCTGTCCCCCCTAAGCCAACAATTTTCCATGGTATTCTCTGCCGAGAGGCCCTGCCACCCAGTGTAGAGTGACGGGAGGCACTCGCCGCTGGCCCAAGAGTGGCAGGAGGCACCCGCCACTGGCCCAAGATTGGCAGGAGGCTCCCGCCACTGACCTGGTGGCGGCCCGCCGGATGTGAGGCTTCGGCGCATCGGCGTAGGGGAAATCGTCCTGCACGCGATGGTTTTTGGGACGTGGCTGCGATAAACGGGCCCGGCTTGACTTCTCGGATAAGATGGCGTCTTCTCCAAGTCCCATCATGCGATGTAGCACTCGAGACTCGTCGAGGTCATGTCCCGCGTCCAGGAAGTTTGTTTCCTCCCACAACGAAGAAACGCCAAAAAAGGACCCAATTTCACCGAGCATTTTCCACTCGGATGAACCGCCCGAGTGGTCTTTGTGGTCGTTCCAGCGGATGCCGACCTGATAAGGAAAATTTTATCAACAGATGATAGGTTGAACTGGGACGTTGGAGGCCGGAAGTCATGGAGCAGGAAAATCCTTCGACTCACATTGATCAATATTCAACCTCTGAAAGATAGTTATTAAAAATTTTATAATGCTATTATGAACACAATTACCAAGAGTTTATTACGACAGAAAATAAGTTAGAGGCTTGCCTCATGGCGCCCCAGAGGGTTGACGGGAATGGCGATGGCGTGGGTGACCAACTGACCGTCGTCTGCTACGGCCCACACTGTCACTCTGGCCACCGGCGCCATCTTGGTTTGCAGGTTGGAAAACAAAGTAAGTGAGATACATTTAAATAAATACTTGAGTAAATAGAAACATAGGCACCATCGTGTTTTACAGGTTGGAAACGAAGAAGTTAGATACATTTGAAATGAATACAAGATTTAGCTAATTTAGTTAGCCATGGGCCTATTTCTTCAATGCCGACACTTCTATTGTAATTTATTCTATAATTGTACAGTGGATAATTCATATTTTCAGTGAACAAAGTGAGGTGGACTTGTTCACAATCCTCGCAGTAATTCCGATGTACTGGACTAAAGCCCCAACTTCATACTTTATTTCAATCCTCTTGGACACTCATGGCTCAGGTTTCACAATTGGCTAGAAGGGAGAACATTTACCTCCATGTAACCGTGTCATGTAATGAATCACGACCATCGTATCTTGTTAGGTTGTGCGACATGTATGCCATGATATGACTCACGAACATCTAGCCATGTACAGTATATGAATTATGATCCGTGTACTATGTTATGACGCTTGTACTTTGATTGTAATGCACGATCTGAAATATGTGAACATGTCGTAGTTCCGGGCCATTACTTGAACTACTTTCACATTTACCACCTGTGAATGATACTGCAAGCATTACCGCTATCGTCACTACTTGGGTAGATCATAAATATTACTACCACTTCAACTACCACCATCATCCCCACTTCTACCACTTCTTACTTCGGTAGACGCGGGTATGGCGAAGGTGGTGACAGTAGGCAGGTTCTTGTCTGTGACCGCAGTGCGGTCGGTGTAAAGCGCCACTCCACTGCCGCTCATCTGCGTAAACAGTCCATCAAGGGTAAATCGCGTCAATTATGTATTATAGTAATATACTGGCAATTATGGTAATTTATCGAATAAATTACGAGGTAAATTATTCTGTAAAAAGTTTTTAAAAAGTAATTACTTACAATGAAGTTGATGTAGTCAGTCTTGAAGTTGTTCCTCACGTGCAGGACGATGTAGTCGCCTGGGGAGATGTCCTGACTGGATGTTTCCACCTGTTAAGAATATTTGTGATAAATTTCCACAAGACGTAGGTTTAAGACAACGGGTACAACGTAGGTACACTATCTCCAAGGATTCAACTCTCATTGGATTAATCTCAGTCTTAACGTACATACTTTGTCAGTGGCATGTTGAATCAAAGTGATTTTTTTAGAGACGTTGAATTTAAGTGCCTTTAGCGGTTAAGTTTGGAGTGCCAACGTTTCAATTCAAATATTTTCAAGAAATATTATGAGTAACCATTGCAGTAAATAAAGGCTTAACGGAAACGAACGATGAAACAGTCTCACTCAACACGACTGTTACGTTTGCTGGTCGTATAGCTTAAGAGTCCCAGCTAAGGAAGATGGTCAGAGATGAGACTAGAACTGGGGGAAATGTATTTGGTGGAATCTGGTAAAAAACTGAAGGGCAAAGGCTTGCTGGCCATACATCGACAAAGTATTGACAATATAGTAGTTCTATTTGAATTTGATCGTTAATATATAAACACGTATCAATGATCACTTGCACCAACTTGGAGGTAGTAGTCCCGGGGGGAGTGGTGTTTGGTGCCCAGCGCGGTGGACGCAGCTTGCAGGCCGCTTGTGCTCTTGAACCTGAGCAAAGGAACTCAAATAAATTAACAAACACAAAGCTTCTATATAACTACGGACGTACGATCCAAGAGTAAGCGCAGGTCTTCTTTCATTGAGTTATAGTGAAATTCAAAGCTTGCATAAGGTGCCACTTACTGAGCATCAATTTTCAAAGTTTCTGCCAATTCCGGAATGTCAAACACCGCCTTCGCCACACCTCCTTGCTCGACTAGATCAAGTCCTGAAATCTCTGCGCTTTCGACCTGAATAAACAAAAAGGAAAATACAAGTAATTAAAACATGCATAAACGATTATAAAAACCTTATTTTAATTCTTTACCTATCGAAAATCACAGCCAGCGATGGTGATGTAAGGATTCTTAACTAAGTTATCACAGGTATAGAAAATTTAGAGTTAATTAGCATAATGAACATTTTTAATGGCTCTCACCTGGCTTGTTCCTCCCGATACGTACAAGGTGATTGTCACCTTGGCCTGCTCAAGTTCCTCTTCATCGAACGGATGATGGTCAGCGTACGAGGCAAACGCCTGTAAACAAGAAGTAAAAGTCTTTGAATTGTATTTCCCAATCAGGATAGTAGATCGCATTAGAAAATTTTGTCAGGTTAAGTAAAAACTCACAGTTTTCGCAATAAGATTCTCGTAATGTGTCGAGAGGGTCGACACATTACGTGTCGAGGGTAAGCACATTAATGTGTCGAGAGGGTAAGCGAGAGGGCCGCACATGCAGAATACGAGTCCGAATTTGGAAAAGAAATCTAGCATGAATAAATGCAAGCTCACGTGGACGGTGATAGGCATTCCAGGACGGAAAACCAGCGGCTGGTCGCCAAGAATTTGAAGCATTGCTTCGTCATGGACGACTCTGGCGATCGCCCAGCCTCGTATTATCCTCCAGCCAAACACGTCCCCCACGTCGGCCACCACGCGAAGACTCAAGTCCAAGTCCTCGCCTGAAGAAGTGGACACCAGTCCACTGATGTCGAAGTCGAAGGGGTGCACTCCCTGGAACTGGTAGGAGAAGGTGTTCATTTGGATATTCGTTTTAATCTTGCGTGGCAATTACATTTCCACGGCAAGGCATTGGATAAATACAAAGAAAATCTGGCTACAAACAACGATCCTAGATCCTTTTCCTCTTCCATCAATCCCACTCAGACAGCAGCATTTCTCGATTTGAAAATGTTTGAAGAAAACTGAGGAAAGTCCTAATGAAATGGTGTAAAAAATTTCATGAAACTTGATGAATGAAATTTAATCTATTATTTTCAGTGACTGAATAGCCCCAACCGAGGAACATAATGTGATTTTAGAGAAGAATATCTTAATTCTTAACCAAAAGAGGAAGTTGCCTTCCAATTGACTAAGACTAGTAGCAATGCCTATTACTTCTGTAATTCTTTTAGATAAACGTTGAAACGACCAAATCATTGGGCCTGAACGATCTAAATCAATATAGAAGAGGAATAAATTCATTGATACAGATGCTGAGATGGGACTAACAATTTACATCAAACCTTATCACCTTCATTGCAATGCAATATTAATAACACACCAAGAACATTTCAGTACCAATTAATGTTATGTATGAGTTCGTTATAAACGGTAGAGAAATCGGCGTCGCTGGGTATGGAGTTTTTGGCATTAAACAACAACATATAAAGGAACTTACGTTATGTATGAATTCGTTATAAACGGTGGAGAAGTCTGCGTCGCTGGGTATGGAGTTTTTGGAGTGGAAGGCCGACTGGAGCAGCAAGGAGCAGTTGCCGTGGACGTGTCGCCAGTTCGTCATGTTGGCGACCACGACGCCCGTCAGGCGCTCGTCTACCGTCTTGACGGTGTGTGGCAACCGCACGAACACCTGGCGTGTTATTCTTATGAATAATTGCACATGATAGTTATAATAAAGTCGAAATGTTCTAATAATGAATTAAATGCGTATATAGACCTCACCTCAAACCTGGGTTTGAAGTATGTATAAAATTGAAGTTTTCGTAGTAATAATAATGAATTACGTGCATATCTAGACCTCACCTCAAACCTGGGACTGAAGTACTGTTCACAAATTAACACGAATTATTCTTTCATCTACCAGAAATAATATTGTAAAAATTAAAGTTTTCATATTAGTAATAATAACATATATAGACCTCACCTCAAACCTGGGTCTGAAGTATTGCTCCACGAGGAAGGTTTTGTCCTCCACCTGCGCCAGAGCCTCCACCCGCAGCCTCCACCTGCCCAGTACGGGGTACTGGGGGAGCTCGAACGCCAGCGTCACCACACCTGGTGAATTATAATATAGTATAATTATAGTATATAGAATATAGTATATAATATATAGTATAAAGTATTTATTATAGTATAATAGTTTAGTAGTATAGTACTACAGTTGAAGAATAGTCCAAGTCTGGCCTGTCGCTAAACCTTGTAATGTACAGTAGTTGTCTGCATGTTTAAGTTCTGACGACTGCTTTTTTCCAGATCTATCCATACTGACGTTTAAGCTAAGTAGCTGCTGAACATCCAGCAATTTATGAGGTGGGAGGCGCTTCTACGCTAAACAAATACCTGTGTATCGCTCTATATAATTGAAACCATTTTATAGTGTAAATATTTTTATTACATGTATTATTTAGATACATAAAATATGTCATACATCAGTGTCACCACGCCAGGAAAGTGATGACAAAAATATAAGAAATGCATGCAACTCTTGCAGGTTGTGAAATTTATAAGTTGTGTAAGAGCAAACTTTAATTTAAATATTGGTGACAATAAAGTAACTTAATTATAGACAATAATTAACTGTATGTTTACCTAAAGTTAGTTAATTTAAGACATTAAATGCATGGCAAAACGCACGCACCGTGCCCGGTCTGCATGGAGGGCCAGCGGCGCATGACGCGGCCGTGCGAGTCCTGGCGATCAATTCACGCGTTATTATATAGCAGCGATCGGTATTTACGGCGAAATCAATGCATTTTATAATATAATAGTTATATAATATATTATATAACCTATTAAACTCAACTGTGATCTTCTCAGCATTGAAATTGAGTTAGACATTAAATACAAATTTGGGAAATTTATTCATTCCGATGATTAAATGAATATCTAAATTTGAATTGCAGTCGAACAAAATTTTATAAAATTTTAAAGTTGGAAATAAAAATTATTCAAATTAAGCAACATTTAAAATTCTGAGGGATTGTGATCCACTCCCTCATCATAACTTGTTCGTATTCTGGCGTATGAAGATGATGTTTCGTATATATATGATTTGTCGAATAAATGATTGAGTTATAATTGAGTTATTATTGAATAACTGATCGAGTAATTATGCACGTCACGACGTCGTCTCACCAGCACGAACACGTCCACGGGCTCGTCGTAGGGCTTCAGGTCCCTCGTCAGCAGAATGGCTCGGAAGCGAACTGCGAATATCATCGCAAATCTATAAATGAAATGATACGATCGCCTTTAGAAAGTTTCAAAATAATTAAAACCATGAACGAATTACTCCGGTATCGTTTTGGCGAAGATACATTTTCAATATTGCTGCATCTTGAGGTCTCACAAGTGACATGGTTAAGAGCTGATGCGTCACTTGCAAGAAATTGTCTGTTCTTGATTTTATGATTTAACATGCTGAGTTAAACGGGCAGGAAGTATTAGTATAATTTCAGGCAATACTACCAGCAGGTACCAGTATCAGCTGACACAAATCCTGGTTTTTAGCAGTGTTTTCTGACATCAATGCCTTCCCGCATGAAAGTCTTGGAATAAAAATTTGTTCGAAAGGAGACGCCAGCTTTTGGTGTAAATGAACAGCAAGAGCGTACAGCTATATCATCCGTCGGTCAGGCATTGTAAACGGGTCATGACGGTTTTTCACCCGTCTGTTCGGAGTTGTAGACGGGTCGGGACGGCTGTCTCACCCGTCTGCCCGGCGTTGTAGACGGGTAAATACGGTTGCCTCACCCGTCTTTCCGGTGTTGTAGACGGGTCGGGACGGCTGTATAACCCGTCCTTCCGGCGTTGCAGACGGGTCGGGACGGTTGTCTCACCCGTCTGTTCGGCGTTGTAGACAGGTCGAGACGGTTGGATGAGGATGGTCAGGAAGGTGGGGGAGTACAACTCACCCGTCTGTCCGGCGTTGTAGACGGGTCGAGACGGTTGGATGAGGATGGTCAGGAAGGTGGGGGAGTACAACTCACCCGTCTGTCCGGCGTTGTAGACGGGACGAGACGGCTGGATGAGGATGGTCAGGAAGGTGGGGGAGTAGGTGAGGTTCGCTGTCTGGGAGAAGATGAGGCTGCCGCCCACCCGCGTCCTGCCGTCCACCCGCAGCTGCCAGTCCCCACCCGCCTCCGAGAGCGGAACCTTGAAGAGGTGACATTAAACTACCCGTTAGATTTAAATGGAACGTTTGAATGGTAATAATTATGATTATTGCCCGTTAGATAACATGTAAATGTTATTTGAGCAGAATACCTTAAACCATAAATAGAAAACATTAAACTACCCATTAGAATGAAATGGAACGTTTGAATGGTAATAATTATGATAAAACTTGAATGATAACACGATAAAAATACACTAAGAAACATGAATGGATCATCGTGTCCAATTAGTGACACACTTCCTTACCGTCTGTACGAATAAAGAGCGGACGTTACGCTGATAGATCCTTTTATTGGACCAAACTGGGGTAGGATGACCCACACTACGGTAGAATTTGCATCGTTATTTGGACAATGTCCCACTCATTTCTCTGATTGCACGGCAGAGAAAATCAAGGGAATGGCTAACACTGAATTCACGGGCGTCGTTGAACAGGATTTACAATCCTAGCAGGCATAACGAGCATATGTAGAGAAAAATATAACTCAGTACTCACTGCAGTGAGTGACAGGAAGCGCATTTTCTCGTCGACGAAAACTTGAGGTCACGGACGGACGGAAAGACGGACGGACATGGCGAGCACAATAGTGCATTTTTTCCATAAATGAGAAAATGCGCTAACAACGCGCGGTCCAGTTTCCGGGATACGTACGTAGCATAGGTAAGTCAACTTGCAAGCATCGACGTGCATACTAGAAATTATTTAGTCGAGAAGATCACAGAATAAAGAAGAGAGTTACAACTTACGATAAGCACGCACGCAATTTGAGGCTGGACCATGAATTACATGTAGCCGAGTTCGGAAAACCAACCGAGAAGTGACATCTATAATTAGAATTGAATGCTAAGGATCAGTAAAAGGGGTAGGTAATCCGAAAAGGATTGTAGTTCAGGTAGGAAAGGAGAAAAAATAAAACTTAGATATTTAGGCCTAAATAGAAATACTCATGTGGTTCATGTGTGTATAAACAACTAATAACACCGGAACTCCTTAGTCTGATAATACTTTAAAATTTGTTTTCTATCACGGTATTCAGGGGTGCAAAATTTTTTGAATCAAACCGCTCCTAGTTTTTTTTCAGATTGAGCGCATTTCTTCGGGCTCAACTTATGAATGAAAACTAATGAACGTCAATAACTAGGGAATCATGAATAGAGGCAAGGGGTGTCAGGATGACGATGAAACGCATCGATCTGTTGCACAAGTGTTCGATCTCCCCTGCTGAACTGCAACGTCAGCATATTTGTATTTGAATGTCGCAAAATAAAGGAATGAAAGTGCAGTTACTAATAAGGGTATAGTACCTTTCCATGCGAGACAACATAACAACGAGCTTGATACAAAGAATATAGCTCATTGTTTGGGGGATTGTTCGGAATGAAAACTCGTATATGATTGTAACGGTTTCTGAAAACAAAGAATGAACAACTTGAACACAAAGTTGAGGGTAGTAGAAATTATAAACAATATAGGAAAATAATCGAGGAAAAGAAACAATAAAGTGAACATAACATAAATAATAACGTCCTAAATTGTTGAACAATCTAGTACTAGTCTAGTTTGGTTAGAGACAGAGTTTTGCCTAAGCTCGTCGACTCTGGTCCTATATATGAAAGGTCCAAATTTTAAGTGCGCGGGAGAAGTATGCTCCGAAATAATTCTTAACACTTGACGTGTTTGAGTTTTGGTAACTGTAATTCACGATTCGTTTTTCCACAACAAAGCTAGCTTAACACTTTCATGCAGTCGTGGAACGTAAAATTTTGCTTAAGTATATTCGTTAAAATCTGTGGAAGCTACATCAAGTTCACACTGTTGAAGTTGAAGTTACCAGCAGCAGCAAGTTGGAACTCCCTGCGTTGAAGTTGTAGTTACCTGCAACAGCAAGTTGGAACTCCCTGCGTTGAAGTTGTAGTTACCTGCAACAGCAAGTTGGACCTCGCCTGCGTTGAAGTTGTAGTTACCTGCAACAGCAAGTTGGACCTCGCCTGCGTTGAAGTTGTAGTTACCTGCAACAGCAAGTTGGACCTCTTGGTGTGATGGACAACCAGAGTACCTTCTGCCACACGCAGCCACACCACCACGCCACCACATACACATTATACCACCACCACTGAGCTGGAGGACAACCAGGAGATGGTCGTGATGCTGGTGGTGTGATGGACAGCCACCCGCATCAGAACCACGCCACCAGGCACCACACGCATCACACCACAAGCAATAAGCGTTGAGAATTGTTTCGACTTGAAATCACCCCTTATTACCATAGTTACCAACCTTGTTTAATTGGCTGATTCCACCTGTCACTGGTTAGTTACAACCATCCACCTTCTTTCATTCCACGACCCATCGGCACTCAGTCTCACCCTGTGCCCCAACTTATCTTGCATCCCGACTTACCCAACCCTTGCATCGAAACTTTAACCTGATTTACCTTGTATCCGACTCATCTTTCACCCCGACTCACCTTTCACCCCGACTCATCTTTCATCTTTCACCCAGACTCATCTTTCACCCAGACTCACCTTTCACCCAGACTCACCTTTCACCCCGACTCACCTTTCACCCAGACTCATCTTTCACCCTGACTTATCTTTCACCCCGACTCATCTTTCACCCCGACTCACCTTTCACCCCGACTCATCTTTCACCCCGACTCACCTTTCACCCAACTCACCTTTCACCCCGACTCACCCCTGCTGGGTGGGCTGCTGCTCGGAGGGTAGGTGGGGTCGAAGGAAGAGGCTGGCGAGGGGACGGCCGAGGGAAGAACCCTCAAAGAAGGGGACCTGCCGCACTGGACAGCGTGTGCAAGCCTCCGTTGAAATTATCGCACAAAAAATTAACGCCACATATTTAAAAGGAAGTTTGAAAAAGGAATAATGATAATTTTAAAAGGGAACAATACGAAATGTTATTGTAATTCAATAAATCATGCATTTTACAACACATGATATACGTGTAATGATATAATTCGTGTAACCATGGAAGTCATCCAACTTAGTTTGAAATTGGAAGCTAACCTTTTGAAACCAAATCCTGGCGTACGTAAATGTTGCTACAATCTAGTCATAAATGACATTAAAGATGCAATTACAATTATTCCATAATTAGAGCAAAACAAGACCTGTGCAGAACAGCAGTAACAGTGAGAAACAGTCAGTAGTAAGAAACGGAAGGAGTGAAAACAGGAGAATGCGATGAACATAGCACAGGCAAAAACTGTAAACAACAGCGCTAAAACAACAGCGGTGAATCGCATCAATATTAACCAAAAAAAAATATAACTCAGTACTCACTGCAGTGAGTGACAGAGAGCGCATTTTCTCGTCGACGAAAACTTGAGGTCACGGACAGACGGACGGACAGACGGACAGACAGACAGACGGACAGACGGACATGGCGAGCACAATAGTGCATTTTTTCCATAAATGATAAAATGCGCTAAAAACAAACAGCATTTACAAAAACCCGACTATTCCACTCACGCGACCGTAGGTTATCGCTGATTGTAGCGTTGCAGCTGATGCAGGTTCGTATCATCAGCTGCACCAGCATCAGATGCAGGATCAGCTGCCGACATGCACTAACCACCTGTTGTCCCATGCTAGTCCGGCAAGTTAAATTCAAACGTCAAGCAAAGCCCCATACATCACAAAAAATTACATCTGACTGCTCTGCAACCACGAGTATAGCAGCAGCTGCAGCAGCTATTGCTGTTGTATATAGAGTTTCAACAGTTTTTCAAGTTTTCTAAAAACTTCCTTTTCAATTACACTTAGGCGTCGAATAATGATTCTGGATAAAAAAGAGACGATCGCAGTTCTGAAATAAAAATCCATATATTCTAACGTTTCGGCTATCTACACTTCAATGTACTTTGTAATGTTGTTGTAATGTTGTACACTTCAATGTACACTTCAATGTACTTTGTAATGTTGTTGTAATGTTGTACTTGTCACAGCTGCAGGGAACACGTTGGTGCTACAGCAGGTTGTTCTAGAACACTCATCAAGTGTTCTGATTCAGGGAACACGCAAATACTTCAACTGGTTGCTCTAGAACACACATAAAATGTCGGGGAACACACGGTTGTTACTGCTGGTTGTTCTAGAATCTAGAACACACATCAAATGTCGGGGAACACGCGGCTGTTACTTTTTGTTGTTCTAGAATCTAGAACACACATCAAGTGTCCTGAACAGGGAACACACGTTTGATACTGTTTCTTCTTCCAGAACACTAATCAAAGTGTCCTGAATCAGAGAACACACGTTTGCTTCTGCTTATTCTTCTACAACACTAACCAAGTGTCCTGATTTAGAACACATGTGTTCTACTGATTAATGTTCAGGAAACTCATCAAGTGTCAGGGACACACGTATGCTGCTGCTTCTTAAAAAAGAAGCATCTTAAAATCTTAAAGTGTGCTGTATAGCACCGCAGCACGCCAACCTTCCAAAGAAAGGTGTAAACTATTATCATAAATACAATTGTCATTACAAGTATATGTGAAATTATCATTAAAATAGTAGTTATAATTATCTATTATTATACTAAATACATGGAAATTGTTCCGCGCATGGTAGTTGAACACTTCGTGGTTCATTGCTCAGTATAAACTACCGTTATAATCAATCACACATGCTCTTTAAAAGTCATAGACATAGGAGTATAAAAGGGTCATGTCTTTAGGTATGCAACTTCATATACTTAAATCTATATAAAACAGTTTAACTGAATCAGTCACCATGTATAGTATCGCATCTCAAATAACATAAAAAATTTGTACCATCACATGCAGTTTTACTTTTGTAATTCTTCATATTTTTAAAATCTCCACTGCTGTGTTTTCTTCAAATTTAAATACACCCGAAGAATGTGCAGTTGAAAGGACGCGTTTCCACGCAATTAAAAACCTTTTTTTCAATGCCGGTCACGTAATGGAGAAATAAAATCACATTGTGGCCATGGATACATCAGGAGAACGTGTTCCACAATAGGCTTTTATGTACGTGCGGCGACAAAAGTTTTCTTCATGTTGTACAATTGAATTGATTTATGCGAATAATTAGCAATATGAAGAGAAGAACATCGCATGGCGTGGTGAAGTGTGGTGCTGTGAGTATCACCAGTCAAGTATATATATGCTGCACACCAGGGGCCATACTTTCAAAACTCGCTAAGTGAACGTAAGTACTTATACGCTCTATTTTCTTGTCTATGATTGGGGGATTTGGCTTGAATGGCCGTCAATGATTGGGTTCTAAACTTACGATGTCTTAACTATTCTTGAAAGTTTAGGCCCTGCATCATACGTAATATCGCCATACTCTGTTCTATCAGGTTTGCCCGAGGTTGCCCGTGCTACATAATTTCTGGAATTTTGGAATCTAGCTATCCCAAATTCCGTCATTCCTGGAATCCCTATTCCCGTTACTAATAATAAACCTTATGTATTCAAATCATATAAATATTACTTTAAACCCACATTTTAACGACTACGTTGAAGAAAGGACCCCAATTTTACTCTCGTTAAATAATTTGGAAAAATAATTTTCCGCCTTTTCAAAGAAATTGATATGTACCCATTTCAAAATCATATTTCAAAATTTCCTCGAATCCTTTCTTCGCTTCCCTAAATCTTTTCCTTTTCCTAGTAAACTTTCAGGTCCAGGCAATATTCCGACACGAGTATCCTGAATAGTCACCCCAACAGCCCCTATATATATTGCGGCGCCACAAGTATCCTGGATACGCGCCCCAACAGCCCCCATATATTGCGGCGCCATAAGTATCCTGGATACGCGCCCCAACAGCCCCTATATATTGCGGCGCCATAAGTATCCTGGATACGCGCCCCAACAGACCCTATATATTTTGACCCTAGGCTTCAAACTCATTAGTTATAAAAATATATATGAATGTAAGGTATATCATATAGCGGGGCAGCTCACCAGTCTTTTTTTCCAGGTTCTGGTGAACTCTGATAAACATGTTATTTGACCTCAAAATTTATTGTCGATTTATCCATGCCGATTTAATCACATCGATGAGTTGTTTGTGAAAATGATTTGTGATTAATTTTAGTTTTCCATTTTTGCCCTATGTTTCGTCTAATGCCGGTCCTGTATATGATGTGTATGTCGTTGTTGATCTATTCACACAGGATATGTTTAATTATCATAATGTCTGTCGTTATTCAGGGTGTGATAGTTTTGTATCTCATTTGAGGGTATGGGCGTTTACATTTACCGGATAATTTCATTGTTCCTGAAATTTCACCCTGGTCAAAATCTAACCTCGGTAAAATTCTGGATCCTAAATAGTCATCATTCAACTCTACCATTCCGCTATCGTAGGGTAAAATTCTATAGGGATCATGTATTAACAAGTGCACATATCATATTGGACCTAATTACCCAGAACTATATTTTTATTTTATATTTAGCTCACACTTTATAACTGATCAAATTACCAAGCATATTACTTTTATTCATTTATTTCATATGTTGGCAGCTGTCCAGCATCCATGGCAGCTTAGGTGAAGGTGGTAAATTAATTAATTCCTATCAATTTAGAATTGAAACTAAATTGGGATAGTTTAAATTCACCTGCCTCAGCACTTTAATGCCTCCACGGCCTCATTGCGGTTCTCTTGCTGCTCATGCAGAAACCTGCAATCCGTCTTGTCTTGTTTAAACTGTTATTATCTATTGTATTATGTACATGCTTATTTATTTATATTATTAATTATCTATAAATGGTATTATATTCTGACGTGAGCGTCGCGCGCAGGCGCTGCAGAAAGTCGCGTAAAAAATTAGGCGCGTCGGCGCACACAAGAATGACCGGAAACTGCAACCCTGAGCGGACGCTAGGACACACAAATCTGCCATTATAACATTAATTTATTAATCTATTAATTATCAAAAACGTAGAAAATTATACTCATTATTCTATGAATTAAAGATTCAGGAAAATTACTCCGGTATGGTTTTCCCGCAAGTTAGCGTAGTTGTTTAACTATTCCCTCGTCACGCTCTTCTACTTGTATGTTTCAAGTCCAAACCCGCTGCTGAAATAGGCCTAATCTTAATTTTTTAGTTTTTTGTTTATATTAATTTAGTAGCTTATATATGCCTTTCATTTAGCTCGTATTTTACCGAGGATTACTCTTTAAAATTTGTTACCTCAATGGGATTACTATAATACCCGTTTTAAACAATATCCCCTGTTAACGTATCCCCCATTTTTTTTTTTCAAATGAATCGTCATCCATATTTGTCTCGTGCAAATTTGATAGAACATTTGTACTGTCTTCTACAGTAGGTAACGGTAAATCTGTCAACAGATGCTGGCAAAGTTGTCAACAGATGCTGGCAGAGTTGTCAACAGATGCTGGTACAGTTGTCAACAGATGCTGGTACAGTTGTCAACAGATGCTGGTACAGTTGTCAACAGATGCTGGTAACAGATACTGGTACAGTCGTCAACAGATGCTGGTGCAGATTCTAACAGATACTGGTACAGTCGTCAACAGATGCTGGTGCAGATTCTAACAGATACTGGTACAGTTGTCAACAGATGTTGGCACAGATTCCAACAGATGTCTGTGTCCGGTGTGACAGATGTTTGTGCGTTCAGTGACTTCAGTCGCTAGGAGACACGAAGATGAAATATTGATGTCACTCATAATAAATTTTCTCAGCAATTAGGTTTTCTATGATAATTTTGATGGGAGACTGTTTAATAATCGAGTTGAAATCTCTCCTAACTCTGGTCACAGGGGCTGTTGGGCTAATAGTGACTGGTGGAAACTTGTAATATCGAGCATAAAATCATGGTTTACAATATAGATTCTATTTATTATTTCTTACCATATAATCTTCAGTATTTTAATTTTCAATACAAATCTTAAATCCATGAACTAAATGAAAAATGCAATGGAGATGTGGATTGAGATATTCAAAATATCGAAACACAAGAGACAAGTTGTATTTATCCATCCGATTCTGTATATTAACTTTTTAACTTTTTTACGCGCTGCCTGCGTGAAAATCAAACTGCAGGTTAAGAAGTACTCGTGCATGAATGGTCATTAAAATTCCGTGTATTTAGTAAAGTAATTGATCAAAATTATTTTGTGTCCGTAAAATTTGTGAAGTTCATACTAGTCCGTAAAACTTTTCTGCTCTTCTCCTTCATCCAGTCCGAGTAAATAAATAATATAAATAAAATAATAAATAATAATAATATAAATAATATAAATTATAATAAATAAAATAATATACTCGTAAATAGCAAGATATTTACTCTGCATATTCAATAAATTAAAATATTAATTTAGAAACATTGGTTCCACGATATTGAGTCCATTTATTTGATGCCTTATAGTTGAAGTAGTTCGGTGGTCGATCAAACCTTGCAGCGGTGAACAACCAAGTTCTGCTCACCTAAACCCGGGTCACTGTGACACACTCAACCATACACACTACACAGAGGCTGGTTGATCCATCAAATGTGCAGTGTGTGTGTATGTATATGCCTCGGTGCATTTGTGTAATGCGTAGAGTAAGTAGAGTGTGTATATCCCACCAGGGTAGTGATTAAGTTTCTTGGTATAAGTAAACTGGTTTTGTCACCTTGGGGAAGGGTTTGTCACCAAGTGGGTAGTGGTGTCACCAAGTGGGTGGTGATGTCACCAAGTGGGTGGTGGTGTCACCAAGTGGGTGTTGTGTCACCAAGTGGGTGGTTTTGTCACCAAGTGGGTGGTGGTGTCACCAAGTGGGTGTTGGTGTCACCAAGTGGGTGGTGGTGTCACCAATTGGGTGTTGGTGTCACTAAGTACAATATTGTCATTTAGTTGGTGTTTGTATCACTAGTTAGTTGAATCACTTTCTGGTTGTGGCAACGGGGGGGGGGGTGTGATGGCTATACGGTTGTTACCATTACTACCCTAACAAAATTTAGAGTCGCCCCAGCTTCTGGTAATCCAAATCAGAAGCTGCCGCGTCTGTAAATTTAAANTGTGACGTGACAGACGGCAGTGCAGGCGAGACTGTGACGTGACAGACGGCAGTGCAGGCGAGACTGTGACGTGACAGACGGCAGTGCAGGCGAGACTGTGACGTGACAGACGGCAGTGCAGGCGAGACTGTGACGTGACAGACGGCAGTGCAGGCGAGTTTGTGACGTGACAGACGGCAGTGCAGGCGAGACTATAACGTGGCATGAATTTATTTAATGATTTTTATTGACCCAACAAGTCGATGATACGAATCATTCATAGAGCCGGATGATAGGATTGCAGTATAAATTTATTGTTGGACGACGATATTATAAAATTATAATATTGTTCGATATTAAAATTGTTGAATAACAGTTCAAGATTACATCTTTGTAGCATAATAATAATATAAAATGGTAGCATATAATAATATTGTGAAATTATTGAATACAATATAGTTGAATTACAGAATTATTCTTCCATTTATATCATTACACCTGCCAGATTCTAGTCCTCCTCTATATTGAATTATTAAATATTACCTGAACGTGCAAAAACCTGAAGTTTATACAATAATCCTGCATATTGAACAGGATTATACGCCTATTTATTTAAACTTTCTATTATTATTATTCATTATATTATTCTACTTATCATTAGCGCTTATTTTTATTTAGCAGAATTTTTCGCTTAGCCGTCGAGACGTTGTGCTGGTATAAATAATGAATAGCTTGAAAAATATTCATTAGAAAAGCATTTGTATGATGCAGCTCCACACAAAGAAGCTGTATGGTCAGCTTCACGTTTTAAAAACTTCGTTTACAACAGTAAATCTATCAATCGATCGACAGACGTTCGTGTTTATTTTGAGATTTATTCTTCTATTTTGACACTAAATTGCCCAATTTGACTGAAATCCACGTGATTTTTTATAACATGAAAATCTTTTTCGACAAGATTTCGTCGAATTTAGCACCCTTCTTCGCACCCCAGCGCCGGACACACGTGTGTTACCCCCACGACATCCCGACGAACACTGACACCCAAGAGGGCGTGAGACTTGACCGCAGGTCACGAGAACATTGAATTAGATCATAAAAATATCAAATATCGATCTCAAAGGAAAAACATTTGTTATGAAAAAATTAAGACTAGAAATTGAAAAAACTAATCCTATAAAAATTTAGTCTTAGGCTGATAAGCTTTGGCAGCTTCAAACACAATCTGAAAACCGTGATTGCGGATTTACATGCGATGATTGTTCTTTAATCATTATGTATACTTATATGTTGTTCATTTGAATTATTTCTCCCTAACCTAGAGAGTTAAAGTTTTGATATGTTCATTGTGGTAAGATGTGTTCCGCGTCAAGTTCCTATAAATGCAGCCGGCTGTGTCCGGTTTGCAACGTCATGTTGGAAACACAGCAGCAACATTGTGAAGTTTCGAGCCGCTGAGCCGCCGGTTGAGATCCTGCACTCGAGTATCCCTGTTTATCGGATCGTTCACGGTTTTAAAACCGTAAGAGATCCGTTATTTGTCTTCGAATTTGTCTGCAAAAAAATAATAACTTGACAACCGACACGTTCTCCACGAACTGCTCGTTCGTTATTTCATTTCAGTTATTGTTGAGCCATTGCAGTGGTCACTGCGGTGTCATGTGCACCCAAGTGTCATGTGCAACCAAGTGTCATGTGCAACCAAGTGTCATGTGCAACCAAGTGTCATGTGCAACCAAGTGTTATGTGCAACCAAGTGTCATGGGCAACCAAGTGTCATGAGCAATCAAGTGTCATGTGCAACCAAGTGTTAAGAGCAACCAAGTGTCATGTGAACCATGTGTCATGGGCAACCAAGTGTCATGTGCAACCAAGTGTCATGGGCAACCAAGTGTCATGGTCAACCAAGTGTCATGTGTAACCAAGTGTCATGTGCACCCAAGTGTCATGAGCAACCAAGTGTCATGGGCAACCAAGTGTCATGTGCAACCAAGTGTCATGGTCAACCAAGTTCTATACCCAACAAAATCCAAGTTCAAATGAAACCTTCCCTACAGTCAATTTTCCAGGGCGATTCCCCATGTGACTCCTCTGACTAGTCTTTAAAAGCTGACTAGTCGTTATTGCTCCTTTAAGGGGGAGGTTCACCCTCCGGAAAAACTTTTTTGTTTACGGACGGATCACCCTGAAACTTGGTACACATATGTAAAACAGAATTCTAAGACATTTTTGTTCGTGTGATTTTTTCGGAAAAATTTATAGAAAACGTGAAATTAATAGAAAACGGACAAAAAATGGGGTACTGTAGAAATCTATCTCCTCCTAGGGGTTTTGAAGCTTCAGCAATGAGACATATACTGTACCATTCTATTCGTAAAGACCATACCAATCGATAACTTACCAGGACATTACTTCCTTAATATATTTTTTATGACTTTTTCAATGTAGTCATAGGATTATCGATCATCCATATATATAGACTTGCGCAGTAACTTTAACTTTTAGGATAAGTTTAGACACAGACGTGATGATGTGGCATCAAAGTATTTAACAAAGACATATTACATCATGCAATATAAGCACCACAGGCTCTCGTGCTGCAGTTGTGCTTAGTACGTATGTAACTTACGCATAAAACTTCCTTACATCCGTGTATGCTTCACACGATTTAACTGAAACCAAACTATACGTTAACCTAAACTAAACTATACGTTCAATGCTATAGCTTCTTGTTCAGTTAGCGGCAAAAACATTACGCAAAAATAAGCCGCTGTTGGTATAGTCAAGTGTCTGAATTAACAAATAAATTGCAATTAGGTAGATTTGCTTGAAACTCGAGCACGGACGTACTAATCTAAGTATTTCATGGTTTATACAAGGTCCCCGAAGGATTACTAGAATTTGAAACAAGAACCAACACCAGATGCCACGGCTATAAACTAAAAACTGCGCTGCAACTTCTCCTCGCGACAAAATTTTTTTTCGCTTCGAATCACCGACATGTGGAACAGCCTCCCCAATGACATCGTTAGCGCTCCAAGTATGAACGCCTTCAAGAACAGACTAGATAAAGCTATGGAAAAATATATGTTCAAATTTGAAATGCCTAGCACCATATCTGTGTTGTGTTGTGTTGTGTTGTGTTGTGTTGTGTTGTGTTGTGTTGTGTTGTGTTGTGTTGTGTTGTGTTGTGTTATGTTATGTTATGTTATAAGGGTGGGTTTTTTTGGTTGTTGGCTCGCCTAGACGCAGCGGCCGCGAAACTCTCCAAGAGGTGATGAGTGAGGGAAGCCACGCTAGAAGGAAGATTAGGTTCGCTCACACTCATCGGACCTTTGCTGTTATTGGTGCCGGACTGCGAGCTTGTCTTAGCCTGAGAGGATCCACTTTTTGACAAACGTTCGTTTCCAAGAGCTTGGGAGTCGGTGTCAGCAAGACTCTGGATGGACTTTGCCATCAAGTGGTATACGGAGGACAAGTTAAGAAAGCCCTGAGGCTCATTAAGTGATGGCAAAGACCGTTGTGGAAGCGCTGGAGGAACAGGGGACAGAAGCGACGATAGTTCCATCACCTCCAAGTTGCCTGAGAGCGAAGGTGGAGGCAGAGAGTGAGCAGAGGTCGTAGTCTCGTAGAGCTAGGTGGTGTAAGATTGCGACTGAAGGCGAGGCAGAGATTGGGAGTGCACACGATTGGATGGCAGCTGCTGCTAGGGAGCTGTCGCCGAAAGACGGCTCGAGGCCTGTAACACAATTCGAAAAGTTTATTATTGAAAATTGAGAAAAATATAATAATCGGAAAATTACATTCACGAGCTATTACACAAAAATCTATAGAAATAAAAAATAAACGATTGCTATTGCAAAATAAAATTTGATAGAATAGATCAAATAGTCGTAGATATTGAGACTTTTCATTCATCACATGATATTCAGATTGATGTATACAAAATAGAGCTAATCAAATGCAAATGCAGTCAAGTTCAAGGTTCAGACGTCCCTACATGAGAGAAAGAAGATCATTGTAAAGCCTCGCTTATGCCAGCGACGGCATCAAGTGCAGCACCTCCGAAGGCGAGTGAGGACACAAGCGATGCAAGCTTGTCGACCAGAAAAACTCGGTTTGCGGTATCACCGCTCGCCCCCAGAAGAGCCTCGGCGCTGGCTACGTTAACGACGCTCTCCGCTATGGCTTCAGCGGCTTGCTTAACGGAAAGATTGTCATCAGAGACAGCCTGCTCGGGGACACTTGAATCTGAAGTCTTGTCAGCAGTTGCTTGAGGTAACGACGGTGTCGAGGAACACTTACGACTCGTTAACACGCTGTTGCTGCTCGTGTTAGCGCCCACGATGGCTGCATCACTGATGCTTGCCATCACAGCTGACACGACTGCACTGGCGGTAGTGGCAGCAGCAGATGACTGCTGTAGTTACGCCAATTTGGTTTCATAGCCTGGGGCAAGTTTAAGATCGTACTTGCCACCTTCAGATCCCATGCGGTAGCTGTTAGAGGCGCCGTGGTCCCACGTGACGTCGATCCAGCCGTTGTGCAGCTCCCCTGTGATTGTGCCTTCACCAGGAGGAAACCCGTCCTGATCTCGCCACTTCCAGTCGATGCCTCGGACAACTCGGGCCCCGACCACCATTTTTTCAGCATCTGGTATCAGTGTCATCATTTAGTCAAATCAAAATGATATTGTCAATATTTGCAATGCTGTTACAATACACATAAATTAATTCAAAATTATATTCGTGTATTTCCATACATATTCAGACACTATAGTATTCTAGGCATTAAACTGAATACAAAAGAAAAAATTATTCATCAGAAGAAGCCATAAGCGACTTTCTCAGATTTAAATACTAAAGTAAAGCCACTATTTTAGATATTGCTTCATGAGTTTACGTCAACAAACCGCAAAGCTATTAGATTCTAATACAAGATTTTTAACAAAATTTAAAAGATTTAAACCTGTTGCTTTACGAGACGCCTCTGTTTGCGCAGAGCAGCCTCAGCCTTCTTTAGCCAAGCTCGACACAGGCTCCCGTGACACAGCCATAGACTTCCAGACCTTACGCTCTATTTTCTTGTCGATGATTGGTGGATTTTGCTTGAAAGGCCGTCAATGATTGGCTGATGAACTTACGATCTCTTAACTTTTTTTGAAAGTATAGTGAACGTAAGTACTTACGCTCTATTTTCTTGTCTATGATTGGTGGATTTTGCTTGAAAGGCCGTCAATGATTGGCTGATGAACTTACGATCTCTTAACTTTTTTTGAAAGTATAGGCCCTGACAACGAGAGGTAGTGCGTCTGGCCGGACGTATTCTTGCCGCTTTGTTGCACTCTGATGTGACGGTATACCATCTGAAATAAATTACAAAAAGCATCGAAATCAGCTAGCGCCAACAAAAAATTACTGACATGATTTCAAATATTTAGGTTAATTACTGACAATTTCCAAGAAAAACTCAAGATAAACTTTAGAAAACATCATATTGAATTGAGTGTCAATTTGAAGAGATTCGATTGGAAGACGAACCTACTCATCAGCTGGGGTGGATAGCTAGAGGTCAGCATAGCTTAAGTCCACAGTGCGATTCATATACCTTCCCGAGCGTAACGCAGCCGGGCATCTTCACGGCTTTCGACACATAGCGCCCACCACAACAGCGCCGTTCAGTCACAGGCACTGGTTCACAGCGCCGGAGCACAACTGGCCGAAGCGCAACAGGCCCTACCGCAACAGGCTACTCCTAACATAACCTAACCTAACCTAACCTGCGCCTGTTGCGGTAGGGCCTATTGCGCTCCGGCCAGTTGTGCTCCGGCGCTGTGAAGCAGTGGCTGTGTTGTGCAAAGCGGATTTACTGTTACCCGGAGTTACCCAAAGCTCATTGATCTGAGGCTATGTGTAGATATTGCATGCTGATGGTTGGCGTTGGGCCCAGGGCCTGTTTACGAGTCAATTTTTTTACCCACGGCTGCGCTCCCATCAGCTGGACACTTGACACTCACCACCGAGCCTGCTTGTCATCCACCGAGGTGGGGTGGCGCAGTAGTTACAGTCGAGTTCGGAGAAGTGTCGATTCGGTGCAGTGAGGTGTGGGTTCGATCCCAGCTCTGTGCGCTAGTCTGGTGTGAATGGCTGAGGAGGTCTGGTGGTTTAGCACAACATCGCAAAACGTTGTGAATGTTCTGCGATGTTAAGAATCGGCAGCAGGTCTAGTGGCTTAACCAATGCCGAAATCTTTATTACTATTTCCATACTTCTCTCTGCTCATAGGCTCATTGTGCCTAGTCGCTTCAATTCTCTCTTCAATCACGCAAGCTCTATAAAAAATCATCATCATAATTTCTTTTTGCTGTCAGTTATAACGGCAGTTACTCCTGCCGAACAAGTCCATTCTCATGGCAGTTCGTACATAGAAGAGAATTGACGGACTCAGTGACCTCAGATCAAACATGTTCATCGTTTGGCCACGCAAGCCACTCAAGTCGTCGTGCATTCAAATGGAAAAACACCGACATTTCCCTCTATGCTAAAATCTCCGCAACGGAATGAAATCGTTTGTTTTCCTTAACTTCTTTAATGTTCTGCGTATATAATTTCCCTCTTTATTTAGTTTCCAAGCATGTGGATTCCAATTGAATATTCAATATCTTTCTTGCAGAGAGGTGCCCCCAGAAATTTTTGCCCGGAAGGTGCAGGTGAGTTTGCTGTCGTGGTTTTCGCATTACGCCTTCGACCACACTAAAAAAACACAGCCGCGAATACGTCTGATTCAAAAAATTTCTAATAATTGATAGAACTTAAAAACACGTTAGGGGAATATTAGTTCGGGTGGATTTCCAGATGTTTTTTGTGGGGGAGGGGAGTTCCGTATACCATTTCAATCTAAAGAGTCTAAAAGCAGTGTCAGTTGACTTCTGGGGCGTGCATTACATTGCAGTTTTTTCATTGAAACGAAACTGCCATTCCTCCATACGTCTGTCTAAATTCTACTGCAGATCACGTCATTTTTAAGCTGTTTCATAAAGTTCGTATCGTTTCCTTCAAAAAACTCAGTACGAATACATTTACTACATACGACGTATCATTTACCACCTGACAAACGATAAGAAACGACCCTGCTTTAGGGTTATTCAAAATCTCACGCTTGTGCATGTGACTTACCTTCTTGTTTTTTCATCCTCAAGTTGCAAGTTTACCACTTTCCGTGAATAATATAAAATAGGGTAAGAATTATAAAACGTCATTAAATTTCAACTTCCATCGGATTTCCCTCCTAAGAGCAGGCAGCAAAATGTCGAAGCAGCTGTGTGCAATCGTGTTTCTTTGCGACTTTAAATTAGTTTTTACGAAGTGATGAGCAGAGTTGGAAAATATTCTACTACAATTCTTTCAATATCAGGTGAGTGTTCACTCCCGTCATTTATTAAATTATTGAAATTCTCTGTCAATAGTTTAATTTTTTCGACTCTCGCAAGTCACAACGCCGCACGTGCTGCAAATCCTGCAATCTCGGTTCCACGTGGTCAATTAAATTTTCTAAACGGCGTTCATTTCAAAGCTTCATTGTCATTGAGGTGTAAATTTGAGTAAGAGATCACTGAAAATGGTTCTCTTACTAATTCATTGAGTAAAATCCGCATTTAGTTTGTTTTTAAGTTTTAACTAACAGTGCAGACTGTGCAGTGAGTGCACTCTTTTCATTCCTCCAGAGTGCAGAGTCCAGACTCCAGAGCCCCACATAATTTTATTTCTACTGAAATCTGAAAGTAGGCTAGGTAGGCCTATGAGAAAAAAAATTTTCCTCTACTCTTAATGAAAATTATGTATACAGCTAAAAATAGAATTAGGTATTTATAATGTTATGATACCCTATCTAGGTAGGTATAAATAAGTGGAATACAACTAATACAAGTAAAAATGAAAAAAACTATGAATTTTTTCCGTTATCAAATTATGGCTGCTAAATGGGCCATTTTCAGACATTTTTTGTAATAACTATCAATTCTAGGTTTCCTATGAGCCTATTTCAAAGATTTAGGGTAAACACGGTAGCTACGGTATATTCCGACACTTTAAGGACGTAGCAAAAAATGAATCATGAATGGCTATAAAAAATACAACGTACGCGCAACTACGTCACTGCTTTACGTCTGTTTGCTTTGCAACACTGACGGTCACTCTCAAAAGGCTGCACTACGTGCCAGTAACAATGAAATGTCACAAAATGTTGCCAACTTGCCATATTTATTTAAAAGCCTTTAGAATGCAAACCTACCAAGTCAATATATTCCAACACTGTGTTGAATCAGTGTGATTAAATTAGGCATTTTGTGAGACTAATTCCGGCGGCGCTTCAAACTCTACTAATTCCTAATGCCAACACTCTTGTGTTCAAATTCCGATTGCTGTATTACCTAGCTCATTTAGCTGTATTGGAATATGACACAGCTTGGAATTAGAACACTATTGAATATTGAATACTACCTACCTATTTAGTTAAACAATTTTAATTTTTGCACACAGCTTGGAACAAGCTGTGTGTGTCTAATTCCAAGCTGTGTTGGAATTTGTTTTTATATGTCTAAAACTGTCTCCTAACTTAATCATCTATTAATTTTTTTACCAGTTGAAATCAGCAAATACAAGTACAGTACTATACTTAAAGGATTCCTAATATATTCACAGATGTATTTAAAAGTCTCAAACCATAATATTCTTTCTACACAAACAGTTTATCACTATTTGGTAGAGCAAGGTCAACTATCAACTTTGACTAGTTTTTTGATGTTCTCACTGGGTGATGTGCACTGTCTCTCTTTGGATCTCAACATTTTACCCACCAGACGGCCCAGACCTAGTGTTTTGGCAATAGTATGGCGCGCAAAAGTATGACGTCACTATTTCAACCATCAACAAATGCATGGAACTAAGAAAAAGCTTAATATAAAGGAAAAAAGTCGAAAAGTGTCGGAATTACCATTACCCACGATGTCAGTAGATACCGCATAGAGATGCAAAAAAAACGTTATTTTTTCCAGAGTGTTTTTTTTAGTAAAAAAAAACGTTTTTTTTATGTGTTTTTTTTGTTTTTTATTGTTTTTTTTCTTTCGTGTATTTATTTGGGATCAATATATCTTTACCCTTAATATACATTGAAATGATGTGTTTTTAAATCTTATTTAACATATCTCATGTGTGATTTATAATTTATCAAGCCTAATACTTCTAGTTCAAAGCTTAAAAGGGTAAATAAACAAATTTTTCATTTCCTTATTGTACTCAAAAATCAAAGTATGCAAAAAATACAAAAAATAAATATTTTCAAAGCATTCCATTTTCAGTCACTCACCATGACCTATGAGTTTAAGACTATGACTCAGTCCCTCCCAACCAGATACCAGACTCTGATATCAAAATCTGTAGAAAAAATAGAAGCATCTAAAAAAAGTACTCCATTTCAAGTAAACATATTGAAGTCACTTGTGGTATGTGACGTGGGTCACGTGCCTCATCGAGTCGGCATCACTCACCATGATTTTTCTAAAAAAAACAATAAAAAACATGTTTTTTTTAGGCTGATGTTTTTTATTAAAAAAAAACTTGTTTTTTATTAAAAAAAACATGAGTGTTTTTTTTACGTCGCATCTCTAATACCGCATTTACCCTAGTGCCGTTACGAATTAGGGTAACCGCAGTATCACACCATATTCTGACAGACCGACACTGTGGGTGATTCCAACACCCCTCAACTTTTTCCTTTATATTATGCTTGGTCTTAGTTCCATACATTCATAGATGGTTGAAATAGTGACGTCATACTATTGCGCGCCAGATTTCTGCAAAACACCAGGTCCAGTGGGAAAATGTTGAGATCTGCAGAGCAAAAGTCCAAGTCAACTAGTGAGAACATTGAAAACACGTATGAAAGTTGATAGTTGACCTTGCTTTACTAAATAGTGATGAGTAAACTGTTTGTGTAGAAAGAATATTATGGTTTGAGACTTTTAAATAAGTCTGTGAATATATTAGGAATCCATTAAGTATACTTGTATTTGCTGATTTTAAGTGGTAAATAAATTAATAGAGGATTGGTTTAAGAGACAGTTTTAGACACATAAAAACTAATTCCAACTCGGTGTTAGAATTACAACACACAGCTGTGACACAGGGTGTCCTATTCCAACACAGCTCACACAGGGTGTCAGAATTAGGAATTACTCTTTTGAAGCGCTGTCAGAATCACTCGCAATATGCCACACAGCATTTAGTCACACAGTGTCAAAATTCAGCAATTTTGTAGATTTGAATTCTAAAAGCTTTTAAATGAATATGGCAACAGTTTGTGATGTTTTAGCATTGCTGGTTCATAGTGTGGTGTTTTGAGAGTGACATAAACCATGGTGGCAAAGCAGAGAGTTTTTTTAGACTGTCCTTCAAGTTCAATTTTAAGTCCTTTGAGTAGACCAGCAAGGTATAATGGATACCAGCATCGCCATACATAAGATATTGGTTTGAATCTTTAGTAAATGAGAAAATTAAAAATGAACTGATTCTAAAAAAAATCACTTATCTATTCTAACTAAAATAAAATATTTTGGTCGAGACTTTGACTGCAGGCGGGTGGGGGAAACTGGTGTGACTTGATTGATATGAATGGTAATAATTATAAATTCATAAAATGGTTTGATGCATGAACAAATGATAAATAAAAGATAAATGAATGATGATTGAATGATAAATGGAAATTATATGCATAGAATGTTGAACAAATGATGCTGGTGGGTTCATTGATGCATTTAATTCATTATATGAAAGGTAATTAATAACAATAAATGATAATAAATTTAAAATAATGATGGTAACAAATGATAAATAATGATAACAATAAATAATGATGCTATATTAATAATTCTTGTACTAGTTGTACTGCATCATCAAACACCATTGGGCATTGTGGCTGCCATCCCTACTGATTGCTAGCCTAGCCCCTAGAGTGAGTAGCACTTGACAAATTTCACCAGCAGGTAGATCAGAGGGCTAAGTGCCAATAATAATAATGAACAAAATAATAAACATTGGCCAAAGTCACCCCAGTCACATTGGCCAACGTTTATTATTCTGTTTTCTGCCAATTGTTTCTGTTGTAGTGATGGCCAAAGTCACCTCAGTGGCCAAAGTCACCTCGGTGGCCAAAGTCACCCCCACTTGACGGTAATGATATCTTTCTAACAGTAAAATTGTCCTGGTCAGTCAATTATTAGCAATAAACCCCTAAACTTTTAATTATGAACTGGAATACTACCAGCATACCTCACTGCCTCATGATTCAACTGTATGTGAACTGCCGTAATACCCCAGGGTGCAGAAAGTAGGTGAATATCAAAAGATCTTGGTGACATATCAGCAGCAAAATTTACACCATCAGAAGTTCTTGCTGGCACATTTGGATTGAAATTATTGCATTTTAGAAATTACTTTGGAATTATTGCAAATCTGAAAGACAGCAAGTGCACACAGTAAGGTTTCCAGTACGTTGGATGGATCAGGATGCAGTGAAGCTTGTCCAGAAATCAGTTGCGATGAGTGTAAGTGTTGCAGTGTGTGGAGAGTAAGGGATATACTATCAAAGTTATTAGCAGCATTTTCTTATTAAAAATTATCCAGTGACGCATCTTGATAATGGCTGGCTATGTTTTGGGCTAAAAATCCATATCTTGGCAATGCTGCTTGCACCCTGGGTACTACCATGCATTTCTGGGATGCTAGAAATTGCTGTTGGAATAGCTGCAGAGCTCTGAAAGTTTGACAGCATGCTCTTAAGATTAAAAACTATAATCTTGATCTGAAATTATTTTTCATTAATTTGAAAATATTATATCAAGGTTTATTATTATCACTAAGTTTTGCCCTTAGCAAATTGCAGCCAAATAAGTAGCCGATCAAAATTTCTTGAAATACAAGATGGTGTTGTCATAATTCCAGTTTTTTTTTTTTTTTTTTTTGCATGTTTCTAAACCCCTGCCAATAAAATTAAGCTACCACTTGGGTGGGATTTTTAAAATTTAATGATTCTCTGCCAGCAAAGTGGATCAGGCAATTAGAAATGAAATGAAGGTGTACAATTCTGTGGTTTGCCGTATGATTTTCCTATCTGCTTCTCTTTTCCTGTTCTCCACATTCCATGTTAATGATCCTGATTCTATGCTTGTCCCACTTGAAATTTTGGGAAATATTGTGCAAATGAGTTCACATCTTACTTGGTGTTTTCCCAAATCAAAAAGATGAGTTCCAAGTGACACAATGAGGTTGTTACTAATGTAATAATAGGAACATTGATAATGGTTTGTTTCTATACTTTGGCCTTTTATTATTCATTATAAATATATAACATGTTATTTAGTTCCTATACTTTGGACCTTAATTATTCAGAAATAAAAACTAACTAGTCTTGTTCATAAAATACTTAACAAATGGTAATTTTCATGTTTTGTTTGTGATTAATTTTAATATTGGTTCTTTCTTTAGGTACAAAGATATTCTCCCTATTCATACGCTAGCATCTCTAGTTTATGTATATAGTCAGATGGGGTAAGACAGGACCAAAATCACCAACAAGCCTGTAGCATCTATACCATGAATAACTAAAAAACCCTAAACCTATCACAAGGTGTAGTTATCAAACCTATCAATAATTCCCAGGTCGCCTCACCTGGGAATTATTGTTAAGCTTTAAAAACTTTTAAAAACTATGAAGTGTTCAATTTTTTAAATAGGTGACAAAATAATCTTAAATATGTATATATGACTCAGATTAAAAGTGATATTGAAAGTGTTTCTAATTTTTTTATCTCGATACTAACTGTAACTTGATTATTCTAGAGAACTTGTCATCACTGGCGTGAATTCTGTCAGCAAAAGACCAACCACCCTGAATAATATGCTGGTCAACAATCCTCCAAGAACTCCACCCATTCTGAAGAAGAGGGAGCGAAATGTAAGCTCCTCTGATCCATGCCCAAATGGCAAAAAAGTGAGTCAATGTATAATTTATTTAACACTTTGAAATTCAAATTAAGGGTTGAATTAATTCATACATTCTCACAATATTTTACCAATTAGTTTAATATTTTTTCAATTGTAGGTCTGTTGTTTTATTTCCCCATCTTGCAGTTTCTAATGGTTGAATTGTAATTTTAGTGTGCTGCATTGCCGGGGGTTGATCCAAATGATGAGAGGGTTCCTCTACTGCTGGAGCGAGTGCGGGAAACTGGACTAGTCTCTTCTTATGCAGCAGAGCTGGAAGAAATTTCCTCGGCCACAGCTGAGGATCAGCTTGAATGGGTGGTTCAGTTCACTCACAATGTTATTCGTCTTGATACGTCCACATCGGGATTTATTGTAGAAGTCCTCAAGCTACCATGGAAACTTACCGAGAGTGATATGCTCCAAAAAGCTTACCAAAACTTTGTTGTAGCGCTGGTCACTGCGCACAACATCCACTGCAAAGCAGTCTTCAGTCACCTCTTTGGATTACTCCTACCTGGTGTGTGAATGTTGCTTTTTAATAAATCAATAGTCTTTGTTTAGTAAAATAACTTTGAAGTTTAATATTCATTAATAAATCATTATTTTCTGCACTGTGCATAGTTCTCAAGCATTTTTTTTTACCTAAATCGTTGTTTGGAGAATTGGTTTAGTTTCTTTGCAATATGAAGATGTAACTGAAAGTTTCCTTCCACATTGATAATATTGTATACTGTAATCATTTTGCAATGCTTGAGTAGCATAAAAACTGATCAGGTGATCTTGTATAAATGCCGTAATGAGACTGAATTTATTCAGCATGAGATTTTATGTAAGTGAAGCAAAGATACCTATTCTATTTCTATCCTAAGATACAAGTATGGGTGCCGAAATGAATGAAGCGGACCAGTTGCTTCTCGTCAACCCCCAATTGGTGCCCAAATCAACCATGCAAGTGACGCAGTGTTCAATAGAGGCCATTGTTATGATACACGCAAAGGTGCCGCTGAGTGAGCGCACGTTGTTGCGCGAGGCTAGCAATGCCAGGCCGTACTATAAACGGCATCCTCACCTTCTCTTGATCTACTGTAAGTGCCTCCTGATACTCTCCTCGAGAATACCGTCCTTGAGGAAGACATTTCTCGAGATGATCGTTGAAAGGTGAGTGTCATTAATTCATTAGTTTGAGTTTTATTTTCCATTGTAGTAGGGAACATGTTCAACTTATTGTTCTGTAGAAAGGTAACCCGTGGTGTATGTTTCTAAACGATATATGTTAGATTAAAATAAAAATGAAATGAAGCATCTGTGAGGGAACCAAATTCAATTGAATCTTTTCTCTTGATCAGATGTTTGTGAAGTGCTTGAATATTTAAGGGAAGGGAAATTGTGCAAATTCAGCCAAATTGTAGTAATGTAAATAGCAGACTACGGACAATAATACACATCACACTGAAATTATTGAATATTATCACAAATAAAAGTATTAGAGTACGGTATTAAGTAGATAATTAAAAGTATTGAAACGTGTTGAACATAATATATAAGTATTTATTTAGTGACTCCAGTACTTTAAAATTCATTTGCAGGTTGGTGGATATAGATGCCAACTGCCCACGCGAGCCAGCTGATGGTTCTGACGATGAAAACGAAGAAGAGGAAGTCTTTAAAATGGTATGAAATTTTCACTACAAGTGTGGCGTTTGATTGAAATAAAGATCATTTTACTTTCCAAAGATAATTTACATATTGGAGTTCTCAAAAATGTATACGTTTTGCAGGATGTGGACGAGGAGCTGTCACAGTCCCAGAACAGCCTGATAGACGTGCAACGAAAGGCGCGGCTTGATTGGATTCTGAATAACCCCCTCATGCATAGCCTGGATGTGCTGATGGACGCCATGGTTCTGTACATCCACTGCACCGTACACGATGTGCCCTTCAGCTTGGACCGCAACATCAATATTGAAGAACTAAGAATATTGGGATGCCTACCAGGCAGCGTCAAATTAGCTCCTAATCTCGAAGCTGATCAAGATTCACATGACAGTTCAACTGATACTAGTCATAAACAACAACTAACTCTCGGCTGCGCTTGTGGGGGCGAAAAACATAACTTGATGAGTTTGAAACGACTTTATCATGATCTTGTTGGCGTATTCACTCGAATTGTTCTCCCAACACACTCCTCCGGGCATGTTCAGTTCTTTATGTTCTATGTTTTGTCCATCAAACCTTCCTTGACCAGGATCTTCCTGGATACCTTGAGAACAGATTCTTTCATGGGCAACGGAGTAGCATTAGATGTCAAGAAGAACGCTTTAGCCTATATAGGGAGCTTAATGGTTAGAGGAAAATTTGTCCCTATCTCCACCACACTTTCATGTTTAGAGGTGATCGTAAGTTGGTGTCACGAGTATATAAATTCTCAGGAAAAACAAGGCACAAACAATTACATGAATCTCGCACTGCATGAAAAATTTTACTGTGCTTGTCAAACTATTTTCTATGTGTTTTCCTTTAGGTGCCTTGAATTTACTAAGAGCGAAAAGATGCTGGACCATGTACGACGTCTCAATCTGGAGCGCTTGGTGTTCAGTAAACTGAATCCTCTGGCTGTTTGCAGGTACCAGATTGTGAAAAACTTTGCTGCTATCACTAGACATTTTCAGCTTGCCTATTGTTATGCAATCATTGAGAGCAACCGACGCAATACGCTACCAGTGTGCATGCATGCAAGTGATGGTTCGGATGTTAGAGCCTCGGCTTACGGCTCGTCGCTGGACATGGCATTCCCATTCGACCCCTATCAGCTTCTGCACTCGGCGCCTTACTTTGAAGCTCACTACCAGCATTTCCCAGGACTGCCTGAGTACATCAGCATGGACGCTGAAGAAAGAATTCTCGAGAAGGAAGAAACTGAAGACGAAGATGACTTCCTAGATCACAGTTATCCGAGCGACTCCTATCCCAAAATTAGCAGCTTCATGGAATGCCAAGATTCTCCCACGGCTGAGAGGAAAACCCTAAAGAGAATTTTTCCTTAAGCTTCTCATATTATATATGTAGGTATTTGTTATTCCTGTTGTACACTCACATGTTTTTACATTTAACAAGGCTCGTCCAGGGATTTCCCTTTGTACTACATAGGATTTATTTGTGCATGGTATTCACCTTTACCTAAATTTTACCATTTAACACGTTGACTACGTATTGGTACATATGCGTACCACGAAATGTATTTCTCCAGGACGTAGTGGTACATAATTCAGGTTGCCTAAAATCCGCCAAATCCGAGAACAAAAAAGGCCAAAAGAGGCCGATAATTCAATGTATACTAGTTTATTTCTAGGTTCCGCTATAAAAATTCTATTTATTTTCTTTTTGCTGTATCTAAAATTTAATTAGGAAGTACCCCTATCATAAATTTTAGCCGGCCAACGCAATTGAGAAAAACTAAATCACGGAATTTGTCCGGAAAAAAGACCGTCTGGCAACCTTGAAAAAAAAAGTACAAAAAATTAAATAATAGTACAAGATGAAGCAATCGTAGTCAACGTGTTAATTGGAAATGGACGAAAATATTGGCTAGTTTTCTGTACACACAGCAAGGTATGAAGCTCATGTATTTCTTGAACTTCCTGACTAACTTAATTTAACAATGAAAGCATTAACGTTGGTGTTAATACGTTCGTTTGTTTTGTGACCCAGGCTGCTGCAAATGGGCGCTCGTTTTTTTAATGACGTGTGTCGAGCTGTAACGCACGCTTCTTGTTCTCAGCAGTGACGCGTGCCGTCATGTTTATGTCTGTTACTATTACCTATGCTAATCTGTTACGCATACGTCATGTTAGCATGGTTCACAGTTGTTACTTCGGGGCATATGCTTTGTAGCTATCCTATGATGGAATTTGTGATAATTTTTTTTCTCGTCTATTCAGGTAAGTATTCATTATTCAAGCGCCGTTTGTAATGTAGAGTTGCCTCTTATTTAATTATTATTTTCGGATTCCTAAATGACGCAAATTTGACGTGCTCGAAGTTATTTATTTTCACTTGCTTGAACTTACGGGCATCACGAAATGAAATTGTAGAATTTGTATTTGCAGGCTACTCCTCTTTCCACGACATTAAATTGTTTGTTTTGGTAAAGATTGATTTATTTTTCTTCAGTGTAACCAGATATGCACGTCGTTAACCACTGCTATTGGGAGTTCCGTGCGATCTATTTATAAAGGTTTGTCTAAAGATTTTCGGTACAGGAATTATGTCTGAAGACATGTTTGAACTTTCAGTCAATAACTTAGAGATTACAGGATTCCTGTTGCAGCTTTGTACGAATTGAATTGCTTATCTGTTGAATGTGGGCGTAACGAATGAATTACGAAGCTATAATGTTAGGAAATGTGTTAAAGCCTGTAACGGCTGTAAAAAAATCGATGGATGGAATTGAAAACTTTACTTACACTACGTGATAGACGAGACGGAACCAATATAGTCTTGTGATACTTAAAGTATAAAATAGAAAGAAAGGTTCGGTTATAGACCAAGAAAGAGATCCCATTGACGCTATAATATTTGCACTAGTATTCGTTTTGCCGTGGCAGTCCGTTCGCGGTCATATCTGGAACTAAGTTCATTTCATGACCAGCCGTTCTATTGTTGAATCTATCGAATCTATCTCCTACACAAAGTTGCTATAAAATCGTTACCATAACTGTGATATTCGCGTTGCTGACCGTAGATTGTCTTTCATGCTTATAGCAAAGTTGGCTGGATTTTAGTTTTGCGGTTAATAGTAAGGAAGATATGAAGAAAATGCTTCTTGACTATTTAAAATATTTCGGAAGACTATTTTAATGGCATGCTCTAAGGAGAAGTTTACAATAACATGAATAATAGCAAAGAGTCAAATTTGAATATAAATCGGCTAAGCAACATGATACAAGATTCATGGTGAATAAAGAATTGTGAAAAACTTATTTCATTATCATTGTACGTGTAACTTATCAAGTTATATGAAAGTTGCATTTCTAGTTCACAATTAAATTCAGTGTAAAATTTATGCTAAATGTCATTGAAATAACTCAATAATTTTTGCCAATATTTTAGTAATGTTTCATGGGTACACTTAAACCTAGTTCAAAGGTTTAAAAAAACAACGAAAAATTCCTTTATCTTTCTTAGTAACATAAATGAAGGAAACGTGAATGACGAAACATGAATTGACGAAAAGATTTAACAGTAACTTATTGATAATAAAGCTCTAGATTCATGCCATCGTGAATCTCATAGTCTCCGAGCGTGATGTGGTCTTTGAAAATCGTGTACCATTTCTTGAGGACAATTTTGTCCCAGCGAGTGCCGGTCTGTGCTGCTATCAACTTCTTCAGGTCACCCACTGTGTCATCGCTGTTGCATTTGACTCGCACCTTCTTCCCAAGTCTGTCATTGCAGATCACCTCCAACATCGCCCTGGAAATAGATCACCAAAGTTAAGCAAACTTTGTGTCACTTAGTTCGTTGAATGGTAAATTCTAATCAAAACTCTTTATATCTTCATTTCCAATAGGATAAAGCTACACACCCGGTGATGGAATAATAATGAAAAAAGTAGCTGCGTTATTAATATGCTTATCACAAATACATGGTCTTTATGAAAAGAAATCCAATGATGAGGTATATGAACATTGACAAAATCAATTAATTTATTATCAATCAATATGCAAGGTATGCAAAGTGACACTTGTTAAAGATGTATCTAGAGAAATAATGGTACATAATTTCAAGAAAATTAAAAGGAAGACATTTCATTGACTTCCATTTTTTAAACAATTAATGGTACAAAATTTACAACTGTTGCACCATTTTTTTATGTTCTAAAAACAGAACATGGTGTATTTCCAAACAATATTACAATTTTTTCATATTACAGAGTGGTATTTTAAAATCATGTAGGGACTAACTAGGTTTTTTTTACCCTGTTGGACAATGTATTAAATGGTTACACAATCAGTATGTGTACCTTTCAGAGACAGTGTCGACTTATTATTCTCTGGGGTAGACTGGGGAGAATGCAAGATTAAAGTTATATAAATATTCTCAAATCATTAATTTCTAAAAATTTAATAAAAACCAAATAGACTAAACAGCTTTGATTTCCTTAGGAAATAGAAACCAGAATGCAGCAGCTGCCTATAATAAATAATAATTTGTTCAAAAATGGATTACTGTACTTCGAAAAAAAAGTTAGATAGTTCAATTGTACAGACTTTATTTCAGAATCTACATCTAGCTCATTCGTTGATTCTTTAAATAAAGCATTATTAAATTTTGATTTTTTATTTATAAATTTGTTTCAGGTTCTGTAGGTGCCCACTCTGCCCAGCCTAGCAGAAGCACAGGCAAAGAGTACATCTTGGTACTTTACAAGCTAGGAGGATGAAAATAGCTATCCCATTTTTGGAGCCCAAGGTTTCAACTTCCAATTTCCCACTAGGCACTAGCTGAACAAACTTATATCTAATTGTTAACTTAAGTGTACAATCAAATCAAGCTGTAAGATCCCAAAGTTTTCAAAACTATTTCACTTTATAGCCACACAATTCTAGAATTAATTAGTAAATTTCTAATTTTGTATGTTCTTCAATTGTATGACATCATTCTTTATATTGACAATTCATTTTTGCCAACTAAAGTTTAAAGTGTTGTGCTGAATCTAAATATAGACTAGACTCACTAGACTCTAGAGAGCTAGGAGCTGCCTTAATATTATAATTGGACATTTCACTCTTTATTTTTATTTAAGACTCTTAACTATATTGGAAATGGAAAAAGTCCCACTTATTACCAACATAATCCACTGTGCAGAGAGTGGATGAATATTGCAAGATCTTTGGCGACGCTTCACTAGCAAAATTTATGCCTTCAGAAGATCTTGCCGACACATTTAGATTGAAATTCTTGCATTTAATATATTTGTCAGTCTTTGGCCAACTATTTAAAAAAAATTAAGGTTTCCGGTATGTTGGATGGATCAGGATGCAGTGAAGCTTGTCCGGAAATCAGTTGCGATGAGTTCCCGCCAAAAAATGTAAACATAAAGTTTGCGATTATGTAGTTGCGGTCACATTAGAGCTGTCAGACTGCATTATCACATGTTCAGTTAACACTTGCTGTACAATTGGACTGTTTTTAGGGTAAAATTAGTTATTTGGGGTAACACTTGCATGCAACCTTGTAAATAAGTTCGTGGCTTGTAAATAGTTTTTCATTACTCAGCGTAAATGGCTTTTCATTAAAAATTACCTGGCAACGCATCTTAAAATTACCCGGCAATGCTTAGGGCTTAAAAACCCATATATTGGCGACGCTGCATCTACCCTCTGCACCCTGCCCCCTGGCAACATATTACAGCTCTAACATGAAATAGCCTATTTTTAATGAAATTGGAATTTTGCAGCCTGATTGGACTTTTTTATCAATTAGATACAAGATAAATTTATGATATCTAACAGGAATCTTGCAATTCCAAAAATGGCAAGAAAGGTCTAGGTATACCGTATAGGCCTATATAAATGAAATTTGGAGAGCATGCAACAGACTGAGACTGTAACTCAGGCATGGACGTGGAATATATCTACTTGGCAGCTAGTCTGGAAAAGTCCTATTTTTGTCTGAAATATCGCGGCTCTAATATCATTTCAGTAGGTATGAAATCTCGCGGCTCGAATGTCATAAATTTTTGTTTGATTAAAAAATCGCGGTTTGCACTTCGCAAACATGTCATTTCATAAAATTTTCAACTTCCGCAATCCGCATTGCTTTACCGCTGTCTCTTATACACATCTAGATGTGTATAAGAGACAGGTATTTTGACACGCAAATGTATGACGTCACCATTTCAACCATCAATGAACGCATGGAACTAAAACAAAGCTTAATATAAAGGAAAAACTAGAGAAGTGACGGAATTACCTACGATGTCGGAATATACCGCGTTTACCCTACCCACAATATTTTAACAATAAGTAGATGAGTAGATATCCAATCCTGTGTAATGTAATGGAGACGCTGCAGACCGTCAGCCATCACTGTCCCCATCTTATGCTATGATCTTCCTGACAGTCCTGTCAATCCTGTGAAAATGCAAATCCTGTTCAAGAGCAATGTTTGTCATTCTATTTAGGTAGGATTCGATTTCACAGACTGACCTTGAATGACAATAAAAATTAAAATTTTCCCAAGTTTATGTACTAACCTGACTAATTGACAATCTCTAAAACTGATTATAATTCAGTTGTAAAGTTTTCAATAGAATCTAACAATCTTTGTAGCAATAGCAAGTGTTCAGCAATCAGCCGGGAGCCACCATTGGCTGATATGCTAAGTGCAAACTGAACGTTTGTAGGTTAGCAGAAGAATTCGAGAATAAACCGATTACGATTTACGGGATCCAACTTTTCTAACAGAAACAGGAGCAAGGCACTGAATCCGAAAAGGTTGAAAATTTAAACTTAATTAGGCTTTCCTACCCCTTTCATCAAGATATCTGCTTATGCAATAACTTGAATACGGTGCTACTGAATTGGACATGTATAAAATTGACAAAATACTGTATTTACATGGGCATAGTCAGCTGTTTTCACTTCAGCAAATAACTTTCGACTATCAACAGTTGAACACACAAAAAATGATTTGAAAAAAAAAAGAAGAATAACCTGAGCGATTGAGAACATTTTTCACGCATTTGATTTATAAGCAATTATTTGGAATCAATTGTTTGAAGCAGCATTATGCTTTTAGCGTCGCAGAAATTCAATGCAGGAGATCCCAGGTAATGCCCAAAGTGTTAAGTATACCGAGTCTTTGTTTTCATTTATTTAGATTAGAAGATACGAAACTTGAGTATTATTTCCAAATGAATTGCCAAGTTTGACGGAGTCTTGCGGCATTAGCGTTACTTTGGCAAAACAGTGCAATATTCTTCGACCTCCGGTAATGGACTCGAAGCAGATTGTCTTGCAAAAAGAATAGATTCCCAGTCAGAACAACTCTAAACGCAGTATAGTTTTGATGTGTCGTACTGAGCAAGTGTCTAAAAATGCATTAGATGAAGGGGTGGATAGCTAGAGGTTAGCATAGCCCAAGTCCACAGTGCGATTCACATACCTTCCCGAGCGTAACGCAGCCGGGCATCTCCACGGCTTTTGACACAAAGCCCCCACTACAACAGCGCCGTTCAGCCACAGGCCGGAGCACAGCTGACCGGAGCGCAACAGGTTTACCGCAACAGCTACTCCTAACGTAACGTAACCTAATCTTACCTAACCTGCGCCGCCTGTTGCGCTCCGGCGCTGTGAAGCAGTGGCTGTGTTGTGCAAAGTGGATTTACTGTTAGCCGGAGTTACCTACAGCTCATTGATCTGAGGCTATGTGTATATATTGCATGCTGATGGTTGGCGTTGGGCCCAGGGCCTGTTTACGGGTCAATTTTGTTACCCACGGCTGCGCTCCCAGATGAAGGGCAGAAACAAAGATTTCAGAAATACTTGTATTTCATCTGGTACTTAATGTTTAACTGCTGCTCGCACTAAAAATCGATATAACTTTATATTTAATCTGAAAAACGCAGTTAGTTAGTTTAGCGGCCAAATGTTTACTAGCGCTTCAGCTATTTAGCTATCTCGCACCGAAAGTCAAGATGAACATCACTATAGAGGTGGAAGGTCTCAATTATTCATCACCCACAAGGGGCGGAAGGTCTCAGTTGTCCAGCCCGCTGAAGCTGGCTCGAAAGAAGCAGCGTTAGCATCTCTAAGAGACGAAGTGACAAGGAGGGACAGGTGAAAAGCAACAGAAACGAAGACACTCGAACAAGAGGTCGCTTATACACGGGACGTCGGCCGCCCGCACGAGAGAGACAGAGAAGGGAAATGTAAGGAATCCTACCAACATAATAACTTAACCCCACAACTGAGACCAACGGTCAGACACCGCGAGCTCAGCGGTGGGGCGCTCAGGAACAATCCCCCTAGGAACGCGAAATCCCATAGGACTTCTGACGAGCACAGACACGCGTCAGAAGTCCCCCCTGAGGGGCTGAAAAACGCAGGTGAACATTTTTTCAAACATCATCACTCTAGTCTAAGCAATTGGTTTTCGAGTTGTCTACAAAATGACGACGTACCTTGTATTAAATAACCGGATTTCGCAAGGGCTACTCCAACTCTTCTCGCAATTTTTTTTTCAATTCCATTAAAAAGTCAGTAAACTAATAATTATTATTAACTATAAACTATTATTATTCATCAAATAATTATTTGCATAAAAGTCATTCAGAAATTAAACGTTCCAGCAGCGTTGAATAAGACTTGTATTCCCTGATATAGAATTATATTTCGAGGAATGGAATAATACTCCCTAGAATATAATTGCATTTGCTGGAATAGAATTGCATTCCCTGAAATAGAATTGTATTCGAAGTCCGAATCTTCAGAATAGAGCGAGGGCTCAGCGCTACAAGCTGCAAAATAACAAATTAAAACCTTAACACCAGGGCTGTTGGCAGTAATAAATAATTATCTATACAAGTTCATGTCGGCTTTCAACAGATAAGAGCTATTCTTATTATATCCAACTTAATCAAACTGGGTTACTTCATCCTGAAATTTCAGTAGCAGTGTTAATATGCGGTTATTGCAAACACAAATTATATATAACGGCATGTAAATACAGTTCTTTTCGCTATTTGATTTTCACAAAAACAAATAACATACGAGATGCCAAACTGAAGGTGTAAAACCACTATCAGACACAATTGTTCAACGCTCACTATGAGAGAGGTTGATTAAGCACATTAGCTTATAAACTAGCTGATAATTGGATCAAACATCTTGATAAGCTATTGCAATCAACATATAGCACACATATGAGTTACAATCTAACAAACGACAGTAAAGAATTTTTTCTGTAAGAAAACTTCATGCATAATTTAGGTTTCCCGCCAAGTCGAATTAAAATATAAATAAAATTCAAAGACTCGAAAAAATTGTACGATTATTAACAAAAAATAAAATATTGCCGGAGCAATAATAAAAGTTGCTGTTTATAACCAGAGAAAAGCTTGATCATGTTGAACTTGAGATGGTGTGAGATCGTTATAATTATCATTACTACTTCTAGATGATTGACAAGCCAATAGAAAAGACATAAGCCTTGTTGTCTTTTCAGTCTTAACAACATAGTAATGGTTTATATCTACTTTAACCAGATCACAATCGTTATTATGATTAAATTATGAAGCAATGTATAGCAACTAGGTAGCACTATTAATGCCCATTGCACTCGGTAATGACATTTAATATTAAATGTGTGAAGTTTTCCAAACTTGCAGCTAAAATAAAATAAAAGTACCTTAGTGATAAGAATTAATACGAAACATTGGGATAAATTGTACTCGTCTCATAGATAGCCACAATAATGTGCAGTTCATCTCAGAACAATAATTAAAAAATTTTTAGCCATCATTTATATTCAGCAAGAGTTTTAACTCACAATTTCTTATTCAAGTTACAAGATTTAATGTCAATAGAAACGCCACCGCACGTCACGTTGAACACAGCACGTCACGTTGAACACCGCACGTCACGTTGAACACCGCACGTCACGTTGAACACCGCACGTCACGTTGAACACCGCACGTCACGTTGAACACAGCACGACTCTGCTGAGATTCATACAAATGACAACCAACAAAGGCTTCCTTATTTTTAACTTTATCGCTTCTAAGAAGTTCTCATCATGAGCACATGTAACAAGTACCTGTTTTACAATCACGTTCACATATTTAACATCGGATGAAATCACATTAGCTAAATGAAATACATGAAGGGAAGCGGTAACTGAATCCAAACTAATGATACAAATCGGTATAATCGTGACACATTTTCAGCATAACACTCAAGACGAGGTTGCAAATCGATACCATAATAGTGTTGATACTTTTATAAATACGGAGCAAGGAAGATTTTCTCACTAAGGGCGATGAAAAGTCCAAGAATCGAATAAAATATATAACAATTTTTTTATACAGGAACAAACGTGCAATAATAAAACACTACTTCTTGTAAATATTGCCAAGAAAATCAAGGAATAGATAGTAATTAATAAACATACAAATAATTCATTTACATACATACAGGAGGAATAACGCATGTTAGCTAGCAAGACTTCGCTGACTTGGCACGGATTGATTGAGGACGATCGTGGTGAGTGTAGAGGGAGAACTAATTACAGAAGAATGGCCAGTTGTGGTCGGATCTCCCGTTGAAGAGGACGAGTTATTAGCAGTTGAGGAATAAACTGAAGTTGTATTGCTGTTGGCATAAGAAGCGTTCGTGACGCGGTTCATGTTTCTGGTGCTGCTGTAATTGGCGGTGGTGGACGCCGCCGTATTAACTGTGAGATCAGAATGGCTGCGTGCAAAGTCTGAGTTTCGAAGCTCATGACCTGAGATCGGCGTACTTGAAATATTTATCTTGGAGGAATTAACTCTCTGAGGCATCGTTCGTCCTGGCGATGAACGAGATGAAGCTAACATCACGACAGGCGAAGTAATGCTACTCTTCAGTTGGTACTGACGCAACGACGTGTCAGGAGAACCATCTGAATTCCCGAGATCATCATGGACACAATAATTCGTAACATTGAACGTTGAAGAAGAAGTCGGGGATGATGAATTCTGCAGCTTTAGAATAGAACGGCTGTTGAATACTGAGGTAGAGACATTGTTAGTGTTACCCGTACTGATAAGAGAATTATTTCCAGAGCCGTTACTTTCATTCATTATTATCGCACTGCTTGATAATATACTGGCAGGAATACATCTCGATGATCCAAGATCCGTGTCCTGCACTGAGCTATCAACTGGGGTCAGTTCAGTGACAGTATTGGATAAATTCTCAGCCTCATCAAATTGAGAAGAACTGAGTATTGCCGGTAGACATCCTTGAGTATAAACAATGTTAGTGGAAACGTTGCTGGACGCGTGTGAGCTTTTTTGTGCATATAAAATTCCAGACCCGGAAGAACTCACGCTCCGCAAGACAGGAACGTGCGAGGAAATCGAAGATGTTGCAGTAGGAAAGACTGTTGATGCAGAGTATAACCGGTCCTGGGAGTGCTGAAGGGATGTCAAGCTAATGTGATGGCTTAATGATTCAGGAGAAGAAGAAGGAACTGGCGATGAAGGAGCATTGCTGTGCGTAAGTCTCGAATATTGAGGTAATACAACTGACGAGATTTGGGGCGATGAAGTGCGGAAGGAAGTGTCTGCATACTCGACACGGGAGGAGAAGTGCGGAGCATCGTTGCCAGGGCTGGTTGTGGCAGGGATTCTTCTTTGTAGGCCGTTTGCCACAGAGACGGAATTCGTTGTCGTCAGCCCGAGTGGCAACAAATGAGACTCACAATTCTGAAAAATATAAGTTTTGAAATTAATTTGAAAAATTAAATCTAGACTGAGATGAGTGTCTTGGTCATAAAATGAAGGCACGCACAATTGAGTAGAGTAAAAGTATAAGAAGAAGAATACAATATCAGAAGTGATCAGGTGCTTTGTTATGTAATGGAGGCATGTATGCTGGAATTGCAGTGACATTTGTACTATTTTTTTGCTAGTGACCATTTACAGACCTACATTTTAAGCTGATCTTCAATTCGGATAAATTCATGTTTCATACCTACTGTACCATCATACGAGTAGAAAATTGCTATTAATCACACAAAAATTGTTCATAGTACACGGGTATTACTATCAAAAATCTTTGGCAGCAAGCATTAAAAAATTGACAAATGTAAACAATACTTCATCACAAATTTAACTCACCGAAAGTTTTGATGAATCAGTGCCGTCCATAACAATGAGCTTACGATCACGTGGGTCTCCACCATACTTGGAATTCATCATGAGCACATCATTATAATCGACTCTATGGTCATCATCATCTTTCAGCAGGAGTCCAGGAGAGTGCATGGGAACTTGAGAGTCAAGGTGCATTGTACTCGACAGATCCTGAGCCTTCACTTCCTCAAGGTCCGCTGACAAATCCTCCAAGTGCCGCACGGGTATCAAGTCGTTCTTGTATGTGTCATCAGAAAGGCTGTTGCTGGCCGAGCAGTTGGACACAGCTTCTCGTTGCTTCTTGTGCCGACGCGTCCGCATCATGTTGGCAAGACTGCGCCTCCTGAAAGACCTTTGTTCGGGAGTTTCCTCGGCCCTTCTTTTGCGCATGCGCTCGGCGGCACGCATCCTGCGAATTTGTTTTTGAGTCTCGCCTTCGTTTAGGCGTCGCTGTCGCATTCTTTCTGCCGCTTTTCTGCGGTCCAAAATACGATCAGTCTCGTTCATTGTTGCTCGTCGTAGCCTCGCTCGCTCAGCTGCCTCCAATCGTCTTTGGGCTTTCTGTTCTTCACTTTCCATGGCTCTCCTTCGTCGCATTCTCTCAGCTTCTCTTAACCTCCGTTTCTTCTTCTGATCTTCAGTCTCACTGGCGCGTTTTTCCCTCATGACTTGCGCGAGCTTCATTCGTTTCAAGCTTAAATCAGTTTCGGACATCTTTGTGCTTTTATTTCTCCTGTTTTTGGACGGACTGCCGCCGCCTGAAGACGATAAGGAGCTTCTTGCACTATTAGCTAAACTTTCTCCAACATTTAAATTATTCAACGTTTGAACATTGACGCCATTTTGTGAATTTATTTCCATTAAGTTAACAGAGCCAAAAATAGTGCCAGGAGCAATTAGAGCATCTACGTGATTGGAGGATGAGTTGGCAGTGGCCATGATGATGGAAGAGGCGCCGTCAACATTGGCCTGAATAAAATGACTGGGATGGCTCGCAAGGTCGCTCGTTAAAAGGCTGCCGCCGCCACTGCTGCTCGTGAGAAGATCTGAATGCGAGTGAGACGAACAGCTTGTAGGCATCATTATCACTGACGCACCCGTCGTAGCGTCTATCATGTTAAGACCTGCAGAGAGAGGGGCATGAATATGATGAGACCGTGCATACTGTGGTACTATACAAAAATGGAATCTGCCGTAACAGAAGTGCAGGTGTAATTATATGCACATAATAAATACTGAAAACAATCAATAGTGCACCACATCAATATATGAAAATTACTAAATGGAAGACCTAGTGCATACAAATTATATCAAAGTAATGGAGATAAACAAGAGTTACAGAGAAATGTCAAAAATTAATCCTGTATATTTAAAATTGATCCACAATTTAGCCTTCATTTTAGTTTTTATCACAGAATACATGCATTTCTTGGTAAAGTTTACTACATCAAACTAGGCTTCTGAAGTTCCCTGAGGCAGAAGTTGACTAGCACCAAGCCCCGAATGCTTCAATAGATTAGTTTATGGGCCAAATTGTAAGTTTTCTAGCCAAATCTGCCTGTCTATTAATAATCAAGGGTTAAACTTGTTAATCCTTAATCCAGGGTTTCAGCAAGACTTGTTTTGTATTGCATCATAGTGAAATATCTTGTTTTCTGTAATACTTCAAGAGAAAGTCTTATAGCATTACATTATGCAAGGTTTGAATGTCTTGCAAATTTTCATAATGCCTGGGAAACAACTGTTCTCACATTTATTGCTTATGTCCAGGTCAATTGCATTTTGGACTTTAAACAGTTTATTTTAACCATAAATAGTTTCAAGAAGCAAAATTCAAATGGTAGGAACAATCAGAATAATGTATCTTTTCAAATCTATCAACTTGCATTTCCCTTGATGCTCTAGAAGAAAATGCAATCTAGAAGAGCAAAATAAACAACCTTCATCCATTAATGTGTCAAATTCCCCAATGACATTGCCCAAAAGAGAAGTCTGCATAAATAAATAGACTTTGTGGTGTTTTCAAGTGCCAGAAGACATTTTTGGTACAATGGTTTTTAAGCAACTTTTCCTTAAAGTCACATGTGTGGATGACACATAAAAATATTGGTGCATGTAAAATTTAAATTGTTTACAATCCAGTTCTTTTGCATCTCTTAATTTAAAAAATATTATTATAAAAAGAGAAAATATTTTAAAATGGAACAACCAGTTTATGCAATATGAATACATGACTGTGGCAACTGCACAATGCTATATGAATATGTGATTGTTTTCAACACTTTTAAGGGGTGCAGTTGGTAGTTGATGTAGTGAAAATTGATGGCAGTTACCAGCAATGGTTGTAACGTTGCTAGCAGATGTGGGTGAAGACACAGCACTGCTCAGGTGTGATACATGGAAGCTGTTGCTTGCAGTGTTGCTGCTTTGACGTAAACCTTGCTGGATGCTGGATGTGCCATTGGCAAGGTTCAGCATCAAAAGATCTAAAAAAATGGCATAGAAGTTCAAAGAAAAATCTTGCACACAAAGCTCATTAAGGATTTAAAGAATGCAATTAGAAAGTACAAACCAGCACTGGACAACAGGAATTGACTGTGTTAGTAATTATTTATGAATACTTATCACCAATTATGCATATATTACTATCCTAAAATTACATATAAAGAATTTGATCATCTTGAATTGAGTCAAATCAATCAAAATATCACAAGAATTAAGCTGATTTAGCCATTTTCCATAGCCAACTAGAATTAACCCTTATGTTTAGGGAGAGGTTAGACCTAATTTTTCACCTTGGATATCTCCAGCAGAATAGCTGTACTCTATGAGCTCTTGTTCATTAGTTTTGGGTGCTCCATTTTCAACAGCTGCTTGTAAGGCTTGTCTCACAAGGTCCCTGTGTTGCTGTGATGCTGTCACATTTTGCTGAGGCATTGACATGAGCTGTTGCTGCACTACAGCTGCTGGCCTTACAGACATAACATCTTCTTCCTTTTTTATTCTATGCTCGTTAACCAAACCCAGGACCTGATAGAATTATTAGTTTTAAAATTAACATAGAAGCCAAGGAACTACACAATCCTTTTTTTACTACAATACAATGTTTTAGCAGAACAAAAATCATTAAAGAACATGGTAATGATGTTCCATGAATTAATCCAAGTATACTTACTATTACAAAACTTAATAAACAAAATCAAAATTTGGATAATTGCATTTTTTAGCCTGAATAAATAGGCTTGCCTAAAAAATTTTTAAATATGAATGTAAAAAATATTTTTAACTTGTTATTTTCTTACCTCTCCCACAAAAGTTGATGAAGGTGGAAGAGCAGACAAGGTTGTTGGGTTTGAAGTGTGCTCAATACCTGCATCAGAACATGTCACCAACCCAGAAACGAGAATTGCCTGAGGTTGACCAGTCAAGTTTGGCGAGTCACTTCCTCGGAAGAATGCACCGTTACGGTCCAGGACATTCGGCAGAAATGATGCTGGTACTTGTCCAGCCAAAGTATAAAGATTCTGCTGTATCTTGTGTGGACTCAAGCTAATTGAATATTCATTTGCAGAAACAGATGATGAAGAAGATGTTGGATTTACTTTACCATCAGATGTAGTAGATAAATCTTCAGGGTTGACTCGTGCCAGATTAGTAAGGGTAGTTCTTACACAGCTGCTCATCACTCTTGCAATGGGACTCCTTTCTTTTTGAACAACTGTCACATAATCAGCAGGTGATATTTTTGCAATTGTAGATGGATTTATTTCTTGGATATTAGAATTTCCATTATTGATACCAGCACTCATTACTTTATAAGTTGGAAACTCAGCCGTCAATGCAGAATTGGACGAACTTGCAGGTGTGCCACTCAAATTTAACAAGGAAGATTGCAAAGTAGAACTCTGAATTGTTGTCATTGGAACAAGTGACTTGTGTGCTGTTATGTGGGGACTAATACGCTGAGTTTCTTTGTAGGTAGTCAGACAATTGGATGTCATTCCAAAGCTGCTGTCAGCTGTGCTGCTGCCGTGACTGCCGTTCATTGTAGTTTAAGATGATGAACATAAGACTTAAATAGTCTGCTGTAAACTTAACAAGCTCCACTACAGGCAACTACTCATCAAGTTCATGGATAGAAATTCTATGGGTAGACCTAATTACTTGGATGCATTCAAATTCACACATTTCAGAAATTAGAACATGAAAATTTCAAATAAACAGTTGATAAGCAATAAATCCTGAAATATAAAATCAATACATCACTTGAAGATATTTACATAACAGAATTTTTACACTAAACACTTTTATTAAATACTTGTACACTTCATTGTTAAGTTTTATCAACACAAAGATAGGAGGTGATAAGGTTAGCTATCTTGCAGCTGCAAAAATGATGGAAAAGTTTTAGTTGCAAGTTAAAAGGTGGATATATTCCATGCCAGTAATTTGATGTACGGCAGCAAACCACAGATTTTTTAGAAACCAAATCATTTCCGATTCATCCATTCAGCTTCAGAATTTTATTCTATAACTTCAAGATAATACATGGATACTATTATGTATCCATTATCCATGATACATTACTGTTCTTCTCATCATTTTATGAATAAAAAACAAAGTCTAAAAAGTCCCTGTTGAAATTTCAGCAGTAAGCTGGAAATCTATCTTATTACTTATACCCCAGCAGAGTAGAATTATAAGGGAGTAAAGGGACTAAAGGGATTAACCCTTCAATGCCCATTGCCCAGGTGTACCGTATGGTTGCCTTTCAAATATGTTCTGTACATATTTGAACTACACAATACTTTCTGTCATGATAAATTTCTGTTATTGTCATGAAAAAGAATTGGTGCTAGATGTTTTGAACGTGTTTGGTATAAATGGTACGCATCCCTGCTTTGTTTAGGTGGTGCACCTGGCACCGTGCAAGTCTGCGTGCTACTCTGCTGAGTGCTGCCAACTAAGCAGGAAAGTGCTGATCTTTTTGGGAATTTGTGGTGCCATTAAGTCATTAACTTGCTGAACTTTCCCAAACTGTATTCAAATTATTGGAATATGGCAGGAAAATCATGTAAGTTGTGGCTTGGAAAACATTCTATTTCTACATTGTTTTTAGTTACTAGTATAATAGGCCTAGTGAGTGCACATACAATATTTGAACCGTGAACGTAGAATAAAAATTACATGTATAGCCTATATCACCTCTGGACACCCCTTACCCTCTTAGGACTGAAATGTCAGTTATGCCACTTTACATTTTTTCTTTCAATATACAATTTCTCTACTCATTTCATCACTAGGTACTTAGTATATATACCTAATCACTAGAAATTATAAGAAAAAAATTTTTATGTGATTTTAAAAATGTGGTTGTAAAGGGTTGAAAGTGACTTGAAACTTGAGTTAAGGGAGGATGTATGGATAATGGATGGATATAGGCCTAATGGAGCTATTCCTAGAGCCTAGAGGAATGTGCGTGTTGCGGCCTGCGGCTGTGCGGGATATTTTCATGGTTAGACGCGGGTTCTTGCTTGATAGAAAGAAACATAATAGCCAATCTGTCAATGAGGCAATAAAATCATAAGCAATCGAAGCAACTACCGAGTTGCGAGTTCGGTATCGGTTGGGTCACTTGGGTGAAGCATGAACCTTGCAATTTGCAAACATTTGCGGCTTCATGATGTTCATCTGTGCCTTGCGATACTAAAAATTCTACTGTCGAAGATTAAGCTATAAATATTTAAATTTTGGTGCTTGCGATAAGAAAAATTACAACAAGAATCATTGCACGAATTGCGGGTGCAACCGTGCAATTATTATCTTGTCATGGTCGTACATCATCAACGTTTGTAAGTTCGTAAGTCTGTCCCATGTCGTTGCGACTACAGCTGTGTTTTGGATGTTTGTTCGTAAATGCGTATCAGAAACAACTGTACGGAATTCTATGGTTGAAAAACATATTAAATAAAAATTCTTATATATATAGATGATCACAATCACTTGATCGCACGAATTTCGATTCATTTTTATTCTTGTCAGAAGACAATATTTTTGCTCAAATTATACTTCGGCTCCCGTCGCCTTGTTATAAACGAAACGATTCTCTCACAATGGTGGGAGAGAGAAAACAAATGAAGTATGCTCTGTCTTCGACCAGATCCTTTGTAATAATTTTTTCAAGATCTCTCTTCATGCTGATATGAACTTGACTTATTTGACTCCATAATAATTTTCAAGCTAAAGTGATTATTCCAAGTGAAAAGATTAACACATTTTCTGAAAAAAAGTTTTTGGTTTTACTTGAAATTGATATTATCTACGTAGGCTTCATTATGTATGTAAATTGTTTACAAATAAAACAAATTATGAGCTTTTATTAAATTATTATAAGAGATTCGAGCTGGTACCGTATATGGTAACACTATGATAATAAGAGTAAAAATCGACTTTTCGGTTACGTATCAATAATTGAGCTAATAACACATACTCTCAGGTAATGAAATATTTTGGTTGGACGAAGTGTAACACAACTTGGAAGTTGGATTTTCAAATTTTGTGTAACAGGCCGTGAGGCCATAGTTTTCAATATTTGCTCGGTTTATCTAAATTAACAGCAGTACATTGCTATGCAATGCATTATGTTACCAATTCTAGTCGTACAAGAATTGGTCGTACAACAAGAACCAACACCAGGGGCCACGACTATAAGCTAAAAAAACTGCGCTGCAACTTCTCCACGCGACAAAATTTCTTCTCGCTTCGAATCACCGACATGTGGAACAGCCTCCCCGATGACATCGTTGGCGCTCCAAGTATGAACGCGTTCAAGAACAGACTAGATAAAGCTATGGAAAAATATATGTTCAGATTTGAAATGTCTAGCTCCTTATCGAACCCGGTGGAAGTCTAGTAGCTAATTCAAACTATCGTCAGTCATGAAAAGATCCGGTCAAATGACACGAGTTTAGATCTATGAACAAGGCACTGCGACAGGCCACATCAGGCCTACACTTCAGCGCCGACATCACTATGTTATGTTATGTTATGTTAATTCTGTCTTCTTATATTGTTACATGGAAATTGCTTCGTTGTGCTAACTTTGGCCCACACATTGCCTTTGTAGAAAGAAGATTATAAACACTCAATAACATTATTAAAATGAGTATGTACTCTCAGCTCGTATATTTTCCCAATCAAATCAGGGCAATTTCTTTGTCGTACAGACTTGATCATTTCATCCCTAATGTGCAGCAAAATGGTTACCTCATTCAGATGCAATTCAACAATCTCTTCTGAGGAATACTCCGAATATGCAATATAATTTGCTTCAAGATCCACTGGTTACACGCGAGGCTATTCTCTTTCAAGCGTATTCTTTAAATCTCTCACAATGTCGTTCCTTCTTTTCGTCCACGAAGAAGGATTCAACTAGTGAAGGATTATCCGTTGGATCATCAGTCTATTATTTCCTTATGCAAATTCTGTTTGCGGTAGCCCCGATCGAGCTATCCTCGCCAAAGCCAACTTTGGCGAGGTCACCTCCAACACCACCTATTCACCTCTAGGTCTCTCCACCTCACCTCTAGGCTCTAGGTCACCTCCAGCTCTTTACCTCTAGGTCTCTTCACCTCACCTCTAGGTCACCTCCAGCTCTTCACTTCTAGGTCTCTCCCCCCCACCTCTAGGTCACCTCCACCTCTTTACGTAAAGTCACCTCCAAGATGGTTAAGAATAAAAGTGTCGGCTGAAAAGAAATGGGCCCATAGCCTGTTGCCGATTCTTGTACTTTTCGTGACTTGATTCACAGGGGTTCCGGCCTTTAGAACCCCGATCTTTCCATAACTGATTATTGATTGATTAAGCTGCTGGACTTATTGCACAGCAAGTGGTTCAGATAATATGTCATTTTCATTGTTGGTTTCTAATGGATTGTCCAAGATTTCATTCACAGAGCGAGATCCGCAAAATATGTAGATACCTGATGATGTTTGTACTTTAAACCAAATCTCTAAAACCGTCAGTGCAACAGCGTTGTGTTAGCAACTATTTAGCTTGAAAGTTGGCAACAGTGATGCGTGGACTTGGTAAATTGTTTGAATGCATAGCAAACGGGTTTTTACGGAGTCTTTTTTGCAATTGAGAAAATTTTATAATTATGAGTATTTTATGTGGTACCATATAGAACCGCTTGGAGAGAGTAGGTTAAGTGATTTTTATGTTAAATAGATTATTATATTCACTGACAGTCTGACACACACGAATTTTTTAATATCAAATAACCCAGACAAAATAAAAACACAAATTCGTCACAATGTAATGAAAAAGAGTCTTTCTCTAATAAAATCATCTACCATCGTACCGCAACCGGAGATTGATGAATTTCAGTTTAAGTATTGGCCTCATTTTTTAGCGCATTTTCTCATTTATGGAAAAAATGCACTATTGTGCTCGCCATGTCCGTCTGTCTGTCTGTCTGTCCGTCCGTCTGTCCGTGACCTCAAGTTTTCGTCGACGAAAAAATGCGCTCTCTGTCACCCACTGCAGTGAGTACTGAGTTATATTTTTATTGATTGTACATTTTATTATTATTATGATTTTATTGATTGTGTAGTGTGTCCCAGTGGATACACTTCAGAGTACCAAGATTGGAGCACTGATTGAGGGTTCGATCCCAGCTACCTGCTATAATTCTGGTCAAAATCGGTGAGGTGAGCGGGCGGTATAGCGCAGAAAAATTAGAGCAGTGCTGTGCATGTTCGAAAGCTGCAACAAGCTATGAAAATTCAGCTATATTCAGAATTATCGACAGGTCTAATATTCTAATCAACGCTGTCACCGCCATTTTTTAATTAATCTAATTAAAAAATTAATAAAATTAATCTAATCTAAATTAATTAATAAAAAATTAATCTAATTAAAATTTAATTAATCTAAAAAATTCCCTTATAAATCTTTATTTAACTCGCCCATTAACCAAAGAAATATTATTTTTATATGGTTTTTGTGATATGTTATTATAAGCTAGTGCACATTTTTGCCAAAGTAAGTTTGTGATGTTATTCAACTACTAACGTATTTATAGTATGTAAATGTTTTTTTTAGCAAAATCGGCAATATCGCATAATCTGTCGCCTCAATTGTCACCTTATAATACCAGTACTTTCTAGTTCCGTTTATATAATTTTTAATAATAACATATAATTGATTATTATTTACAGAAATGATTTTTTCAG